TTCATGCTGGACATGTGCCAGTGTTTTGAAAAATCCATAGATTACAGTACTCAATCTGGTTTGATTAATTTTACTGAACTAGTAAACCCAATAATCAGAATCACACTACAGCATTGCAGCATTATCTGCTCCTGAGATTCTCTCACAAGGGAGCTACTGTATTTATAAGTCTGTTATAATTATCACACAGAAGTACATGCTTATTTGATATACCAAATGGTTATTTTACTATACTGTAAGCAACCCATAATCAAGTCACGTTGTATTATGTGTTAAATAAGGTAGTCTTGCTTCAAGCCTCTGTGACCCCTCCCCCTCTCTACTTGAGTAAACATCTTCTCACACATTGCCTGAGCTAGACACACAACAGTGCAATTAAGAAAGGATATTTTGATGTACCAAGCTAAGAGGATACTTGGTCTTGATCTTGACTTGTGTGCCATTACTGTAACAAAGAGTTTTCGTAACATGCTTGATATTTAAAATTGATGGTATCAATTAAATTACAGTCAATAAATAAATGAGAATAATTATGAAATAGAAGATGAAGGTAAAAATCACATTAAAATATATGTCAAATGTACTTGTATTAATCATGAGTTCTACATTCATACCAGACATACACTGCACAATGGAATGCAACGCTTATTGGTCAGTGCCAATGAGCCCAGTGTCTAGGATCAGATGTACTGCTAGGTGCAAATATGATAACAGATTGATGCAGTTCAAATCTTTGCTAATTGTTAATATTAAATACTATTTGAATCAACAATTAACATTGTTAATGGTGATGCTTTCAGTGTTAGTGATAATTTGATTGAGAGAAGTATTTTAAAGATAATTTTGTATCAAAGGATTTCCTATTTATGATCAATTTTTACAAATTTCATTGACCACGTATCTTCAGCTTGTAATAGAGGATACATTAAAATGTTCATTGTAGATATCCACTACATCACAGATAATTGTATGGTGTTTTCATTAACTAAAGTTTGAACTGGAAAATACATAAAACAAAGGGTATACATAGCAGGGCCATAGCCCACTTTTTACCAGCTGAGGGGGGGGGGGGAGGCTGCGATCGTATTATTTTAAAAATTGGTGCAACTCCTTCAAAATTGAGCTAGAAACTTCAAAAAGCATTCTAAACCTCTCATCTCTTTTATTGGTTGTATTTTTGGGTGGGGTTGAGATCGCACCAACCGCAACCCCCTTAACTCCTTGCAGTAACATTAATTCAAGTGCCTTTGCATTCACAAGATACAAACCACAAGACAATACCTTAAACAGCTTCGAAAATCTCTCAAAATTGATAACAAATAGTTGTTCTCACTTGTTTTATAATCAATCGGACTATATTTGTTAAAATTTAATTTCAAAAAAGATATTTCAATTTTTGAAATTCTCTTGTAAAAACGCATTTCACCCGAAACACATTTTGACACCTATTTCATCTTGGTAAATCTCAGTATCAATAAAGGAACCCTTGATTAAACATGGTATATTTCGTCAACAAGACTGTATTTCATATAATAATTTTTCTAAAAATGTTTTTTTAACATAAACTTATTTTTGCAAAAACTCATTTTTTACCCAAAAACTTACTTCGACACCTATTTCATCTTGGCAAATCTCAGTATCAACAAAGGGACCCTTTACTCTTCAATTATATACCATGATTAAGCTGCTCGTCAAAATATGTTAATGGTGTCATCATGTTTTGAACACACTCGTTTTAATAGTTGATATTGCATGCAAATCACAAAGAAAAAATTGTTAAGCTCCCAAAATCCCCCTAGTTGATTAAACATGGTATATTTTGATTTTTGAGAGTCAACTAGACTGTATTTTATATAATAAATTTTCAAAAATATATTTTTATCAATTTAATATTGTTTTTGCAAAAAACACATTTTTTTACCCAAAAACTCACTTTGACACCTATTTCATCTTGGCAAATCTCAGTATCAATAAAGGAACCCTTTACCTTTCAATTATTAACCATGGTTAAGCTGCTCGTCAAAATGTGTTAACGTTGTCATCATATTTTGAACACACTCGTTTTAGTCGATATTGCATGTAAATCCCAAAGAAAAAACTATCAAGGTCCCAAAATCCCCCCAAGTTGATTAAACATGGTATATTTCGACTTTTGAGAGTCAACTTGACTGTATTTTATATAATAAGTTTTCAAAAATATTTTTTATCAATCTAAAATTTTTTTTTGCAAAAATCACATTTTTTACCCAAAAAGTCACTTCGACACCTATTTCATCTTGGCAAATCTCAGTATCAATAAAGAAACCCTTTACCTTTCATTTGATAACCATAGTTAAGGTGCTCGTCAAAATGTAAGATGTCATTTTATTTTATACATGCCTATTCTAGACTATTACAAACAAATGTGAATTTGTAAATTAACAAATGCTTAAAAGAGAACCGGGTCCATTGGGAGTCACCAAAATTGCAAAAAAACGTGTAGTCAACCTTCCCATATACATGTATTCCTTACAATGCAAAATCCATGATATGTTATGTTATATATGTATGTGATGTTATAAATTGTAGGAGTTTTTAAGGATTCAAAGTGCCCAAAATGGGGAATATTGTTTAAATTCTCCCAATTACTAAAAATTTTAACCATAAAATAGAAAAATAAATGCGTTATTGTAAAAATCAACAGAAAAAACAGTAATACAGAGATCATACCGTTTCGCACTAAAAAAAATTTGTTGGTGATAATTGATGAAAGTCTTAAAAATATCAGAAAAAGCCGAAATTTTGAATATAAATAACAGAAAAATTCGACGGTGGGACCTTTTTATATTTTCAAATATTATTTAGGGGTACGTGAACTATTGTTTGAAACAATAAAAACAATATGTCAATGTTTTAGTTTTTTCGTCAAAAAAATGTCAAAGTTTATGGAAATTGAAAGTCAATTAAAATCTGATATGGCGTCAATTGTACTGCCGAACTTGGGTAAGGCCAGGGGCGTAGCCAGCAATTGGTGACCAGGGGTTCGATTTTTTATGTTATCCACAAATCTCCCCCTTCATTGGTGTACCTCACATGAAAGCATTTTTTGTATTTGTCATACATAGAATTCATTCTTTAGAGTTCATTTGAGATATGTTAAATTCTGAAACATGCAATTGCCACACTTTAAGCTGATTTTTGAAAAGATTCCAAATCAAAGGATTTTTATTTGCTTTTTCATTTTGTTATAGAGGAGTTCATAATGACCTCATGAACTTACAGTTACTTACTGAATGCTAGTATATTCAATACCAAATGTTTTGGAAGAATGTAATACTTATTTAATCATGTCGCACAGTGACAGATGACAAATACTAGAAGTTTTGTATTAATGGACAAAACATAGTCTGAAATTCCAAAAAGACCAAATTGAAATAACAATATACTGTATCCACTGTGCTCTGTAGGCTCTAACATTCATTTCTTTTAAATTTTAATGCCTTGCAACAAAGAACAACTAATGCTGAAAAACCTATTTGTTCTTTCTTTGAATTTGAAATAAAGAATAAAACATTCCATTCTCTATTACCGTTCCGCTGTTTTTTATCATAACTGACGAGAATCGTGAACGTTTTGAGAAATGAAAAGATGAACTTGTGAATCATTAGGCCTAATCTAATTTACGGTCAAAACTCTTTATCTAAGCTGTTCTTACTATTTTTTATTAGTACCCATGAAAAATAATTGGCATCAAAAGTCTTCAGCTTATCAAATGCCGTAAATTAAAAACAATCTTGGTGGCTGTGAGACGATTTCCTATCAATCATCGATAAATTATTAAGAACGCATCGCTTTGATAGCAAGCGTATTCTAGTGAAGCGAGTAAATTGAGGCGCTTTTTCCGTAACGTCACACCCATCTTTCAGACGATGTAGTGAAATACAGGGTGTTCCATATGTTTCAGGAATGACGCTGTATTTTATTGGTTTTCTTTTCAATCTAGCTGATTTTTTGACAAAATGTGTCCAAATAGGTTGTGAATAAGTTAATAAAAGTTTCATATCATGAAACTCAGTAGACTGAATAATATGGTTGCTATAGTGACCTAGGGGTAGGGTAGGTGGAGCAGGTGTAACAATGCGCAAAACATGACATTTTTGTAAAAATATTAGTTTTTGTATAAAGTCTTCAAAGGATTGATTTATCATTGTCGTATCAAACTTGTTGGAAATTAAAAGAATAAAGGTGGATTCCTGGAAATTAAAAATGTCATCACACCATTTATTAGCCATCATCATTATTTCAGCATCTATCCCTTCCGCATTAGCTAGCGTTCTCACTGTTCTCGGATGTCCAGATTTTGGATAATCGGTCTCAATTTCCCTTCCAGATTTGAACCACTTGTACCACTCATACACTCTAGAGGTTACCATCTAGAGTCCCCATGTGCATTCTTTAGGAATTTAATTGTGTCTGCTGCAGAAAACTGTTATTCACACATGTCATGTCATGTCACAGATTGTCGTGTGTTGCCTAAGTCAAAGGTTTCCATTTGCTAATGACTTTCACTTTTCAAGATGGCCTCTCGTCCAAAATAACCTGTGTTTATTCTCCATTGTGACTCATGACATGACAGGTGTTTGAATTGTGATGTGATCAAAGGTGGTGACATTCTTTTTACTTTCTTGGAATCAAAAATTCAGTTAGATTCAAAAGAAAACCAATAAAACACAGCATCATTCCTGAAACATATGGAACACCCTGTATTTTGAAGGCTAACATTCAATGTTTTTACATTAAATGAAAGCATATATGAAATCCTTACGAAAAAAAAGAAATATAAACAGTGCGTTCAGGGTACCCCCAAATCGGCTAGGTTAGAGATGAGTCCCCTTAACACTAGGACATGTAGGACAAACACTCATAGAGGTGATGAAATAATTTGGACTTTGGGACAGGAAAGGTACAAACATCCCACCAACCCTACCACCCGATTTCAACTAAATACATTTTGTTCACAATTAGTCCCGGAAATAACCAAATACATCATTTTGGGCACTTAGTAGGTGGTCCTTATTTTTCGCAAAGAGAGAGATCGCAGTAAGCAATGTGTCGTTCTCCGTAGCTTGTGCTGCAAGTACGATAACTACACTGTCCTTACTGTTGTTCCAGAAATCTGCTCTTGATATCAACTCCTTTACAGTGATTGTCAATTTGAGTGATTCCTCATACATCGATACCGGGAACCCCTTATCTGCCATGCCGTCCATCATTGACATATGTTGGTTGGATCCCCCGAGTCTGGGATTTATGTCGAGTAGAAAGAGCTCACTGCTTCGTGTTTCAATCACGTCAAAACTAACGTACCCAAAGTAGCCCATATCGCGGAGCTTCTTTAATGCAGGTTGACAAAATCTTATTAGACGGAGACTTGTGGGATCAACTTCTTGTGTACTATAATATATAGCACCAGACCATTTTCCAGAATCATTGAAAGATGGTACGTAGGTACAACCGAGATGGACAGATCCGTCTTTACGAAGATACGCCTGAATTCCTCGATCAGCTACAATATCAGTTAAAAGTTCTTGATAGATCAGTTCTCCTTTCCAATCACGTTTCGCGACACATTCTTCATATTCAAGAATTTCCCTGTCAGTTGTAACAATATTTACACCAGTCCCACCTTGAGAAACTGGAACTTTGATCACACATGGAGCCTTTGCCTCTTTTTTATTCATGTCTCTTGGTTGTTTGATTTCAATTTTTGGGATAAAAGCTTTAGAGTAAATCTCGTAGAATGTATCAGGATCAATCGTGTGCTTCTGAGCTGGGATTTGTTCACATGGGAGCAAGGTAAATAACGAACCGTCATCAATCTTAGCAAGATTGTCATCATTTAGAAGCCTGATATCCGTACATTCTTTATAATAGGGCATCCACCTACTCCAGTGTAACTTCAATGAATCCAGATTCCTCGGAATCTCAAACACAACAACAGGTACCTCAGAGCCAATCGTTGCAATAGTCTTCATTGCTTTGACAGCAGCCGTATCAAATGAATAAAACGGGAACTCCATCGTTTGGTACATCTTGAGATTTTTCAAGGGATAGTTTGTATGATGCTGAGAGCTAGGATACAATGGAAGAACTACGGGATTTTCGATATCTTGTTTTAGGAAATCGCCCATTCGACATCTTGTCAGTCTTCCGCTGGCGATTGCTGGCTTATCAACTAAATTGATAGTGTCGTTAATAGAACCAGGTAGATTTCCATCTTTCTCTTTATCTGAAAGCATTGTACGACCAGCGCCTTGCTAAAATATCTGAAAGTAGAAAGCAATTACAGTGATACCAAAAAATACATTCACATGAACTACTTATTATCAAGCAAAACAGATACAAATACTGTAGTACAATAATGTCAATTCGAAGGGCAATATTTAGCAGTTATGTCCCTATCATTGAATATATGCCTAAGGTATGTCACCAATATAGCCCGAGCTTGCGAGGGTTATATTACGACAGACCGGAAAAATTAATGGCACTATCTCATTGCCCAGGTATTGTGGAAACATTAGGACTTATATTTCATGTGATAGTAAGCACTGAAAATGGACTTGTTGCATTGTGGCGGACCCCATACAAAACAAACATATGGGGTAGAGGGGGCAGTTTAAGTGTTGATCAGTTCTGCTATTTTTGTGGCTATTGGTCATATAGTAGATCATTTTGTCAAAAGGTAAGGGTGATCCGAGAAAAAGTTGGTAAATTGAAACAGACTACAAGTTTTAACAGTATGCTGCAAAATGATAACATCGACCACGCCCACTTTCCAGGGGTAGGGTACTATAAAGTCACATTAAAAATCATAAATAGTCCATTATCATTATTATAGTGTATTACAATATCAAACAAAGCTTGAACTAGTTTTAGAAAACAATTTTGAGCTATTTAAACTGCCATCTTTTGCTGGAAGCTACAAATATAAAATAGGTGCAACTTAAAAATGACTAAAATTGTATATTTTTTCCTATTTATTGCAATATTTCTGAGACTAATACAGATATCAGCCTATAACTTTAGGATATTATTAATCTCTGGACTAGTAATGTGTGCAGTAGAAAGCAGAACAATAGCAAATATATCCTTTATGTTATGAAGGAATCTTATAGTACCCCCTGAAATCGTAGGAATTGAAGTCTAATTCGGCTGTGAAAATTGTTTTTACCACTTTAAAGCCCACCACCTTATATTTTCTTACACCTACTAGGTTACTCTAACATACTATATTGCCAAGAGTTACTTCTTGCAAACTTCCGGCATAAGTGTGCCAGCATCTGATACATAAATCGTCTTTGGTTCATTGGATGAGAAGGTAACATCGACCTTGCAGGGAAGATGGTTAGCACTCAACTAACGTGTAAAGTGTGTGTTATATATTATTGATATTCTATGTTCATTTAAACATTAATGTGATATCAGCATCAATTTCATTGTACACTGCATGTACATGTATATCCTTTTCATAAAGGGTAATAAGGATAGAAATACGTACATACACACACACACATACACACACACACACACGACAGTAAATGTACATACTTGCCGAATCTTTTGTTGTAATTTGAGTTCCTCCCCAGTGCTATATTGTACAAGTACAGGTTTGCGTGTTCGTATTCCAAATAACTTTTATATCGAAAGCTTTCTATTGTCGCTCAATTTAAAACGGCCACTATTTTTATAAAAAGTGAATTGCATCTGAATGAAGTGAATCTGAATGAAATGAATTGAAAATAAAAATGTGGTACAGTTTAAGAATAATAGATTAATATCACATAGGCAAAAGCTTCACTCTCAGTACCCCCTTTCAAGAAATATAGATTTCTTAATGTCTTCCAAGTTTATAAATTTAATGCTCGCTTTGTTCGTATTTAATTGTAACAAAAGACCAAAATCATAACTTATTGATATGCTTGACTTATCCATTTTTGAAACTTACTTGCAACGATTCGATAGGCTACGTCTATCTTCATCAGGCACTTTATGGCTACTGGTTGTTAGTTCGCCGCGCCACCGCTCCAAGGGCGTGTGACGGCTGGGGATTAAGGATGTTAGCTGGTTTGGATATTAACACCTTATCCCAAAGTGGGCTGAGTTCATGGTTGCCCTTGTCTCTGTTGATGTTGGAGTTATGTGTTCTAATATATATTGCCTCTTTGATTAAACGTTTGTTTCTATCTACCTCACCGTCTAAAATTGTATAGTCCTTGAAATTTATTACACAATTGTTTCTGACTGCATGATCCGTTATCGCCGATTTATGCATTAAGTCTAATGATTGCTTTCTTTGATTACGGGTATAGTGTGTATTGCTTGTTAGCGATAAAATCCTTAAAGAAGGAAAGCAGCATAGAAATCCTTCCCGCAGATAAGGGTAAAGCGGTAGTAGTTGTAGATAAACAAGAATATGAAGATAAGATTAAGTCCATGTTAAGTGATGAAAAGACATATAAAAAATTGAGTAAGGACCCCACAGCTAAGCATAAGCGGACTCTTATTGATAAACTCAAAAGTTTGAAGAATCAAGGGAAGTTATCGTACAAAGAATATCACAGTCTCTACCCCACGTCAGAAGACACACCCCGCTTGTACTGTACACCCAAAATACACAAGGAAGGCAACCCGTTAAGGCCGATTGTAGACTACACAGGTTCTATAGGTTATAAAGTTTCACGTAAACTCGCTGATATTCTTGCTCCTATGGTTGGTAAGAATGATTACTTTATTAAGAATTCTTCACACCTAGCGGAAGTCATGCGTGATGTCACAGTCTCAGAGGGTGAGATGCTCATATCTCATGATGTCGTTTCGTTATTCACGAATACGCCCATACCTGAAACTATGGACATTATACAGAAATTCTTAGTAGCAGATAAGTCATTTAAGAACAGGACTAAGTTATCTCCTTTTGGATATAATAGACTTACTCAAATATGTAGTGTCCACAACGTATTTCGTGTTTAGAAGCGATTTGTATGAACAGACTTTCGGAACTGCGATGGGATCACCGGTATCCCCAATGATTGTCAATCTCTATATGGAACGGTTAGAGAAGTCAGCAATGGATACAGCACCTCCAGAATGGAAACCCACTACATGGCTCAGATACGTGGACGGCATATTAGAAGTGGTCAAGAAAGACAAGGTAGACATTTTGACACAACACTTGAATAGCATTGACAAGACAGGTAACATTAAGTTCACAGTAGAACAAGAGCAAGATGGTAGCATAGCGTTCTTAGACACTAGACTAACTAGGATAGAAGGTAACAAGCTCAAAGTGACAGTCTTTAGAAAGAAATCTCATACAGATCACTACCTGAGATTCGATTCACACCACCCGTTGATTCACAAGAAGGCGGTGGTTCGGACGTTATTGAATAGGAAGGACGGTTTAGTCACACAGGAACAAGACAAGAAAACAGAATATGACCACATTGTCAAAGCGTTAGATAATTGTGGATACCCCACTTCAGTAATCCAGAAGGTAGATAACGAACTTAAAGGTCCCAAGAGACCCAAAGAGGAGAAACATAGTGTAGGATTCACCACAATACCTTATGTTCAAGGAGTCACAGAAAAGTTAAGGAGAGTTTATAAGAAATACAAGATAGATAGCGCCACAAAACCACACACTACGATTAAGCAGATTCTGTGCCACCCGAAGGATAAACAAGAGAAAGAGAATAAGTCCAATGTTATATATAGTGTACCATGCAATTGTAAAAAAGAATATATAGGAGAAACAGTTAGGAAGGTCTCAGTTAGAATAAGTGAACATAAGAAAGAAGTGGACTCAATGAGCAATACACACTATACCCGTAATCAAAGAAAGCAATCATTAGACTTAATGCATAAATCGGCAATTACGGATCATGCAGTCAGAAACAATTGTGTAATAAATTTCAAGGACTATACAATTTTAGACAGTGAAGTAAATAGAAACAAACGTTTAATCAAAGAGGCAATATATATTAGAACACATAACTCCAACATCAACAGAGACAAGGGCAACCATGAACTCAGCCCACTTTGGGATAAGGTGTTAATATCCAAACCAGCTAACATCCTTAATCCCCAGCCGTCACACGCCCTTGGAGCGGTGGCGCGGCGAACTAACAACCAGTAGCCATAAAGTGCCTGATGAAGATAGACGTAGCCTATCGAAACGTTGCAAGTAAGTTTCAAAAATGGATAAGTCAAGCATATCAATAAGTTATGATACTAAATACTATCCAGATGAATATATTCAATAATAAAAGACCAAAATGATTAATGGGTATAATGATTATTGCCAATAGCGAAATCCATAGAACTGATACAAGAAACATATTCTTGATCTTACATCTTATAATTTTAACTCCGCATAAGGGCTAAAATCCATCAAACAGAGAGGCCAAATATGGTATGAACTCCCTAGGTCCATCAAAGAAATCTGTACCAGATAATAAATTGAAATCGGATTTAAAAAAAACTCCTAAAGTAGCATTAACCTTTGAAAATTGCAGACAGTTTGAATCAAACGGCCATATTGAAAATTCCTTGTCGAGTAGAGGTCCAACATCCATAAGACATGAACCGAGACAAATGGCAAATTTTGCATGTTATTCAAATTATTAGAACCGTCAAAATTCCTCCAGTTATTGGTACATTCGGACTCACCAGCACCTGATCGGATGTTGTTATGCCTTCTTGAAAAGCCAGAGGTGCGATCTTTCTTAATAGAAAACGAAAATATCCTCCCGTTCTGCCGATGAACCCATACGATTTGAGATTCAACTACATTGAATAGAAAGAGGTCATTTAAGTGTACCAGGCGTGGAAAATTCTCCCATATTGTAATCATATAGACAATCTATAGGGATGTTCTCAAGACTATTGGCTGGCAAGGGATGACGCCAAAATATTGAAAAAGAGGGCTTCCTAATTTTCTAATGAATATTGATATTTCTGCTTCTTAAATCTCAATACATTTTATGCTGATCTACATTCCTCTTTAGAGAATAAAATAAGAATTGCATTTTTGAAAAGATATTGCTCCAAACGTTATACGCTCTTTGTCCCTAAAGCAAGACAACACATTGACGTAATAAAGTAAAGACGCTGTATGAAACAATTAACATGACCACAGTCAACTTGTATCGACAGATCAAAGCACTGTTCGGTATTTTGATTATTTATGTTATGATTACTAGCATATACTTCATAAATACACGCTACAGCAAAATAAAACAGGTCGTTTATGAACAGGTTAACTTGATGGATAACAAAAGACCATCAACACGACAAAGGAATGACGAAGGAAATAAGCATCATATAATGTATAATCAAACGTTGTTATCTGCCCTTACCCAGGGCTATTGGAAGCCTAAAAACGTGGCAGAAATAGAAAAGGATATGGTGACCTCAAAGCTAAAACGATGGAGAATGAGAAAGAAAATAGAATACAGCAACGACACGACATGTGGACATGCTTATCAAGGCTAAAGATCGGTGTGTAATCCGGAAGACAAAAATGCCTGTTGCAAAGAAAGTCGATGTCGAGATATTTCCTTGGAAGACTGTGAATGTCCAACATGTTTTGACGAACGGTCACGGATTTATCACGAATTTCATGAGTGGACTCCATATGGTATTAACATACGCAATAATGTATCACGTGATGATATATGCACCGGGCTTAGGAATTTAAATGTGTCATCAATTATTACGATCGGCGATTCTTTGATTCGACAAATAACGGTTCGTTTCTGGAGGCGCGTTTACAAGGGACCAGTGGTACATTTACTGAATAACGATTCCTCCCAGGGTATATAAATGACCCAATAGCTTGGCTATTGGATAAATTTGATTTTAATATGTTTACACATATCGTCATGTGTAAACTTTCATAAAGCTGTCCAAATATGCGCACCTGTATAGTCATCATTACAATGTATCTAGGTCACCAACTTTTTGTGGATGGTGTTCGGCCTTTGGAGGTTGGTGTCAGGAAATAATAGTTGGATATATATTTGAGCAACTGTGGTTCATCCACATTCTAGCTGTATTTTTGAGAAGGTTGATTTTACATAAAAGCAAATTAATCGGATGATTTACGGATGATTTCTTCATTTCAGAATTAATCCAGAAGTGTCAGCCCAATACGAACACGTGGGGGTCCAACAAATGTTGGGAAAGGAGCTTCGTGAACATCTGCGACGGAATCAAATTCTTCTATCATAAGATATACAGTATACTAGAATGTAGGTTGTTCACTAAAATCACATTGAAATCAGATAAGTCCATCTCACCTTTTCTCTGCGTCAATCAAATCTAAAAACAAGCAATCAAAGGACCGCAGTTCCATGTTCCACTGTATGGATTAATACACCCAGATTATACCTGCAAAACGTTTGCATATATGGATTGTGGTTTGGTGTTCAATGGAGAAAATATTGCTATGCTTGCAAAGAATAGGACCAACAACTTGGAAATTAAGAGATATATCATTTTCCGTGGAGGAATGCTCCGACAATCATCCAAAACTGTCTTTATTAAATACCCAATGAGTTAGTTCATCAAAGACAAAATTATTTAAGAAAAATGGATAGACATGACACATTATTGATAATATATGTGAAAGCAATCCAGAAATGACTCAAATAATGGCTAAGACAGAAATCTCAATTTCAGGAAATTGTATTTTTAAACATTCTTGATGATTTCACCGGGAGCATGCCTGGATGGAAAGAGTGATATATCAAAATCTGAAATTTTGTTGATGCTATCCAACTACACCAATATTTGCTTCGTTGAATACTCTACTCACTGGAAATCACGTAGATTTCTTAATTATCGAGTTATTGCAAAATTAGTGGGTGACATTTTTTGTGTCACCCTTTATTTTATAATATTGCAATTAGTTCTTTAGTTGCTTATTCTAGATTTGATTGACGGAAAAGTGAAAATGATTTTAGCCATTTCTTAAAAATCAACGATATTTAACATGTTGGGCCTTCAAGTGATTAATTAAACATGTTTTCAATCAAGATCAACCAATTAGGGAGTTCGACGATTTGCGAACATTGAAGATGGAACATCCGGGGCGTATTCTTGTGTTGACAGACGTCGGGCTTCATGACAACCTTAATATACGAACTATATATATCTACCTTAAACAACTTTTCGACGTGATCCAATCCCTAGGTGAAACCGACCTACTTTACATGGCACCATTTATCCCAGGATTACAAAAATCCCCGTCGTATAAGAAGCAAACTTTGAAAAGGACGATCACGTTTATCAAGTTCTTTCGTACATTTACTCAAGATAGAAACATTTCTTTTCTTGATCCAACTGAGTTGGTAAAGAATCTTATTAGTTCGGATGGTACGCATTATACAATGGGGCTAAATGAAGCAATGGTCGACATTATAGGAAACTATATCCTAAAATAATCTAATTTTGTCGAGTTTTCCATCGGAGTCTTCACAGTTTCAAAGCTGCAAAATAAAAATTGATGCGATCAGGAATGAAGTCGTAATTTGGTTTGACATCCCCTTTGCATCCTCCCCCTCATTCTTTCCCAAATCTCTCATGCTTATATCCCCGGCCCAGGTCCTTCTTCCCCTGTGAATTGGGCTAAATTATATAATGTTATCAATAGATAAAGAATTTTTGAAGTTTAATACTTTACCTCAATATTGTAAATAATGACTTCTAACAGTTTTATTTTAAGCATATTTATTCTTAAAATGTGGCGTAGAAGACGCAAAAGTCACTCATACATGTAAGTCGGCAACGGCTGGACATATTTGGTGAATTGTATTTTATGATATTAATTGAATGTATGATATGTGTGTGACTTTAATGAACTATTTTAATTCACTTACTAACTAACCAACTATATGCTCACTACATAACCTTACTTTGTGAGCTTCCCACCGTCACATTGGTATACATAATGCACATCTACTTCAATTTATTTGTTGTTCCTTTTTCCCCGTAAGCAAAAATTAGTGCAATCTATTATAATACTTGTACATTAAATGTACATTATGTCATACAAATGGCCGTAAATAAATCATTTCTACTGAACTAAACGTGACAAAAGTTGCAAGTTCATGGTAAAGTATAAGTTCTGAAAACGAAATAAAACATTTCCATTTTGAATGACAACGGTGAACAAGCTGAAAGAAAACATTGGTAAATAATGCCAAAAATAAGAACCTTCGATTGTAGCTTAGACAATGAGACAGCCATATGTTATAACTAACACAGTTTGCATGTTATGTCCTACATTATATCCCAACATACGCATACTCGTTCTTTCTTACCTTACTCAGAAGAAGTGAGTAGCTCCCATAATACTATCATATTCTTTCGTATTCGGGGATTCCCCTTTGCCATCCTATATGGTCATACAAGCCTTATATGGATCTGTCACATGATATTCAAAATGGCGGACAATGGTCAGTTGGATTAATATATGGTCATGTAAGCCTTATATGGATCTAGCACATGGGTACCACGTGATCGAATACGAAGGCTGAACTTTGGGAGATCTCCGTCCCTTTACCTTACTAATAAATAGAAAGTTTTATGTCAGCCTTCCGGATGCTTTAACATCTCGCTCATAAACAAACTTTCTAAATTGTGGTGTTCCTATGGGGTCCATTTTAGGACCCCTCTTATTTATACTATACATGTATATAAATGACCTTCCTTCCAGATAAATTCATTGATACACAATGCGTGACATGTGCTGATGTGGCCTCTTTTTACTTATATTTTGATCCTATATTTCTAAATACGACTGAAAAATGCATACATTTGAATACAACTGAAAATTGGTCAAAAGAATGGAAACAGCAGAAAAAGGCCTGAGATGATTTTCCATTGCACTCAAAAAACTAAGGCAAAAGTTCAATTCCAAGTATTTGGAGACAATTTTTAATTGGTAAATACCTCCTCACTTTGATTATGGCATGCTTCTTTTTCATAGATCATCCAGAAAACTACTCCATATTACCAGGCGGCACTTTGCTGCTATTGTTATTTTCATTGAACAAATACTGCCTGAGACCAGAAGACAAATGAGAATCGATGGATTTATGTTTAACACTGCAGAAGGCAATACTCTAGAATACATATATGATATTTTTGATAAGTATAAAAACCAATCCACAAGGGAATTAAGAAACAAACAGCTCGTCGTACTGAAAAGTTCAGAAACTCTGCTGTTCCTGGTCCCATACGCAGCTGGAATGAACCACTACCTGACTTGCAAAATCTAACTGATCTTCAAACCCTCAAGAAAGTTTTCAAAGATGCCCTCAATTTTTAAAATCCTTACTCAATACCGAATTTCTGTCAAGAAATCATAAAATTATTACATAAACATGCTCAGATGTTATTTACTGTTCAAGGCAGAGCTATATGCTCACAATTTTACATTGGGGGTCAACCCCGGGGTCAACACAGGACTTTTATCTTGTTTCAAAAAACTCCAAAAATCCAGTATTTTTGTCACTTCCTGTTTTGTCATTTCCTGTTGAGTAATGAGTTAGTTGGTTCATGGTTTAAGTATCCAATATAATATACAATATTTATGATTGTTCAAAGCGATCACATCGTCAACAACACGTATGTCTTATCAATATATACGTACCTTACATAGCAGTTGGTTGGTACCACCCTGAGTAAAAATATATTAATAGTCAATTAAAATATATCATTATATACACAGCAAACATTTTTCAAGGTTGGTGGCAAATCGGGGTTAATTTAAACTTGATATCAAGCTTGATGATATCAAGCTTAAATTGACCCTGAGTTGAATCAGCATTGATTCAAGCCTGAATCAAGGTTGATTTAACACTGAATGAACCCAAGGGCAATTATGGCTTTATCAACGTGAGTCGTTAAGTTTTGTATTTATTTATCATTTAAATTGACAAGTTATACTGTACATAGTCAAAAAATAAACATGTATGTCAAAATTTCAAAATACAAGTATAAAATAACAACATAAAAATGAGATCTCTTCCATATACTTGAAAGGGAAATCAATGTCATCGTAATAGTTTAAGGCAATTGATCACATTTATTAAGTCAATGCCAAGTCTAGATCTTCACATTAATTTTGTCCTGGGGTCTATTAACAGGGTCGGATCATTATGTAGTGATTTATTGTGAATTGTAGAGTCCGGTTGTAATGCAGAGACATCGTATCCATGTGGTCCATCAGTTGCTGCGTAGTTAAAGTCATACTAGTAGTCGCCGTTTTCAGCAAATCCCGAGCACCTAATATACTCTGAGACTCTCTTGGAAAGGTTATGTAATCTATTGTGTAAGATTATGTAATATCATATAAAGATTATTGTCATTATAATTTGCCAACAAAGAGTTGTTATGTCAACTAGTTATATATTTTTTCCTAACCCTGCGTGCCAAGGAAACCAGAATGATCCAGCTCCATAATACTGTATAAGTGGTAATTTTGCCTAATCATTTAATTTGCCTATTTCCTAATTTTTGCCAGGTTCGGAAAATTAAATGTCGGAAATAGTGTCTTTATAATGTTATCCAATGGGAGGTTTCTTGTCATTAGGAAAATTAAAATTAGGAAAGTGATGAAATTTGACCATTCGGAAAATTAACCACTCGGATTAAATACCACTTATACAGTAAGCTATCTATCAGGATGCATCAGCGTAGAAATATCCAATTGGCAACTTGATGTACCAGGTTAAAGGGACAATATACTATTTTTAAAACGTATGGTCGTCGTAGCATTTATTTTCGTGAAATTCCCAAAATGTCATACGTATATGTGAAAGTATTTGAACTAGCAATGAGTATATTTGTACCATTTGCTCTTTCAAAAGATACCCTTTAAAATGTCCCTGGACTTCATATTGAAAAGGAAAGTGCAATGGGAAATTGAGTGAAGAGTAAATTCATACAGTGACTTATTGTACTAGAAAGATCTCTAATGGCCTAGTCACATACATGTAGCCCGGCCGATGAGGTTACGATGAGCCAGCGATGCAATTTTCACTGAACTCAGCCGAACACCGGCCGGACACCGGCCGGACATCCGTTGCGTTTGTTGCTTGAAACCGCATCGTTGGTAGCTCGGTGAAATTTTAACTTCGGAGTTAAATTTCACCGGGCTCTTACCGAGCTCCCTCATCATGTCATCGCAGCCCCATCGTAACCACATCGGAAGACACGTCGGCCGGTGCACGGCCGAGTATCGGCCGGTGTCCCGTGCATCTGAGACAACCAGAGGACGAGGTTTTTTAACGGACAGCGGCCGAGCTCCGGCCGATGTGGGACAGAGCTCTACCGATGCCGGACATCGGCCGGGCTATGTGACTAGGCCATAATCTCGAATCGAATATCCATTTTCATTTTGTTGGTTCCATTTGGCACTCTTGTGTCCCATTGTGTATTTTGCGATTCAAGGATCGTAATTCGCCTTTTTGAAAAAAGTTTTTCACAGTTTTGGTAAACTTTTTAACAACAGTCTCTGAAAAAACAAAAAACAATGTAACAATATTTTTTGGGGAATATTTTTGATAAATGCAACTAATAATTCTAATTCACTAAAAGTCATGGTAACTCCATTTACAGAGGATGCTTAATACTCATATGTAGGTATTCAGGAAATATATCTGCTCTAAACGGTTTGGGTGATTTCTTAGAGTTTGAACTCTGGCCTCATCTTTGAAGTGTGAGAATTTGATGGTCACATTATTGTCTCCTTGCCAAAGAACATTTATAGATCTCAAAGTTAAAGGACTGTCAGACAAACTTAAGTGATGGTTCAAGGACTTGAAACCGAAACCGAAACAATCTTAATGATGCATATGTTCAATATTGCAGGTCATTATAGTGTCAAAGAACATGATGACAGTAATCGGTGAATCGGTCATTCAGTGTTGGATCAAAATAGCATTGATATGAACACCTGTTTGAATATACAATTCTTATTTACATGTACAGATGTAGGCGCTTTGGTTCATTTCACCGTTTTGATATGTTAATATATTTGTCATTTAATTCTAAATATTTAAGTTCGTGTTAAGCCATATGCTGCCTGGAGCGTATTTATCACAATTATGTAAATACATTTATACATATCTATATTTAATTGTATGATTTTGATGAATAAATATGTAAGTAAAAATATGTTTACTTTGTATGATCAATGTATGTGTCAAACTCAAATTCAAACTGTCATTTTATTATTGAAAATACAAGGTGACCCAAAAAGGTAACCCAAACAAATGTTTATTGATAACTCAGTTATTCATTGTTGGTATGATCTTCTACCAAGTTTCATTGGTCTATCTCCAATGGTTCATATGACGTGCACGGACCTGAGGACAATTAGGGAAATACTGGCTAACTATGTGTTTTTATATCATTTTGAAGTATTTTTTATTCGCATTTCAGTGATATCATTTTTCCCTGAAAAGTTTGATGCAATCTACCATATTTTTAAAGTTAAATATACCCCGACGGATAAAGTAATTTATTTTTAGGTTGACTAACAATTAACTAAATGTAACGCTTGTTGTTTTTGACGTTATTTGCCTATTTGAGCCCTATACTTCTCATTTTTAGGGTATTTTGACGCCATAATGTTGCGCTAATTGTCCCCAGTTTCGTGCGACGTGTATCACGATTTTATGGCCATTTACCAAACGTGCTCCAGATGCCAAATGGGCAACACGTGTAGTGTAGTGAATTATGCCCGATACATTCAAGTTAGCATCCAGACACGACGCTAGCATTTTATAACATGTTTTGTAAAATGGCCACAAAATCGCGATCATTTGAAATATACAGACGTGTCGCAAAAAGGAGGCGCATTTGTTTTTTAAGGGTATCGCGTGAATGTAAGTTTGATTCCCCGGATTATAAGATAATATTCTCATTCAAGTTATATATCATTTTAAAGCTGTTTCGATGACATTTTTAGATCAACTACACTCCGTTCACGATTCTTGCGCGTTCTTTTTTAAAAAAGAGTTTATTACCAAAACATCTGGCAAATATCCCCTGTTGACACGTTACATTTTGGATTATTTTTCGTCTTTAAACGCTCATAACTCAAACAATATATGACTATTATACTTATTTTTTGTCTTGATAAAGGTAGATGGAAGTTTTATATCAAAGGATGGATTTTAGTAAGCGTCCCATATTGTGACGTCATATAGTTTGAAAAATAGAATCTGTTGACAGCGACCTTTTTGCTCATTTTTTGTTACCTTCAACTTTTCAGGTGTACATTAAACAAAAAATACGAGATCAATTTTTAATAAATCATACATGATTATTTTGCTCCTAAACTCAAGTTTATAAATAAACATTTGATTTTGTTCGCAAAAGTATGTGTTTTCTGTTGTATGTGGAAAAGTGGAGGACGAAAGGTTTTCAAAATTCATTAAAATAGGGCTAATTTACGCCATTCGCCTATTTTCAAGCACAGCAACACGTATATTTATTTCACCTAAAATATCAATTGATTCGTGTTTTATGATGCTCCTATCCCATTGTTAATACATATACGATATCAGAGTTATTCGCCTTAAATATTTTGAGATATAGAGGCAAATGTGGAGGACGGAAGGATTTCCATATGTGTACATTTTCTCAAAAAACGTCACATTCTGTGGTGTTAAAAAGCGAAAATGTGTAACAATGCGTACGCGAGCTTTTTGCGACACGTCACCATATACTTCAATTGGTAGAATAAAAGAACATTGAACAAGGTCTAATTGTGCCAAATACACTAAACACGATGAATGACTAAATTATTAACATTTGTTTGGGTTACCTTTTTGGCTCATCCTGTCTGTTATATAAACATACCTGTTTACCTATTCGCAATGACATTATTGTAGAGACATATAAGCTTTACGAAACCAATACTGAAAGTAAAACCGAAACTGGTTTCAGTTTTAGATGCTGGAAATTCCACAAAAATATTGTGAAGTACAATTTCGCGTTAGTTAGGGACTAAACAGTTTGTGAATGACAAGTTTTATTCAATATGTCTGTCAATGACAAGGAAGATGCTAATAACAACATCCATGAAGAAAAACAAAATGGTGTGATTGGCGAGGTCCATGATGCTAAGAGAACGCTACTGAAAAAACATGAACAATTTGAAGTGGACATGCCACAGGGAGATGATCAGAAACATAGGATATTTACTAAAAAATTCATTATCGGCATTATAATGATTTTATGTGTAGTTGGCATAGTTGTTGCTGTTGTCATATCGACAAGTGGCAGAAATGGTAATCATTTCAAGATCGTAATTAACGAATTCATCCATTCGAAAACGGTTATAATTCTTTAACTTCGAAAACTGAAAGCTGTCCAATGATGAATAGCAAAATACACATTAAAAACTTTTGATTTGTCTTAAAGAGTTACATTGGCGATATGGGTAATGTTTTGATCCAATTACTCATATTTTCTCTCTTGTCTCTTCGCCCTTTTTTCCGTACCATACATCAATGCGATATATTATTCGCGACATAAATATATTCCCGAGCTTTCTCTCGAGATCTCGAAATAAAATATCAAGTCGTATAATAGACGCTACTATACACGTACAGTACTGAAGCATTACATGATAAAAGTGACATCTATATGAAAGACTGAAAGCAGAATTGCTTCAGTACCTTTCATTTGCATGTTAGAATTTTTCTTCTAAACTCAACTTTTGTTCAAGTTAATGCGACTGTCTTTCGAACCAGAGACTTGCCTCATTCGAAAGATCTCAAAAGACTTTATCTATGCTGAAAATGATAGATCCCAAAATGGTCGAAAACTGCGCTAGTCGGCTTTTGATTTTTTGAAGCGAGTTTCTGTAGATCATCAATTTTCTCCGACTGTTATCGGGTTTTCCAAATTGATTCGATTATAAACACAAATTCCTGCACCCTTATATGGCGCATGCGCAAAGTTAATTTATAAATTTGATTGGTTAATGATTATCTCCTGAGCATGCGCGAAGATGACGATGAACACTTATGATGAAGACACGTAACGAGAAGCTCTCGAACGAAATCCCAAAATTCAGATCATTTTTCTATGTTTGCTAAGCGTGTATACGTGAATACCAAGCTGCTGTCAGTAGATAAGTTATGACGAGTTTTAGACATTACATTAATTTATCTTGACGTTGAGGTGTACAGCCGCAGTTTTGAGCATGTTAATACAAGTTTTCGGGTTTTTGGGTTTTCGAAAAATCTGTTTCTATCTAAATCGGATTCACTCGATTATCGAATGGATATGTGTTTCTGTTGGCGTTTTAACACCACAACACATAGAACTACGTTGCAGAATGGTAAAAACACAAAACGACCACTCGGTTCCACTTATTATTTCACAGAAGGTAAAAATGTAGACTGCCTAGATTTTTTGTAAGGGTTGTTAGACATCGGAACGACAGTCATATTGGAACTGAATGAAAATAACACTAAATAGAGCTTTGCGCATGTCAGAAAATATTGACTTTACTAAATTATACAATTAGACAAACAGAATATCTTATGCATTTCCAGGGGTTAGGTATAGAAGAGTGAACACTGCTTAAATAATGTAAGAAATTATCAGCTTTTATAGTTCAAACCGTTTCTACATGTACATTTTCCAAAACTGGAGTCCTGTCACGTTACTGGTCACATTACATGACGTGAACTTTATTTCCTTATTATCAATTAATAAATCTTTGTTAGCTCTATGTTATGAAGGTATGTACTAGTATTGGAAGAATTTACACAAATGTATCTGTTGAAGAATTGATCTAAAAGACGGAAAGTCTGTTCCATTCGGTTCTTTTCTTGGTTATTTGTTCCCTTTAATTAAAACACGCCCGCCCCCCTCACAATCTAACAGAGCTACTGCGAAAACGAAAATTATCTTTGGATTGATGTAAGCACAATAAGTGACTCTATTTTATTTTACAGAAATTAATAGTCGACTAACGGTTGCATCAAGTACTGCCAAAACAGAATATTCCCGAGAAGAACTCTTAATTATGTGTCACCTTACAACAACAACCCAACCTCCTACAACTGATTCCAGTTTGGTCGAAGAATGCAGTTGGCTATTGAAACATGATTATGAAATTTCAGAGAATGGAAATACGACAAAACAATTTTTATGCAAAACGTACCCACATGTTTTGCCAAAGCTGTGCAGTCTATAAATACTCTAAAGGACCTTGTATATAACTGTTTAAAACGCTATACTGGATAAACTGGATCGTTGCTGAAACAATTGTACATATATCGCTTAGTTTTTTTTATTTAATAACTGAGACATTCCTTGCAAACTCATATTTTTTGTTGAAAAGAAAACATTTCAAAACCATTGCCATATCATTGGATAAAAACGCGAATCTTGAAATGCATAATTATGCCATTTTTGGTACAATTAATAGTGTCAGTAATAAGGTCGATTGATTGAATAACCTATAAGATAACTTACATGTATAAAGTGGTGTTAATATTCTTTGATGTTGTGAAAAGTTTTGTCAAATATTAATTCATGATAAGTAAGAATATTATGAATATGTAACTGAATTCAACCTAAGCACAATAAAACATTATACACTACAAAGAAAATACGATAGTAGCAATGCACTTGACAATAAATCTGAAAGGCAATGCATCAAGTACATTTTTAAAAGTATTGGTACAACTAGGCCTATTTTGTATATATTTACGGGTATAAACTCTCATTTGCATCTATTATTTTTGTTTAAGATGATGCAATAAAAACATAGATATAATTTACAAAACAATTGTTTTATGTGTATTGTATGCTTTTTCATTCCTTTGTAAATATGATTTTATATAAGGAGGGGACAATACTGATTTTAGGATATGCCTCATACACCTCCTCATACATAGCAAAACATCTTAATTAAATTAATTAACTTTATTACAGTAAATCAAATTAATTTTTTCCTCAAATGCCCCCAATTTATAAATGATAGAATCCAACTACTTATAAATCTCCATATTATTGGTTGTTTAGAAAAATTCTTAGATGCTAACTCTGTTAGCAAAGTAAATATGCTTTTGCATGGTAACAACGAACTTAGTAATGAAGATAATACACTTCTGCTGAAAGCAATTTTAAAATTCCTAAAAGCAACCAAGATTGACGAACATGTATATTACACCATCCCATAATTTACACCACTGCACACCTTTTTTGTAAAGCATTCCAATATCAGCTTTAATTGTACTTTTTCCCTTTTGTTTATATATGAATAGTTACGAATAATTGTAACAAAGGAGGAGGGAAATTAGCGCAACAGATTTTGGACAGTCATATGTTTGATTTTGGCCATTTCCTGGGGATTTAAACAATTGCATATGTTAGGCCAATGCATTACCTCCAGGAAAATCACTTCTAAAGATGATAAAATAATTTCGACTTTGAGACAGGGTAGATGCAAACAACCCACCCACAAGTTTTTTCTGAAATGTTTTCCTAATTTTCAACCCCTTCCATCCCTGCTTTTTTAATTTTTCTTGCATCAATATGTTGCATTTCGACACATAGTTAACCACTTTAAAGGAATAAGTGATTCCTTCAGGGGTTTTAAAGATACCCATTATGGATGACCAAACTTAGCTGAAAGTAATGATTTTTCCTATGGGAAAATAACATGGGAAATATTGTTTTCCACTTTATCTAAGAGGAATCATTTATTCCTTTTAAGGGATTAACTTTGTGTCAAAACGCAACATATTGATGCAAGAAAAATTAAAAAAGCAGGGATGGAAGGGGTTGAAAATCAGGAAAATATTTCAGAAAAAACATGTAAGTGGGTTGTTTGCATCTACCCTGTCTCAAAGTCGAAATTATTTTATCATCTCTAGAAGTGATTTTCCTGGAGGTAATGCTTTCGCCTGACATATGCACTAGTTTAAATCCCCAGGAAATGGCCAAAATCAAACATATGACTGTCCAAAATCTGTTGCGCTAACTTCCCTCCTCCTTTGTATTTGTATTGCATATAAGTGTATGGTATATTTTCTTCGAAGTTCAACACAAATGTTAAATTGATTAACCTTGTTGAATTTTCATTGTATGATATTAAATGCTATAATATATGAACTTGAAATAAAAATGATTAATAAAAAAAAATCAAATTAACTTAACTTATAAAGAGATCTTGTCATAGTTTCTAGAAGACTTGAGTAGTTCTAGATCGTGTTCAGTAAAATGTTGAGACGTAGCGATACTAGACTGAGGTATCTCTGCTTAGCATGGGCGATGTTTATATGAGGAAAAAAGGCTCATATTCCGTCAAACCATTGAAATAAACTAGAAATTTAAGATTGCAAGCAATCTCACGGAGGCCCTCTTAGGCATTTTTGACAATTTGAAAGCCAACTTAAGGTCAAATGTCAAATCTGAGGTTAGCTGTTAACTCCTGATAACTTGTAGATGATTTATAAAAAAGAAATTGGTGAATTTGAAGCAAGTCTAAATTTGACCTTCAAAAATTTGACCTTTTATCAATTTTTGAGCTTTTATATCTCAGAACTGGGACAAAATTCTATTAGATAGTCAATTGCTAATATGTGAAGAATCCTCAGAGGAATGTATATTCTGACTTTTGATTAAAAATATTGATTTGTAGTCTCTAACTTTGAGAATCTTAGATAGCACAGTTTGTAACCTAATTTGATGACCTTGACCATTGGCCTTGAAAATTTTACTCTTTTAGACCTCAGTAGGTCTTTTGTAATTAAGATGACCTAAATTTGAATCCAAAAACTCAATTTCAAAAATCAACTTTTCTGACCTTTCGAAGGTCGCTGAAGGTCAACTAACGGTCAAATGTCAAATCTGAGGTTAAATGTGAACTCCTGACAAGTTGTGGATGATTTTTTAAAAAAAAGTTGGGTCAATTTGAAGCAAGATAAAATTTGACCTTAAAAAATTTGAAAAATTGACATTTTTTCACTTTTTAGCTCTTATATCTCAAAACTGGGACAAAATATTTTATTAGAAAGTCAATTACTAATATGTGTAGAATCCTTAGACAAATGTTTATATTGACTTTCAATTAAAAATATTGATTTGTAGTCTCGAACTATGAGAAACTTATATAGCACAGTTTGTGACCTAATTTGATGACCTTTCGATGGTCACTGAAGGTTCAAAGCACACAACTTTAAACGGGTTGCTAATCCTAAATGTTTATGTGACAATACAACCAGACAACTTTACATTTCCTGTTGAAATGCCCACTGCTGACAGAACAGAGAACAACACTACTTGCAGGATTGGAGACGATAGGGATCCGTACCCACTATGATGGACTTAATATGCATGATCAATCCCAGTTCTTACTTTTTGGAGATAATAAATTTCCAGTAGATGTCAATGAGAAACTAATGAACATAGTAGCATATTATATCCACCAGGGTCTAGATCTTTTGGACATGTAATCGATTACAACATGTTACAACTGAAATCCCTCTGGCCAAGGGAAAAAACCTTACACATTTTTGTGATATACGAGTGTAGTGTGATGATATTTTATTGACTTTTTTTCATCTATTTTAACAATAACATGACATAAAAATAACTTATTATGTAAAAACTTAATAACATTCCTATGGATTTCACTCAAAATTGCCGTCAATGTCATTAGACTTTGGCCATTGTTTAAGTTTGTATATCTGTATTTTATGGAATACAATAAAGATGATTAATAAAAAAAGGTCAACTAAAGGTTTAAGGTCAAATCTGAGGTCAGATTTGGACTCCTTCGAATTGTAGATGATTTAAAAAAAAGATTTGGTCAGATTGAAGCAAGTTGAAAAATGACCTTTTTGACCGTTTTTTGACATCAAATATCTCAAAAACGGTAAAAAAATGAATGCTGACATATAGTGAACAATTTGTAGAAAATACGTAAATGTAGTTTCAGTTCAATTCATCTCAAGAAATAATGAAGTATAAGGACAAACTTGAGAAACTTGAAAAAACTTAGATTTGACCTAGATTTTGACCTTTGACCTTGACTCAGATAATTTGATGACCTTGACCATTGACCTTGAAAAGTTTACTCTTTTAGACCTCAGCAGGTCTTTTGCAATTAGGCTGACCTAAATTTGAATCCGAAAACTCAATTTAAAAAATCAACTTTTCTGACCTTTGGAAGGTCATTAAAGGTCAACTAAAAGTCAAATGTCAAATCTGAGGTTAAATGTGAACTCTTGAGAAATTGTAGATGATTTAAAAAAAAAAGTTGGGTCAATTTGAAGCAAGTTAAAATTTGACCCCATAAAATTTGAAAAATTGACCTTTTTCAGTTTTTGAGCTCTTATATCTCAAAACTGGGACAAAAGTTTAATAGATAGTCAATAACTTATATGTGAAGAACCTTTAGAGGGATGAATATCTTGCTTTTCAATTAAAAATATTGATTTGTAGTCCCGAACTATGAAAAACTTAGATAGCACAGTTTGTGACCTAATTTGATGACCTTGACCTTTGATCTTGAAAGTTTTACGTTTTTAGACCTCAGTAGGCCTTTTGTAATTAGACTGACCTAAAAGAGGAAAACTTCAGTTAATTGCTACACCCGAGTGTCTTATGTAACATGTGAAATGCCTACAAGATAACAAACAGCCAATCGGCTGTCAGCAAGGGATGTGGCTTAGCAGTAGTTAGGTCATTTATAAACACAAGCACAAGGCATTTTGCTGCTATGTTTACACGTTTTAACCTCTGACCTGAGAGCATTGCAGACTATTGGTCAATTTGAAATCAAATCCACATCCAAATGCTCATATTAATGAGACCTTTAAAATGTTTATTTTAAAGTTTGCTTGAAATATACTGTATAATATTTGAATATGATCTCATATTTGTATTCATTATGGTTTCATACATGACTGTAGCAAATTTGGGTCTTTGATACTTCCTAGAATTCATGATATTGGCAAAATCAAAATAAATTTACTGGTTTCAGTAATTCAAACATTTTCAACAAACATAATTGACTGTAATTGACTTATCTTCCTTTTATACCCGGTTTTCCCCTTAAATTTGAATCCAAAGACTCAATTTCAAAAATCAATTTTTCTGACCTTTCGAAGGTCACTGAAGGTCAACTAAAGGTCAAAGGTCAAATCTGAGGTCAGATTTGGACTCCTGGGAACTTGTAGATGATTTTCAAAAAAAATTGGACAGATTGAATCAAGTTGAAAAATGACCTTTTCTGACCTTTTTTGACATCAAATATCTCAAAAACGGTAAAAATTTAATACTGACATACATCATGGGCTTTCAACTAGAAGGGTAGGCAACTTCCCATATTTCATACATAAACATTGCCATGGGTTTTCAAAATTGGAGAATGTACACATTCCAAGAAAATCTTATTTTGTACTTTTTATTGATGATTAAAAGAAATAACTCAAAAATAAAAACATGATCTTCTACATACAGGGTGTTCCAAAAGTAACAGGACTGGTGCTGGCATTTTGTCAAATATGCACCAATCGTCTTCAAAATTTTACATAATGTACTTTCATGTATCATCACTAAGATTGCAAAGTTTCAACAAAATATATTAAACTCGGGTAGAGTTATGGTTGCTATAGTAACATGACATTGCAATACCCGGGGCAACATTCCACGCAAAATAATAACAGAGACATTAAGCATTTTGTACATGCCATATCATTTTGTACATGCCATATCAAAGTTGAAATGCAACAACTGGTGGCAATTACATTTGTTTTACATCATGTGATATTCCTATGTATCCTCTACTTTGTAAAGTAGGCTCCTCTTTGTCAGTACAAGAGTAGTACTCTGTATCCATGACCAAAACACATGAGTGAACCCATTTGAGGACAAGTCACGCAGGGTCGATTGGACAATTTGGAGAAGGTCATTCTCATCTTTAAAAGTCTTACAGCACTAATTAGCATTCCGTTCTCAATATAAGTAAATAAAAGGTAGATATTGCATGACCAGAAGAGTATGATGCATGGTTTTAGACCTCAAGACCTAGCTCCTCTATAGCTGCATGGTCTTTAATGGTGACCTGCGCGCAGGCGCGCTATCAAGGTAGATGACTGACTTCAAATTGGGTCTTTTCAAAAACTCAACCGTGAATTGTTCGGACTGTTATACATAGTGATATTCCAGGAAATTGAATACATATTATTATCATTATGAAATTATACTTGAATCCGAGTTGTATAGCAACACCTTTACAACAAAACAACCAATAAAAATAAACAAGAAATGTTGTATTATAATAGGTGAATTGGATACTCGTTTCAGTAATACAAAAATGTTAGATATCACATTTTCAGGAAAAAAGTTGCCCCGGGTATTGGGATGTCATGTTACTATAGTAACCATAACTCTGACCGCATTCCATCATTGTTTCTGAAACTTAAAAATTTAAGTTGCAATACTTCAAAGCACAAGTTGTGAAAATTTGAAGACACTCAGTGCAAAATTGTCAAAATGCCAGCACCAGTCCTGTTACTTTTGGAACACCCTGTACATCTTGATAATTTAATAAAAATTGGAATTCATCCTAATTATGACAATACAGAAAGTGAACATTCTCCCACAAATTATCTTTTTATTGGAATGTGTTCTTGAATAATTACCCACAATGCAATACTCAAAGAGAACATCTTGATAACTCTTATTCTTATTGGTCTCTTTTGTTTACTTTTATATGATATTGAATATATTTTATGCTTAAATCATATTAAAAATTGATTTTTATTCAAAATAATACTAAAACATATACATTTATCTATTACTTTTTGAAATATTGCCATAAAAGGAAAGCATGTCATTGCTCATTTTGAAGGTCTCATGTTATTACATAGAGTTGCATACCCTTCTAGTTGAAAGCCCATGCATACATGTATAGTGAACAATTTGTAGAGAATACTTAAATGTAGTTTCAGTTTAATTCATTGCAAGAAATAATGAAGTACAAGGACAAACTCGAGAAACTTGAAACAACTTAGATTTGACCTTGATTTTAACCTTTGACCTTGACCTAGATAAAAAATATTTCCCATCCCTATTCCAGCCCAGGTCCCTAGTAGGAGCATATAGTAGGTAGTTGAAAGCTAGTTGGAAGTAGGAGAAAAATACTTTGAAAGTATAATAAATAAATAAATAAATAAAGAATAAAGAAAGAAAAGCTACAAAAAGCTATAGGAGGCCCTTTCAGTAGGGCCTCCTAATAAACAAGCACGTCGTCCAGTACCGTTTGTACGAAGTGTTGAGAATGGGGAGTGCTTATGTAACCTGGAATTTATGGCTGTGTACAATCATCAAATTGATACCGTTAAGAAACTAGTTGAAACCTTAATATTCGTATATAGTAGATACACTTTGTTTTAGATCAAATAACACGAATTGGGACTACTTTAATTGTGCTTTGACACATTTTTCAAAGAGTTATACAAAATATATAAAAATTACAATCCTGTTTCTTTTCTTTAAATGCGACAAATGCTGATCTCAATTTTGTTTTCGTATGAAACTGTACCTTTCAAATGTCACTTGAATTGCTTTAAACGTGATGACCTGAGCCAGTTGATTACCACAAGTCCTCTCATACACGGCGGGGTCATCCCAAGGTCATCGTTATTGGTGAATTACTCTTCTATAGTACATGGTTCACGTCAACAAATATTAACGAATTAAAATAATATTTAAAGATTCTCGCAATCTTTATCCAATCAGCGTTTGCGAGTGTGTCGGCTCACGTATAAAAGGCGAATCCAACTCAAATCCATGCAGGGGTGTATGAGGTACTCGAATGGGAAAGAGCTCGTGAAATTTATATGCACATGGTCAATGTTTACTCATGTTTGGAGTTATTGAAGAAAATGTGATATGGGTGTGGTTCCGGATTTGAAGTCATTGCTGGAAAATATGATTTTAATACGTGAAATTATATCTATAAATACAGCACTAAAAATAACAGTACACATGAAGTACATGTATGATTGTGTCCAGAAATGTTTGAAACCCTTACGGAAAATTCTGTCTGCATTTTGTCACCATTGCTCTTTCTTCCCGCATTCTAGTGCTGTTTGAATGAATATATTAATTAATGTATTTCTAACTAAAATATATCACATTCTTTTTATAAACCACAAACATTTAGATCATAAAAAAATTATTCAATACTTCAGTGAGCACGATATGCAAGGGTTACTAAGTTGACACAGTAAATGACCACTGATATTGTGTTAGTACATGCACACAGCGTATTCTGCTAATATACATTTGCTAACACCCCCACTTTCATAGTGAAGTGACTAATTGGTTTATGATTACGTTTTAATGTGTTTTGGGTTCCTTGTTACAGCAAGGGGGACCAGTAAAGTAGACTAACATGTCTGCATGGCAAATTTTGATCGAATATGTGAGACACTTTAAGCAGAATTTACTTTTATCTTTATAAATTGTGAATAAGTGTTAACGATTATGTTCCGAATTTTTTCGAAAAATTTGTTTTTTTTGCTCGGAAAGGTTGTTTCATAGAACCTATGACATCATCACACAAGCCAAAACATCCTTGCAATTGCTACATCGCAAAAGATGGGAGTTTATTGGAAATGCCTATTAGTTTCTAGAGGTTTTACGAATTTTACATAAGGGTACTATTTTCATTACGTTAACTACAAGGTGATCCAACTACATGTATGTTTGTATCACTAATACCCTGGTTTGATTTGGTTTGACCTAATTGTGTCATAAAAGCAAACTGAATGGCTAATGTTATTGCCAAAGTGATATTGGGATGATATACTTCCTTTTAGTTTTGCTCCAGACCAGTAGAATGATTGTATTTTTTATTTCTAATACTTTTGTAATGTATAAATGTCTGCATGGGAGTCAACAATTTTGTGCACGATTTTTTGTGTTTCCGTTATTTTTTTTAGCTTAAGCCATAGATAAATGACACCTCTTGGCGTAAAAGACAAGGTAATTTGGTGTAGAGGAGCAAAAATTATATTTCCAATATACTAAATATCATGAAAATCGAGCCACTCTCGACAGTGTTATGAATTTTCAAAGGTAAAAAACAGTTAATCGCCAAGTATTCGCGAATCGCGTTCTCTTCACGAATTTGAGAAAAAAATTTTTTCAAAAACTACTGACTTGACCTTTGATTTTTTTACATATTCCTAATTCACAATACTATCCAGGCCAGCCTGCGAGAAAGTTTCCACAGACATCGCGAGCAGTGAGCTCGTGTTAGAAGCGGGGCCTTGTGAGATATGATAAAATATAATTATAGTTGAAGAACGTCGTTGCCCTGCAACTGAAATAGCCATTGTACTATGAAATAAAGTTGTACTGAGTTTCACTCACTAGAATTTCATAGAAAATTTTAAATTTCAAATATCTCATAAGGCCCCGCTTCTCACATGAGGTCATTGCTCGCGATATCACGGGCCTGGATGGTGCCGTGTAATTGTTGTCAGAATTATGATGATACCGTTTTCCAAAGGAGTTGGGTAAACAAGGCCATTTTAAGCCCCACCTGATTTTCAAGTTTTCTCTTTATTTTATTAATCTATGTGATATATGTGTTTCAAAAATGTATGAAAATTTAGGTCAAGGTCATATTCCCCAGGTCAAGGTCAAATTAAAAAATTCATTATTTTCTACCAAAATATACCTTTTTGGTTAAAATTTCACAAATATCTGTAGGAATTTAGTCTCATAAAGGTTGGAATTACAATATACATGTATAGTAAATTGGCAATTTGCCAATAATGAGATATTTATATTAATATATTCCGCCCTTCCCACGCAACACTGAAAGAGAACAAAAGTACCTAAAATAATGAAAATACTTTATTATTTTTAATTCATTTAAATTCAGAATGTACATTTCATGATTTTCCTCTGCCAATATCATATTTTCCCTCAGGATAAAATTCATATTCCATCCCTCCCATTATATAACCTCTATGTATTCAATAGCAATATCACCCAATTCAATATCGCCCAAATATGACCCAGATAATGTCCTAATATCATAGCAACATCAACCAATTGTCAATCAAATGTCACTCTATATCAATCCAAAATAACCCAAGTATTGGCCTCATATTATTTAAATAACAGTCCAATATCAACCCTCTTATTTACCAAATATCACCCAATTATTCTGATTGTAATAATATCCCACTGTAAATCCAATATCAGCCAAATATGAGCCAAATAATGGACCCAATATGATAGCGCTATCACCCCAATATCAATCCAATATCACCCAAATATTGGCCCAATGTGATAGCAATATCACCCAAATATCAAGCAAATATTGGCCCAATATCAATCCAATATCACCCAAATATTAGCCCAATATTATAGCAATATCACACATATATGCCCAATTCGATAGCAATTTCTGACAAATATCAATCCAATATTAACTTTATATCTGCCCAATTACCAACATATTGCCATTACATAAGCAATAAAAAAAAATATAAGTTCTGATATCAACCTAATATCACAACAATCTCCTCCCAAATCAAGCTTATATTACCTCAATATCACTTCTATTATTAGTTGCAATAGTCTTGACTTGTGAAGCTAAATCTTCTGTAACCTTTCTCCGTTTTCTAGGAGAATTTACCTGCTTCCTACATATGCAGCATGAATAGCATTTGGCCATTTTGAATAATCAACAAAAATGGCAGGCAAAATTTTCTATAAAGTTCTAAAATTCACATCGAGCATAATAAGTCTCCATCAAAATTATTCTTTGTATGCAACAATATAACATTTATGTAACTAAAGAAGCACTTATTAGAGTGGAGACTTGTTATGCTCTATGTGAAAACACTCAAAGGATTACTACCTCCAGTGAATAAAAATGTCACCCAGACACAGCATGAAATGTCCTTTCAAAGCTTTACTTACCTCTAAACTGTACATATTGTTTAAATCAATTGTATGTATGGATCAAATAAATATATATTTACATAATCCTGGACATATAAATCAAAAACATTCATTCATAGCTGAGTAAATTGGAATTCATCAAGAGGGTTGTAAAATATGTGAATTTTTTTCCTTCTGGCCCCCGCCCTCTTTGAAGGTCTCCAGACACCGTAGCAATTTTTTCTAAATTTTTTTAAAAATACTACCCAAAAATATAGACTTCAATCTATGCATTTCTGATATTTTTTTCTCCTATTCTTAAAAAAAGTTTTTTCACAGTTCAATTGGGGCACTCTCTGTTGCTAGTTTACCCAACTCCTTTATAGTCTCCCATCCCAAATTCTTCAGTTTCACTATTTCGATGTGTATGCCGTTGCTAGGCAAAAATATGGACCAAAATTAGATTTGAACAATACCAAGCTAAGCATTTATACATACATACTAAATCACTGCTAATTGGTATTTGTTGTACATATTGTACAATATTGTACAATATTAATCCCAAAGACAATAACAAGTTGAACTTGAAATTATGATTATTCATGACCAGTTTCACGTTACATTGATTTTAATGGGATTTCAGACACCTTTTATCTTTGAAAGTGCATAAGTTCAGTTCAATAAATTATTTTACCATGATTTTTGTTTCATTACAAAGATAAAAGATTATTCTTCAAGGAAGCGAAGCATTTTTTGGCAAAGAAAGATAATTGACAATTTATCACAAAATGTCAAAAATTTACACCCCCTAGGACACGTTGAGCTCAATTTGACCTTTATTGACCTACTTTTAAAGAAACAATACTTTTCTGAAGAGGTAATTGAATAAGGTTTACAACAATACCAACAATATTGAAATCAGACAAGTAATTAAGAATCACAGGGGTCAAAATGACAAAAAAAGTTCACCAATAAAATCTACCAACAGTCTTTAGGTCTCGATATATTTCCTAAAGAGCTCTATTTACCAGTAAACATAAACAATGGAAGCAAAAATGGCATTTTTGAGAAATAAAATGATTTGATGAATAGAATGATTGCATTATAAAATAAATCAAATATTAAAGAGATGGAGAGGCTACTCCTAAATCATGTTACGAGAACTTTTTGATTCATTTTGATTTTTGATCTATCCCATTTAATGTTAGTTATATTAAATATACAGGGTGGGCCAAAAAAACGCCACTTTTTTCAAAATGCTATAACTTTTTTAATATTTGATACAAAATCATAATTCACATACCAAATGAAACTCGAGGTTGTTATCTAGCCATTGATCATGAATTACATACTTTTACTTGAATAAAATATGTCACCAGCGTCTCACTTAAACATGTGGTGTGCCATGAGAAATAAGCATAATTTGCATAATGTTCCTAGACTGATACGCCCTGATGACCGCAAGCTAATAGCCGTTATTCAAACCCAAGTGAGTATAGAGCATGGGGAGGTCTCCAGGAGATGGTATGAAGGCACCCGATCTAAAAAATTGCTTAATCAACTAAAGCTGGCAATTAAGACACATTGAAAAAAACTTAGCTAACATTTCATTGATACTGCTATATCAGCAAGGCGACTAAAACTAAAATCTATCATCAAATGGGGTGGCGGACCAATTGAACTCCTCTTTTTAGATCAAATATAATCCCAGTTGAAGGACTCGTTACATTATATTATTACTAAGAACCCTTGGCACTATATAACTGCAAAATTTGGGGTATGAAGGTTGATAAATAAAAAAGGTTTAGTGTCTTGAAAAAAAGTGGCGTTTTTTTGGCACACCCTGTATTTTAAATTCAAATTGACCAATATATCCAGTGGTATAATATACAAACACGAGAGGTACTACTTATACATCGTTTCGACCACCATATAATGTACTTCATTTTACATCAGAATATGTCGCTGTATTGCTAGAGCAATGTTTCATGTATGAAAATGGTGGGACAGGTACAACTTCAAATCGGCACAGAAATTTACCCAACCTGCTTTAGGATTGATTAAGCAATATAAATACGAAAATAGTATTATATTAGTAGAAGTACAAAAATATTATTGAAATCCATGCATTAAGAAATTTACATCAAACACATATATTTTTTCACTATGCCTTTACTGTAGCTTTTAGACAAATTAAAGTAGATAAAAATGTCAACCGATGTACCAAAAGTCAATCTTTATTTTTTAAATATGATTCGTCAAGTTCAGTTAATGTTTGTTCGATTATACTTGCACAAGATTGGCAACACATATGGAAAATCTTTGCACATAAATGGTTTTGTTTCCCGGTGTTTGGTTTCAGTATTCATTGCAGAATCATCAATTGTATGTGCAGTTACAGCGCTCTTTCTAATTTTAGTCTCTCTAGTGGATCCTTCAGTATCGTATACATATTCAGCTGTAGTAACTCCCCTTCTTATGTCAATTAAGTTGGTTACATGCTTTATATTTGTGGTATACAGACAGCCTGGAATTGGAACTAAAACAAAATATTAAAGGTTCAACGGTAATATTGATGTTGAAAGAAAAGTTTACCTAGTACTTTATGCTGTGTCACATTTTTACCGATTCTTTTCAGACTATATTGAAATAATTCTGCATCAGTTTCATGAATTATTTTCATTGTTTTTAATATAGGCCTCTGCTTTAGTTAAGCTTCATGATCGAGATTTCTTATTTGATTTTAGATAGCAATAGGTTACCTTTCATGACCATATATACAACTGTAACAACTGCTGCAACTGCGAATAAGATAACAGCAGATGATACAATGACAATAATTAATCTGCGAGACTTGGCTCTCTTCAGTATATTATATTTTCGATTTGTCATACGTGTTTTCTTCACTTCCTCACTTTGCGCATGTGAATGTGAATGTTTCTCATCGGTCCGATAAAATTCAATATCTCGTATAACTGCATATCGGCTATTCAAGGGTTCAAGATATCCGTCATCGTCGTATGGATCATAATCCGCCATTTTCAGGATTATTTTTGTCATAAGGATTTCTCGAGTTCCCTCCAGGCATCCCAGCAGAAGATCGCAATAACATAGTTAAAACACTTTATTGTCATTTTAGCTCATATGTAAGTATCTGTATGATTATGAAACAGTTGTTTTCGTTCCAGTTTCGTATGGGTAGTTCTTCAAAATGACTTAGTGCACTTCTCACCTGACAGTTGTTCCTGGCCACTTGTATGATTATTCATTAACCAAACTATATTATTCTTAAAGTCAGTGTTTTGAGAAGTCAAACATCAAATTGGGGAATTTCGGTATTTCCAACAAGGCAAGAATTGGGCTCTTTTCTACCAAGACTAATGAACGCAAAACACTTTCAAACGAATGGAGCATTTGAACACACCTCTCCACTTCACCATTTTAAACCGCCTGCGAAATATAAACATCGGTGTTACCTGTTACCTACGTGACACTTAAGTAAGTAAGTAAGTGCAAAATCGTTTCAAAAGTTTCGGTTTGAGTTTCAATACCAGAGATGGCCCAGTCTAGATGAAATTGTGAGATTGGTTCCGTTACGATTGAAAAAGTATAGATGGAAGTGCTACAGGGTCAAGGTCATTTAACTTGGACTTGAATTAACTTGTCCAAAATAACCTAAAGTAAAGCTGTCAAATTAAGCAAATTGAAGCATCTACTCAAATTCAAATGTAAATGTTAAAAAAATGTAAATGGTTAACGTATGTGATCAGTAAAATATTTAAAGGCAAGGTAAATGGGTAAAGGAAATGAATTCTGTTTTTACATAGCAGGGGTTTCATTAGCAGCAGGCAACAGGCGCTTTTCACCTGTTGTTTTCACAAAATCGCCTGTTGTTTTTAGGGACCTTTAACTTTTCCATGTTAAAGGACGATTCTCGGTTTGGAGAAGTTCATCAATCTAAATGAGCATTATCCCTGCTTCGGACAAATTTGATTTTTTTACATATTATAGATTTAAATGTCTTCTATTGAATGGTCAAAATTTAATTTGGGTAATATTTCTAGTTTTTTCGCAAAAAAATATTGGCGCAGTACACTGATGAACTTCTTTCCCTATATCGATACTTGTATTTTATTGAATCGGTCAAATTGAGCATTATCCCTGCTTCAGACCAATTTGTTATTTTTACATCTTGTAGATTTAAATGTCCTCTTTCGAATATTCATAGTTTAATTTGGGTAATATTTCTATATTTTTCATGAAAAAAATTATTAACCCAGGAGACTGTTCTCCAAACCGAGAATCGTCCGTTATGATATCCATTAATTTTGCCTGTTGTTTTCATTTATTTAGCCTGTTGTGAGAAATTATAGTGAAACCCCTGCATGGGATTCTATGGTAAGTGCCATGCCCACTTTAGTGAAATATTCACACTTCAGGGGCCTATTGCTTAGGAAAAAATACTCTAAAATATCGTTTTTTAAGTCTTCATATCCTTTGTTGCCCGTTTTAATCTCAGAAAATCATGAAAAATAGGGACGTGAGTATGTTATTATGCTATTTTATACTGTATTATTATACTGCACTACAGTGTAGGTGTAGATAAGATACACTCCCCTCCATAAGTTTGGCAACCTTAGCTCCCCCATTGAACTACGTGTTAAAACCTCTTTACGTTTGAATTTTTATTTACTTAACCGGCGATGAAATAACTCATAAAATTTTCTCAATTTTTTCCCTTAATTACAATAGGTCGGAAATTGATGATAAATTTGATGAATTTTTGAAAATCGTCATTCCCATGTAAACCAATGGGAAATGGTTGGTTCGGGGCAAATCAGAAATCAGGATATCTATTCAGTAAAAGATTCAGCAAAAAATATTTCTACATAGAAAATGAATTGTCTTAATTTTTGTACACTAAGTGTTTAGTTTGCTTGATGCATACTTAAGTTACAGAGAGTCAATGTCATTTTTTGAAAATCATTTTCACCTCCTGTGCTTTTTCAATGGGAGAGTTTTTTGAAAAACAATTTTGGCTTTAAAGAATCTGAAGAAACTTATCAATTTTTTGTTAAATAAAGCAAATTCAATTGCCTACCTAACTTCTATTTTTTGCAAGGACTCGGATATATGGATATTCTGCCATATGACTTGCGACAAACCTACCATTTCACATTGGTTAACATGGGAATGTCGATTTTCAAAAATTCATCAAATTTATCATCAATTTTCGACCTATTGTAATTGAGGAAATAAATTGAGAAAATTTGGAGGTATTGGAAATAAAGTCAAATTCCGTTTCCATCAATATCATAAGTATTTTCATCGCAGGTTAAGTAAATAAAAGTTCAAAGGTAAAGAGGCTTTAACACGTAGTTCAATGGGGAAGCTTAGGTTGCCAAACTTATGGAGGGGAGTGTATAACATGTAGAGATTGTTATATGTGTATATAAGATTCCAATCTTGATGATCTATGGTTTCTTCTTATCGATTAAAACGTAATATGTCAATATGAAATAATGAATTGGTAAAATGTTTATTAAAAACAAAATTAATTTTAATATGTATATGTTAATTAGTAATCATTAAACGTTACTTTATTAAAGTAACATATATGCTACATTAATGTATTCTCTTTAACATAACAATTCTTCAAAATGATTAATATAGTATATTTGCAACATGACATAGTTACAAAGTAAATTGATATGACTCCATAAATTAAATAACTGGATAAATCTAAAATGTACATTATCATATCATAAATATATACCTGGTACAGGGTGACGCAAAATATGCCATCCATATTATCTCGCATAACCTCTTTGTTTGCAATTGTTCTTTAGAACGTTAAAACTGGGCTCCGTGCAATCGCACAAGTTTCAGATGACTAGTTCAACTAGATACACTCAAATTAGGATTACAAGATTTGCTCGAAATCTTGTCCATTCCTTTGCAGGCACACATAGATTCCACACAAATAATGCCACTTACTTCTTGTATCACAATTTACTAATGCTAATGCTTTGTGCTTGTACCTCCAGGTCCATAATGATTCAATTAGTGGTTCCACTAAGTTTAGTTTTTATGTGCCAAAGTAAAGTAGGAATTTATGCAGACAAAAAAAGTTATGTTGGTGGGTGGTATTTTTGTGTCACACAGTATGTACATATTTTCTTATACAATATTCATTTTATTATAGTTTTAATGTCATAATTGTAAGATTTAGATATATTACACGGATAAAAATATGCTTCAATTATCTTCTTTCGAATGGTTTTCATGAGAGCATAACTTTGGCAATACATAGGGAAATAGTTTGCACATAAAAGGTGTAGTTCGTGTTGCATTTATTGTAAATACATCATCGTTTTTAACCATAGTCTTGGATTCATCAGTTACATCAATTGCAGTTATATTGTTTTTAGTTGCATTTGTATTCAAACTTTTTGTCGTGTTTGCTTCAGGGTTAACGGAAACTTCCCCAAATGTTACAATATCTGAAAAATATAAAGTGTGTATTACACGCAACTTTTAAAAATATTATACATTGATTAACATTAATTCAAGACTTATGATAAGAATAAACTTATTTTGAACCAATCTATATTATATGATTGTCCATTGAAGGAACTGAATGGAATAGTGAGTGTACAATATTGGATTCAGATGTCACGTAAATGTTTCCTTACAATCCCCGTATTATTACTATCTTCTTATGATATGAGTTGAGATACAAGATAATATGCAGATGATTTAAAAGACGATTGATTGCAGGTACGGTCAGTTGTTTAAAAATCGAAGAATTACGATGAAATAATGTCGGAACTGTTGGACTTTTTAGGAAAAATGATGTCAAGGCTAATCATTAAATAATTACCATTTTGATTGTAGACAACGACTACAGCAACGGCGATTAAAACAACAACGACTACAGCAGCGACTGTGATTAAACCAATCTTTAACCAGTTCCGATGTTTGTGATCTTTCCATCCGATCTTCTCCAAAATGTTTTTTAATCTTGTATAATTGCCCTTTGTCAAAGTCCTACGGTTATGCTGCCTGCTTGCCATGTTATTAAACAGTGGCTTGTATTTGGTTAATACGGTAAATCTGCGTGGAGAGTGGTTTTGAGCCTTTCCAACTGAGTATACTCCTCCTGCCAGTTATCAGAAAACTCCAAGCAGAAATTGGGAATGTAACTCGGTACAAGCTCGCGTCTTTCAACCCCTATAACCACAGGAATAAATCTTGTGAGTTCTCCAGAATTGATCAATCTACGAAACACACACTCAAGTGTGTAGACGGCGGATTTGTCTGTTTTGAAGCCCTTGTTGAAAATTGTTAAGATATATCTACCCCTATCTAATGCTTCAAAGTTCTGCTCAGGTGAACTATTGCTATCAGAATCTCTGTGCCAGAGGAACCCTTTTAGTCCACGTTGTTCCAAAATTACAAGTAATTTGTGTGCAGTTTCAATAGAATTGGGTGAATTCTTATTGTATATTATTAAGAAGTCATGCGAGTATAACTTTATGAAATCTGTAAAACACAAACATATCAGAATATACAAAGAAAGCCCTATACAGGTAGCGTAAACATATTGTTTAGAATGTGTTGGAACATATGTTCTAGTATCACGGTGCCCATGTCAAGCTGCGCGCCTACTTAGGCGCGCAGTTTGTTTCAATCACAAACTGCGTGCCTAAGAACATTGCATCATTTAAGTTGGAGTCTGTATTTTGAAACGTAATTTAAAGATATTTATCAGTGCATTGTTTTCTTGTTCAATGCGTTCATTCTGTGGCGAATATATGAATCTTTCAAATACTAGCAAAAACTATGTGCAAATGAATCTAAGTTTTAAAACATAAGCAGATTAATGGCATTTTCGTCACTGATTTAACGGGAATTTATACGTAAACCGATCTAGCACTTTAAACATAAATGACAAATACTTTAGACTCATTTTATATTTAATTCCTTACACATTTATCATGTATAATTCAAAATATTACGAGATAAAACAGATAATCAGGAGATCAAGAAATAAATCACAAACTGCGCGCCTATTTTAGCCAGAAATTACAAACTGTGCGCATACACTATTAAAACTACATATTATCATTGGAATTTATACAGAGGCACGTCTAGGTGTTTTTCATGTAGCTTTGGAAATTTTGCTTTATCGTCAGATTTAATGAGATTTTCATATTGAAAGTCAAAATGTATAATAGAAGTGACAATTAAGTTGGGAACGAAAAAAACTTTTATTTTCAGATCACCATCTTGGTGGATGGACTCTAAGTGTTTCAATTATGGGGTTCTACTATTGGACACATATGTGCCTTGTATGGCGCTAATGTTTTCTAATAATACAAAACAAGCTTGGATAGGCAAGCAGTTTGGAAATATTAGGCACGTAGTTTGGGAAATACATGTGAATATAGGCGCGCAGTTTGACAAGAAAAATGTTTAAATCACGTTTATGGCGTATTATCGTTTTGAACACAAACTTTGCTGCTTTAATCAGATGGAGTGATCCTATATGTTCTAGCATACACAGACACAATGGCTGAATAAACGCCAAATGACGATAAAAAGACGTATTGAACACAGAAGTTACTTAAGACCCTTATATTGAGATAACTAGGTTTACATCGGGAAAAACATTGAGTACTATGAGTAAATTAAGTTCATCTTCACAGAATGGTACTATCTTTAGAACGAGACTAACCTTGTATTTTTCGTATTTTGGTTCTTTTTGGGAGTCGTGTCCTCCCGCCCGTCTCACATTTTGAAATATGCGCGCAGTTTGTCAGAGTTTCAAACTGCGGGCCTAGTAGGCACGCTGCTTGACATGGGCATCGTGAGTATGTATCTTAATTTGGAAGTCATATGTGATTAAGGAATTTTAACTGTATGCACAAATTGATTACATTGATATATACCTGACATGATTCTGCTGAAATGACTTCATGGCTGATTGATTATATGGTCATGTGTGTCTGATCATGTAATGCTTGTGCGGACAATGATATGTAGAAGGACAACAATCGTCAAAGAGAGATTTCTGCAAAACACATAATAAGAGACATACATGTACAGGAACGTCGATGTCAGATTGCATTAACTCAAAATACATTGCCAAAATCCAACCAAGATTTACATACATTGATTATCTAAGTAAGACTGCGTTGACAGCAACCCTTGTGTTTTAGATGTTCAAATGAATTTTTGGTTAATTTTCAAATCTAGTTATTAGACTTTATAAATCTATACTTACTGTTATAATTCTTGAAGACTTATGGGGACTTAACGGGTTGCACAATGGTGATCTTTAAAATTAAACTGAAACCAATACTTTGGAACTGAAACTGAAACCAATGCTTATAGAGTTTATAGAAAACATGTGAATGTGCAGGTAAATCAGGTCTGAACAGGTATTACAAGTATGTGATATGTGGGTACACGTATAACCTCAAGTCAAGGAGAGGACCTTTGACCTTGAGTCATTAAGTGGAATAAACTGGTAATGATGAATATATTTGTTATTTAATATATAATTGCGTTTGGGATATTTGGGTTCTGTTTTCTCCATGACTAGGCGGATTGAGCTATTAGATGTTACCTTCTTGAATGTGTTTCTTTTGTCACGTGTGCCTCCACATTCTTCATATAGAATTTGTAGAAAGTTGTGGCATTTCTCAAAGAATTGTGCACTGAGCTTTAAAATACATTAATTTATTCTAAATGGTAAGAGTCGATCACCATTCACAAAAAGAGATAGCTTGTCTTGTTGGGACTTACATGTATACACTTGATAGTTGAAATTTTGTATGTTCCCAAGTTCATCCTCTAGTTCAATGAAAAATCTCAATCTAAGTGTGCAGCCAAAAGCTACATGTAAGGTAGTCTCATTTTTGTAGCCACATTGGCATACAGGAGTCTCCACATTTGTAAAATTATGTGAATGTAATTGAGACTTAAAGGCAAGGTCACATCTAACTTTATTAAAAATAATCTAGCAGCCTCTGTTCGCAGGAATTCTTTTTATTTTCACATGTTGTAGAGGAAGGTCTAAAATTTATGTTGGTACCATACATTTTCTTAGTCTTGAAATTTGCAGAAATTATAAGCCCTAACCAAATATTACTGAAAATGGATAAAATGTGATTTTCAATATCCGTGATTCATCAATCCTTCAACACCCTTCCCCTGACATTTTTTCGTTGCAGTCTTAAAGAACTAATATTTTCTGATTTTGTTCAATTTTGAATCCGCATATTATGGCTTAAAACTAGCATCCTACCTTTGTTAGTTGCAAAGTTATTGTGGTCCAAAGAAATGTTCTGAGCTTCCACAGACAAAAACATTTTCCAGTGAAATCGCGAACATAACCCCTATAGCTATATGATCTTGAAATGTCAATATCTTCACAAATCATGGACCAATTCTAATGAAATATGGCTCAAAATATTAAATATTAGATTTTCTTTTGATGAAACGGTTAAACCTGCTTTAAAATGATCAATGAAAGTGTGAAATGTTTTTTTCTGTTTAAATAGTATCCCTTTTGTCATGGTAGGGTTTTAAACTTGTATCTCTAACCGAAAGCTGTTAAGATCATCCAATGTGTTTCAACAATTTCCGCGAATCACATAGGTAAAATTTTGCACAATATCTAATTTTCAGGCATGTTTGTTAAACTCTTGTAATTTCTTCAAAATTTAAGACTGAGAATAAATTATGGCATCAGCCAAAACGTTAGACCTTTCTCTACAACATGTGATAAAATGAGTCTATTCATGCAAGTATTAAGGAAAACATAGCCTGTTGCAGGGGTTCACTTTTTGGACCACCCTGTATATTTCATGACCATCAGATTGATAGTCACAACGTTACGGCACTTAAAAGAATATGCCCCAAAGGCCACTATTGCTCTTTCGGCAAACCTGCACACATAGTCCAAAATGTCCCTACCTGTGGAGATACGGTAAATATAGAGTGTATAAGAAAGACCTCAGGACAATTGCAGACCTCAAAAGTGAGATCATTTGTGTCATTTAGGCCATACCTGCTGGGGAATGCATTCGGGTCATTGACAACTGTGCAGTTGTGACTACAGCGGGATAATGCCCTAACTTGAAGCATGTTGTTCAAAGTGCTGTAAAATTGTGCAGCAAATAATTTTATGTTCAGATTGACCGTTTCTTAAATACGTTTTATTGAAATTTACCCTAGACTGCTTTTGAATATTTAGTCTGATCAAATGTCGCATTACATTTTTGAAATGAACTTAACGTTAAAAAACGTTCAATAAAACGCCAATAAAAGCTCCATCATACATGTAACATCCATTATATCGTCAAGTTTGAATACATGTTAATGATGCTTCTTAACAGTAATGTGACAACAACAAGAACGATGCATTGATGATTCCATCATAATATGTTACGACTAATTTGTTAGTTCCTGTTCACCATGTACCTTTGTCAGAGAGTAGTCATCAATGAATAATGGATTTTCAACAGAAAGATGGGGTAATTATTCATAAAATATTATACTATAATAGTAGCTTGTTTTCTTTGAAACAACATCAATGAATCAAATGTGCACGCAGTTTGAATTGTCATAATTCTACAAATGCAAGTAGACAATTTTGGTAAGTCTGGTCATTCTTTAAACAGTCATGAGGATTTGTTAGATCACATTCTTTTTTCGTAAGTGATCTCCTCGCCAAACTCCTTGTTAAACAATCTGATGTAACTGAGGTCCTTATCTTTTCAACAGATGAGGTTTAACCAACATTTTGACACGTGTAACCTAGAGTTTAAAAAACAATGAATGTCATTGGCAGGTCATATAGCTGAATTTCTTTATTTAATTTGTTTACTTGTTACGTAGTGAAAACCAATTTGCGAAACCGATACTAAAACATAACTAATACATTTAATATTGTTTTCAGTTTTAGTTTCAATCATGGTTTTAACATTACTCCATTCTGAAAGAAATAGATTGAAAGGTTAAACGTACCCTGCTTGAGTAATGCAACGCTCGAGTTTGTAATAATCCTGTTTTTCAATATGACTGAAGAGTTAGTTAAAAAAAACTCGCCTATAGTGGTAGAAATTCACAAATTCCCCGTGACCAAGTTCTTAAAGAATGCAATCAGTGATTCTAAAAGAGATCTGTCTGCCATTATAACATCCTCAGCAGATTCCAAGGCTTCTATTTCGTACCTTACTGGTTGCTTCTTCATCTATTTTACAATCATTTTTAGATTTTTGTATTTCCTGTGTCGATTAACACTCCCCCGACACACTCGCACCGTGGAGTTTTTACTGTAAATAAAGAGTTCTTCCCCATTTTCTGTCATAGATTGAAGAATAACACCTAAATCTATTTTGTTGATGTCAAGATGTCCGGATTTTTCTTTCAACCCAGGTGATTGACCTACACCCCCAAAATGCAATCTGATTTCGACGCCGTTTCGGTGCCAAATTTCGGTGCTGTTTCGGCACCAAATGGACTGACTAGTCCGGTAGCAAATTTTGGTGTCGAAAGGTGTCGGTGCCGAAACAGTGCCGAATTTTTTCGATGCCGAAACGGCGTCGAATTATATTGGCTGTGTACCAATAGGGATTTCTCCGCATGTTTTGCAACGTGTGCCTATTTTTAAACCATCGGTATATTGATTAAAGTGGCATCACTTGTGTTTGAAAAATTTACCAAAGGAATTATATGAGGGATTTAGTAAAACCCCATAGAGATACACAACCAAAATGCATTCGATTTTCGATGCCGAAACGGCGCCGATTTATATTGGCTGTGTACATGTGCCGGACAAATGGTTAATGCTAAAATCAAAGCATTTTAAAACAATACAGTTCAATTTCATAAAAAGTTTCGCAATACGAGATAATTCATGATACAATTAAAGTAAGCATGATTTGTGAAGCATGCAGTAGGATTAATGAGAAAAAAGATTGTAGATTATTATGAGACTACGTATGTTTATATTGTATATGTCAACTGTGGATGACTCGATATATCATGCAAACCATTGTGTGCAATTTACATCAGTCAAGCTTTTTCAAATCTTTAGTTAATATATTTGTCTTGGCTGACTTATTAAATAATTATCACAAAGTGTTGACAATCATGTTTTAGTATCTATCATTTAACACATATGCAGCTTTGCAAGTCAAAATAGTTGATCCTAAACACTGTCAATATTAAGTCCATATCTATAGCTTATGTTGTACCTTATGTTGTATCCAAAATAAGTACAATATATTTGTGAACTGAGTTTGTTACGCGGTAAACACGATACAAAAATATGTCATATTCCGCAACGAATATGGCATATTCACTTGCGGTGTATGACAAATTCACCTGCTGTATATGGCATACAAACTAACCAATGAGAACGTGATACGGAAGTACGCAATTTTCAATTGCATCGATTGAACGAAATAGTAAAACGTTATTAATTATTGTAATGATTACTGAATCAACAGTACTGTGTATCGAATATATTAACTTAGCAGAAGTATCAGTCACCAATCTCGCGTATTAAACTTACTCAATCAATCCAGGATTCATATATAAGTACTCGACGCACTAACTATAATGGTAATACAGCGTAGTTTTACATTTAGAGTCGATTCTCGCAACCAATCAAATCAAGGCTTTCTGTATCACGTTTTCACCTGCAGTATATGTCATATTCACCTGCGGTATATGGCATATTCCGCAAGTGAGTATGACATATTCCGCAGGTGAGTATCGGGTATTCACTGAAATCAATGTATTGCATATTCACTGCGGAATATCGCATACTCACCTGCGGAATATGCCATATACCGCAGGTGAGTATGGCATATTCACCCGTATCACAAATACCGGGCAACCATGAATGTATGCCATATACCGCGTAACAGAGTAAGCTTTAGAGGAAACTGGGATTTTTTTGTACATATTTACTCATTTTGTTATAATGGTTTATGTTGTATATATTGACTGTGACATGAGTGATCATATCTAAATACCTTATTTCAAAGTTAAATGATGCATTTTGAATAAGGAGGTCATCGAGATAAATAAGTAGTGAACTTTCGTCGTGATCAACGTGCCTCAGATTGTAACCTTTTTACATTTGATTTGTTTCCCTCTCTTTGAAAGGACCTTATACACCCTCCATTGGGATCTCCCCATGGGAAAAAAATAATTCATCTTATTATTTAAAATGAGTATTTTGCTTCAATTATTACATTTATATGCACACTAGTATCTTGTTGACCTATATTCAGCACTGTATTGATGTATATGCCACTTATTAGGGTCATAATTCAATCATGAAGTGTAGAGGTATAGATTCCAAACCAGGAAGTATTTTTGTGTCTGTCAAAATCCATTTACATCCTACGCATCCCTGCATCTTATCCAAATATGTTACTACATAATGAAATATAATACTATAATCTTTGGTTTTACAATTTGTATGATATTTGATAAGTGTAAAAGTTGTTTTTGGATCATTTTTCTATAGCCATTTTGTAGGGGAAAAATGATGAAAAAATGTACAATCTTTTAATTAAGTATGCCCTGAATCGATTGCAAACTTCATATTTGCACATTTGATGAGATAAACCATTTGTGTCGTATTGTGAAATTATTAAGTTTGCAATCGATTCAGGTCATAGTGTATTTTTTCGAGGTCTCCTCTGCCGAAGGCAGCGCAAAGTATTAGCGTAGCGGGAGACCTCGAACCATTGATCACGTTTGCTCCTGTAATTATTCACTTCTTCACCTCTTTAAAATGTGATTTCAATCAGTTGATCAAATTTTCGGACTTTGACCTCAAATTCAAATATTAATATTTATAAAAAAAAAACTTACTCCTTATTATATTTTTAAAAGTCTTTCAAATAAAGTGAAATGAAGGCAAAATCACAAGGAGGATTGGCTCCCAGGATCGAAACTCGATATTTTCCAACAATGAAAACGTCGAAATGTCGTTATTTTCTGAAATTAAAACCGACTATAAATTCAAAATAAACAGTTCAAAAGATTCGAACCAATATCTCGATCATTTCTTGTGAGTTTTGGAATTTTTCGTTTGGAAATAAGACCAAAATTCACGATTTAAATGTTGAAGTGAACAAAATGGCGGCTGTTTGAATTCGAATTTTGTATTACGACATACCCATATATGGGACAGAATATCGGTGGTGCACTCTGGGAGCCAATCCTCCTTGCAAAATCAGCTAAAATTATGCAATGTCGTAAATGGCGTGACTGGAATATGATGCAATCACCCGTAACGTCAAACACGTATTGCCATTTGCCACATCAACAACTAAACAAATAATTAATATAGACTTCACTGATTGGTTTGTGACGTCATAAACATGTTACCCAACCAACAACTAAACAAATAGAAGTATAGGTTCGTTCAGTGCCACGCTCTTGAATCAATTATAAACAGGGATAATCAACAGATATATGAGAGGGTCAGGTATTTTTTGACTTGGAGACCTCGACTCGAGGAGTTTGCTGCATTTTCTTGTTGGTATTTCTGTGATAATCAATGGAAATCAATGGCCTCTATTGGGATCTGCTGATATCCTCATGTTAAGTCAATGGTGCACAGCCTCATGTAAGTCAATACAACCTTACTGAACGAAATTATCCCCATCTCAGCTTATGTGTGCCCGAGCACTTTAATATTTTCCAAAATATTATATCCTCATGTTACACCTACGAATGATTCATTTTGACCATAGGGATATTTGCCAATAATTGCACCTTGTCCTTTATAACCCGAAAATCGGTTAATCGAGTTCAAATTTTACAGTCCGATACCTGACGAAGATAGAATCTCTAGGAGGAACTTTCAATATGGATGCTCGATTAAAAATTGCAAACGTGTATCTCAAAATGATTTTTGATAAATCAAATACTAGTTGACAGATTTAGATGTTGTAAAACAGTACTCGTATATTTGTAATCTATTTTTTTTATAAAAAATTATTGCAAGCAAATCAAGCTACCAGCCTTATCGTTACATGTTGTTCCTTCTTATAGGGTAACGTTAACTTAGCAGAAGTATCAGTCACCAATCTCGCGTAATAAACTTACTCAATCAATCAAGGATTCATATATTAGTATTCGACGCACTAACAATATTGGTAATCCAGCGTAGTTTTACATTTAGAGTCGATTCTCACAACCAATCAAATCAAGGCTTTCTGTATCACGTTTTCACCTGCGGTATATGGCATATTCCGCAAGTGAGTATGACATATTCCGCAGGTGAGTATCGGGTATTCACTGAAATCAATGTATCGCATATTCACTGCGGAATATCGCATACTCACCTGCGGAATATGCCATATACCGCAAGTGAGTATGGCATATTCTTCACCCGTATCACAAATACCGGGCAACCATGAATGGATGCCATATACCGCGTAACACAATATCTCACTATTTTGCCCGCAGAAATGACGGTATTAGTATTACTACGACCGTTCATGCCCAGGGCTGAAATAGCTACGGACTGCAACAGAACGAAAATCAAGTTTCTAATTTCCCGGGAAACATTGCCGGGCGTTAATACAACATTGGCCCGCCACTATGACATCACATATTTCTCAGGTCAATATAGTAAATTCGATCATGAACTCTGAACAAAGTCAACATTTCACCCGGGGCATATTCGCAAGCAAAACCCCTGGCAATACGAGGATTGTGTGACCTCATAAAGACGGACCGTAGTAATGGCGGACCATAATGAATATTCGAAACATTTTGGTGAGTTTTCATGTTCGAATCGTAATATAAACCTCAGAGCAGGTTGATATTGTCGGATACATCCCTTAGGAAGGCACAAAAGCTTTCGACCAAAAACGTTTTTGCCTAGCCCTGCGGGTGCATTCGACGATATTACCCCTGCTCTTTGGTCTATATTTCTTAAATAAAAGCCTTCTAAACTAGCACTAGTCCCCCTAGAACAGGCCCGGCAAGATGGTAATAACATTATGTAATGAAAGCGCAAAATCCTGACTATGCAACCTTATATAATCATTAATCTTTTGGACAAGAGGTAAGAGCTCGTAGGGACCAAGTGATTAGATTTGCCCCCTATTAAGGGGGCAAATGGGTGGGGGCGAATGGACGGGTGAATATTATCTATAATACCTTTGTAATAGTACAAAAACGTCATTTCGAAGGGCAATATAGTGAAATATTGGACCGAGGGCCGAAGGTTGTTATTACAACCGTTAATGTCCAGGTCTGAAACAGCAAGAAAAAAACCTTACGCACTGAACGATTTCTAATTTCCCGGGGAAAATTGCCGGTCGTTAAATGCATTCTCGACCGGTCGTTAATTAAATGCATTCTTGACCACCACTATGACGTCATATATTGCTCGGGTCGATATAGTAAAATGAATGCCTTCTAAACTAGCACTAAAACCCCTAGAACTGGCCCGGCAAGGGGGTAATAATTCCTATTCTTAAAAAGTGTGTAAATGTATAATATTCCACTTGAAACAGTTCAGGGTGTTTCATAATGAAATAATCAACCACCGATCCTAAATAGCATACCCCCATATGTTATATATCATATGACAGCTTGTTCAATTCTGGACTTGTTGAAACAACTTTGATTAAGCCCAACAGTTTTTATAACTTGCTACATATCTCTGCAAAAAGTACCCATTTTAACGTTAGGATAGAATCTGAAAGCCACATTTTTCCAAAATAATCACGCCTCAATACACTATTAGCTATAGTAATGTACAACTTCTACCATTTGGTGAATGCTGAGGATATATTTTAATTATATTTGAAAGACAAAAGTATTGAATATTTCAAAGAAATGCCCAGAGAGCACTAGATGATACAACTGAGTATATAGCGATCCGCTCCTCTCTTTAAATCTACCAGGAATAGTAGCCAGGAATCATGCAAATCGAGGGGATAGTGACAATCAAATATAATTTCACAAATTATGTTCCCAAAGGTCAGGCATGCTAATATTTGGCACATAAGTCCAGAATTGAATAAGCTTTATGATGTTATATAAATAATGGGGCCATTCGATTTAGGATTGCCTGTGGATGGGGGGACAGTCATCATGAAACACCCTGTATATGGAAATATTACGCCGTGAACTAGATAACAGTATCAGACAATGTAGGTTCGCATTAATATATGTGTTTTGTCTGAATATATTATCTCTATTTGCGTCTATAATGTGATTAATTAAGTCATTGTAGAATTTATAGTTTCATACATTCATTAATTTATGTAAAATAAGGCTCAAAACAAATAATTTTAGACTGTTGAAGTATTTAAAAGCAAAGCAAATCAGAGATCAAATCGAGAGGAGGAAGCCACTTTATAAGGTAAAACTATTTTGTATCTTATATTCTATGTAGATCAGACACAACGAACCATTTTAAAATCATATAAATTTTAACTTTATAACTTGTATTAGAGTTTCGTCTTATGTATGGAAGGATACTTCATTACAAAGGTGAATATATAATTAAAAAAAGAAAAGTGTAGTACAGTAATTTGGTAAGAGTTTTGGCAATATCTCTTAGCCAAGAATAAGTACTTCTAAAATGTGTACCCTAAAAGTAAGAAGACGTATTAATCTGTCTTTCCATTGTCTATGAAGTAAACCCCTGGTTTATTATTTTCAATATACCTATCAGCAAACGTGTAAATGATAATTTTGATGCTCAGTTACATATTGATGAAGCAATCTTTAAAGATATGGCCTAAATTTCTGAATTTCCGCCTGTCCCTGTAAACCCCTACTTCAAAAGATGTATGTTTTTGTCATTTTTTATCATGAACCAGCCATAAATGTATTTTTTCTTGTTTACATATAGAATGAACTTCCTGTTTTCGAATAATTTTCGAAATAATGTTTTCGATAATTTAAGGTACATCACAAGTTAAACTTTGAATCTTTAAGAGTAATTTATTATTCTCTAATATATAGTCACTTGAATTATTGCATTCTTGATATATTTGAGGTATATAAACTCAGTGCTGCTCTGTTTGTATTTAATTGTATAAAAAGACCAAAAGAATTTCCTACAACCATGCATAATGATTACTTTATTGCATCAGTTTAATCCATAATAGAGATACAAGAAAGATCATAGAGCTAATAACTTTCGATCAACATTTGTTCAAAATTCCATTAAGCGTACAGGTCAAATTATCTGGAATTGTTATGTTATATTTATTTTCATATTATAATTATTACAATTTGAATAACAAGGTTTGCACAAGACGCTGGGCGTATAATGTGCAGTTATATTATATTAAATTATCTGGAATTAACTTCCAAACTCAATTAGAGAAATCAATAGCATGGAAAAATTCAAAACTGATTACAGGAAATTACTTTTGAAAAATCATAAATCTTAATTGTATGTACAAGTATGTATGTTAGTATACAAGTATGTACCATAGTAACCCTTATTTTTGACTTATCAAATTAGATATGCTGATATTTCAAGAATCAATCAGAAAGTATTTTTTATACAATGTGTGGAGATTTCATGAGAAAATAACAAAAATCTTTGAAATGAGAGCATTTTTCCGTAACTTATTGAACGACATGGTAATATTACTGCTGAATAAAAAAATAAAAAAGTTATTGAGAGATATCAGCATTTGTTTTTCATAATATGGAGCGAACAAAGGCGTGTGCACTGTAATATTGTACATACTTATATTTCAAGGGTAGTTTTGAATAATAATCGAGAAAATCCATGTTTTCAAATGGAATCATCACTGTCAAGGAACCTGAATGTTCTTACAATTCTTGGTTGGAGAAAATATTTTGAAAGTTGTAATTTCGAATGTAATCTCCTACTCAATGAAAATTGTTGATATTTGTGAAGTTTTTCTTTTGGAATGCACATTGCTGGATCAAAGAACCTTGTCTTGTTCGAGATGCACGAAAAGTATACTGTTAATACTTGATGTCGTTCGGATATTTTGATGTGATTGACGTTTTCGGTCATCTCCAACGACGAAACTTCCAACTTAAGCATATGATGGTCACAAATTGATATTAAGGTCACACGTTGATGCATACATCATATGTGTACATAAACTGTCAAATACAATACATTTATATAAATATCCACAGTTGAACTCAGATCATAAATGCTCGAAACGCTTTATCATCTAACCTGGTAAGTCTATAGTCTGAATTTCATTTATAATTATGGTATCGGATTTGAGTATGATTTTGGATGAGGCTCAAATAAAGCAATGAAAATGCATGGAACCGTTTGTGAAAATTCGAACGATTTTTCAAGAATCCTCCTTCATAGTGTTACTAAAGTGCTCCCCGGGAATGGAAATTTCATCTTGTGCAATCAAAATAATAGCGGGTTGTTTGAATTTTTGTTTGAATTTATAGCTTACATCTCTTTTAAAAACATATCATCTCATTGAAAGGTACATGGGACAATTTACGATGATTGATATTTTAAAAATCTGTTGTTGTACTAGAGACTGCGATGTATATGTTGATTTCATGGACATGCAATGTGTTATTTTCTGTTGACCAGACTTTAAGCAATCATTACCACAAGGTACCTGTTTGGAAGATTGCTTATCTTTTTAGAAAATATCACTTTAATGATGGATTTTTAGACAATTAAAAAATATTTTATTTTTCAGCAAATATAAACTCGGATTTCTTAACCTAAAATGTATCGATTACGTTGATATTTTTAAGCATGTTTTTAAGAATGTATGTGCTACCAACTCTTGAAAGCGGGATGTTTGATATGTCTTAGTCACATAATTAAGTATGTTTTACTATATCTATACGATTTTTCAAATATTTGTATCCTCCAACACATCGGCCATATTAATATACACTATTGATTCATTATTTTGGTGAAAGCTATACCAGAAGGTACATTTTGATGACATACATGTACCTTCGATTGCAGACAAAGGAGATATATGATTGAGTGTAGGAATTTCTGTCGTGAATTCAAGTTGTCTAGATTAGGCTGTGCATTCTGTTTGATCATTTCTTTGTATAACGCATGGAAACTAACTTTAAAAAGTGAGCAATGTCATTAGTATTGTGATAATATCGTCCCTTATACCTATTTTTACAGGTCGTGTAGACCATTGTTGCAAGATTTATAGCAAAAACATTGACTTTTGCACGTTGGTGATGATGCGCCTTTTTTTAATAGATTTGCCATACTCTGCGCCTATTAATTCGGCAATTCAGTTGTAAATTTGTGACAAATAATATCTTATTTGAAATTAAACCAGACTTATTGAACGATTAACGAAAATATATTAATTTTTTATTGCTTTGAAAATTGCTCAGGTTACGAAATGCCAATATAGTTCCAATGATGCCGCTTATGAATTTATAAAATATAATGTGTTTCCTCTACAATTCAAGAAAAAAACATCGTCATATGAATATTTTAATTTTCGAATTTTGTATTTTTGGAAATATCAATTATCGTTAATTGTCACACATGCATTTTTTGGCGATCCATTATCTTAAAGGGCTAAATATTGTGAAAACACGAGTTGAGACCCTGACATTTGGAATGTAATTTCCTACATGATTGCCGAATCATATTTAATTAGAAGTCATGAAAACAAGGTTTAACATAAAATATTGACCCAGTTATCATGGAATCAGTAAGGAAAACATTATTAATTACTTAAAGTGTTAACAGTTATGCTGCATTCCAAAAAAACTTTATTTTCAAAATTTAGAAATGCAAAATGTTCAATTTTGTTGCTCAATTTATAAAAACTGGCACCTGTAGATAACAACGATTTCAAAATTATTTTAAACAGAGAAATTTACTTACGTAACATTCCTTGGCGTGTGTCGGTCAGTAAATAAGAATAATATGCTTTTGGTTCTATATCTTGTTCCCAAAGGAATTTGTCAGGGAGCGGAATATCTTAACGTACTTTCCCCACCCAGAATTCGAACATTTCGAATACTTATTTCGCTAACGCTTTGTTGTTGATCAGGCGCGTATCGTCATGTACGCAAAATACGCCCAGGCGTACTGTTTGAATTTGAAAAAATATTTTGAAAAAAACATGAAATTCAGTATTTTACTGTTATTTTCTTTGATGATGTGTAAACCTTTGTTGTACAAGTGTATTACTGGCAATAAGTTCTCGATTCCCTCATTGTCATTCATTGTTTTCGTGATTCAAAGATTCAAATTTTTTCGTGATTCAAAGAGTTGCGTCATTCTTGTACGCTTCTTCAAGGCCGTATGGGGTATGATGGCGAATCCCGGCAGAGTACACGCTCAAAATCATACGCCAAAAATCGCATTCATCTTCACACATTATTCATCCACATACGGGGGCGTACCCTTGCAAAATGACCACGATACGCGCCTGTGATTCGAGATGTTCTCAAAATTACTACGTTAAAATGTGTATTATCATCTTAATTACCACCTCATAAATTATTCTGGAAGATGTACGATTTTTGAGATTTTCATTTTGGAATGTTGATTTAGTTATTGAACATGACTGTTATTCACGATACCCATAGGGAACTTCATGGAAATTTCAAAGAATTTGAGTGAGCAATTGCTGAGATAATACTTGTCAAAAAGTGATTTACTTATTTGGACACTCGATGTACTGCCGCTCTGGAGTTTTTCAATTGTGCCACTGTCTAAAAACGGAATGGCAAATAAATGAATAAAAAAAACTGTATGTAGGTTGGACAAAAACTGTTTCGAACGTAACTTAATTGTCATAATTGATTTCCTGAACCCTGGGTCTCGGTACATGGTCACTTTATCAAAGCTCCAAATGATGAAACATAAAAACATAAAATTCAATTCTTATTCCTAGATAGAACATGCTAGATATCATTAGATATAGATATCAACCTGTATCACTCAATCCTAAATTCCATTCTAATTTGCATCTAAGGATATTGCTGATTTGGACGTGCAGAGTGAGACATCAAACATCATGTCAGTGTTCAGAATAGTATTGTTGGGGTGTGTGCTTGGCGCATGCACAGTAACTGCACTCGATGTAGTAAGTAGACTACAAATAGGCCATCAGCTTCACCCCAAAATTTAGGTTATCGGTACCAAATTAGGGGAATAATTGTGATTTTTGGCAAGGTGAATACCTCTAGAGTAAGAAGTTATATGATAGCATTGCAGAATGGCAGCTAAATGGGTGTTATCACCCATTTTTCAAGATGGCCGCCGGTGCGCTTGCTACCAAATAAAAGAAGAAATATCTATGCATACTGAGAGGCAAAAACAGTGATTTTGAGGTCTAAGCCTTGGTTTTAGGGGCCAGGAATTTCATTCAAGTCAAAATCTAAGTCATCAAAGAAATACTTTAAATGGAAATCCAAGATGGCCGCTAAAATGGATGTCAAAACAAATATGTCACTATAGATATAAGCTCAAAAAGCTCAAAGAACGGTTAAAAAGTGACTTTGGAGACCATGAATAGGTTTTAGAGGCTAGGGATTTTATTTGTGTCTAAATTTTTAGTAATCAAAGAAGTAGCTTACATAGAAATCCAAAATGGCCACCAAGATGGGTGTCAAAATAAATACGTAACTATTTATGTAAACTCAAAGAACAGTTAAAATGTGCTTTTGCAGACCATGGTAAGGTTTAAGAGGCTAATGATACCGTTCGTGTGTAAATTGAAGTGATTAAGAATACCTTTATCTCTAAATCTAAAATGGCTGCCAAACTGGCTGAAGATATGGCTGCAAAAATGAATTTATATGCACATAGAAAAAATATAATAGTTATGTTATAGATATCTGAGACTGATTTTCAGGAGAAAATCGTTTCAATTTACTAGGCTTTACCTAAGTTATTGCAACCTTTCCTCATATCAAAATACAAAATGGTCACCAAACTTGCTCCCAAAATAAATAAATAAATAAATATATATATATTTAAATATATATAGGGTGTCTCAAAACAATGTACCCAAAAGTATATCAACAGCATAGACAAACCAATCAGTATTTTCAGACAATTCTTGCATGGTCTTGCAGTCAAAACATGAAAGTTTTTTCCCCTATAATCAGTTTTTAATTCAGTTTTGCCTTTTTGATACTTTAACCCTTTACCTTTTACACTACATAACCAATGTAATCTCATATTTCGATGACAGTCTGCATCCTTACTTCTACATTGTTCATCACATTTGATATTTCTGGTGTAATGCTTTGATTTCTGTTCCGATGCTGGTCTTAAGTTGTTCTAGGTCTCTCAGCTGGGGTTTAACATAAAAATGGTCCTTCAAATAGCCCCGGAGAAAAAAATATGGGCCGTCAAATCTGGTGAATATGGAGACCGGCCCTCGGAATGTCTTATAGCCCCTTTTATACAGAGAGATAAGACATTCAAAAAACTGCATTGGTTGGGATTCTAGTGTTGCCTTTGTTGTGTGTAGAGGCTAAATCAATTTTAGGCCACCTTGTTTTCATTTGGATATCATTTGGTCTCCAGGCTAGCCTGCGTAACTCTGGAAGGTAACTCCTGAATCATTTGCCGATAATTGATCTGGTCCTCTGTGTTTGTTCTGCCATCGTCATCCTCAAACATCTTTCTCTGTGGCTATTTGAAGGGGTGTTTTAATGCTCATTACAAGCAAAAATGGCCTAGAACAACCCAAGGGCAACATTCAAAGAGAAATCCAAAACATTCCACCTGAATTATTATCAAATGTGATGAACAATGTAGCAGTAAGGATACAGGCTGTCATCAAAATATTGGGTTACATTGATTATGTTGTGTTAACGGTTAAAGGGTGACGCATATCGTTTAGCAAATCGAACGCTCGTTTCTGGTGTTGCTCACCGTTTAGTATAAAAGGCCCGATCCCGGAATAATACTCAAGGGTTCACAGGTTCGAGGTCGTTGTGTCAACACCTCTTACTGTTATATAGCATAAGTATATTATAGATTGTCACACATTTATAAAAGGGTGATTTTTATTTTGACAAATCAATTCCACATTTATGGGTGAAGTTTCAGGATCTTCTATTTGTGTATAATAAGGAAAAATTGGCATCTAAATTTCCCAATAACGTAATAGCACACAGCTTGGCATATGAAATATCCTACAAATGAAACAAAGCAGTTCTAATACAAGGATTTATATTGGCTGTTGTACATGTATTCTTTGAACGCAATCACTCTAGCTATGGATAACGTTTTCAAAATCATTATAAACGGATTACTTTATCTCAAAGACAATTTCAATAAACTGGGTTTTACAGAACTCCCCTTATTTCTAAAAAATGGACTGATCCAGTTGACTCGCCTGGAGCCGCCATATTGTTTTTATACGGGAAGCTTATCGGAACCCTTTAAGGGTTAAAGCATCAAAAAGGCAAGACTGAAATAAAAATGGTGTATTAGGGAGAAAACCTTCATGTTTTGGCTACATGATCATGCAAAAAAATATCTGAAAATATTGATTGTTTTATCTGTGCTGTTGATATAGTTTTGGGTACATTTTTTGAGACACCCGATATGTACCCATTTAATGAAGGATGTTGGCTGGTGATTATGGTATCTTCAAAGGACAGATGGTTGAGGTTTGTTCCAGTAGTCGTTTGTCTATCATCAGTAGCTCACCCTCAAAAGGTTTCTGGGTGTTAAAGGGTTCCGAAAAGCATCCCGTATAAAAAGAATATGGCGGCTCCAGGCGAATCAACTGGATCAGTCCCTTTTTAAGAAATAAGGGGAGTTCTGTAAAATCCAGTTTATTGAAATTGTCTTTGAGATAAAGTAATCCGTTTATAATGATTTTGAAAACGTTATCCATGGAGTGATTGCGTTCAAACAGTACATGTACAACAGCCAATATAAATCCTTGTATTAGAACTGCTTTGTTTCATTTGTAGGATATTTCATATGCCAAGCTGTGTGCTATTACGTTATGGGGAAAGAACGAGGGAAGTTAGTGCAACAGATTTTTGACAGTTGATAATTTTTTGGCGAGTAGTTTCTGGCTGTAAAAAATAAATGCATATGAAAGAGCAATGCATAATCTTCAAGAAAAGTTCAAAGAAAGGTTCCAAGATCAATTGGATTATCTCATAACTCGTGTTAAATCCACCCACTAACAGCTTTTTTTCATAATAAAACCGTTATTTTCACCATCATCCATCAATTAAAAAAAAAATTATTCAAAATTACATTGTACTTGAACACATGTTTCATCACACAAAATATGTATATCATTCAATAAAGAGATTTATATTTGTTTTTTTAAGTTTTTTCGAAATTTTTTTTTTTAAATGCACGTTTACAGAAATAATTTAGAAGTGATGCAAAAGATGGCAATGTCTTTCAATAACATAAATGGTTTGATGATTTACTCATGTGTGCTGTGTTTTAATCTCTGCATTCACTGACTGAGTTAGCCTATTGAAAAACCATAGAGATTAATAATACAAACACAGTAATACTGTAAACACTTTGTACTCCAAGCTCATATACATACTGCTATAGCATGACGGTTACAGGGGCATCAAAATGATTTGCCGAGGGAGGGGTGACTTTTGGGTATGGATAGGTCATGCGTAAAGCGCGCTGCACGTAAAGCGCAATTTAGGGGGATCAGGGGGCATGCCCCCAGAAATTTTGTTAAATTTAAACCCCCTCTAGTTCATTCTGAACATATCTCAGCACAACATTTCTAATAATAAAAACAAGAAAAAATGTATTTTTAGAATCTTAACTTGACTTTGACTAAAAAGAACTTTGATTTTTACTAAAATATACATCAAAGTATTTACATACTGTATGGGTCCCCGAGAAACTATACATGGTATAGAATTGAATATAATATGAGAAATGAAAACTTCTATGACTGATGTAGACTATGTACTAACATAGTGTAAATTTCTGTCAATATTACACTATGACTTTAATTAGCTCTAGAGCTTTCAATTCTAGGCTCAGTTTCAAATCTAAAAAAAAATCTGCGTGTCGCCCTGACGACAATGCGGTTATGCCACCTTTGAAAGCGATGTTGAACTGCTACGTTCACTGATTTATCCAATAAAATGGCCACGATGGAACAGAAAATTAAGCTTTGTGTAATACTTTCTACTACTCTGACGGGATACAAACTATACAGGACGTATCGAAACCACTACGTCCCGCAAAACCGTTATTTTGAATTTTAAACCTACCAGGTGTTTGAAAATCAAGGATTGTGAGTCCCATACTGCACCGTTTTTATTCAAACTTATGCCATTAAAAGCAAAAAATGCCTCTCTGTCTGTTTCTTAGTGTACAAAGTTCCTCGTAACAGCTGTGAGATTAAGCAAATTTTCATAGCTTTAAACTGCAAGTCTAGTTATCTCGCCAGTCTTTAACTCATTTTCGCCCATAATTTCAGAATTGACCCTCATTTCAACCCTCCATCGCTTTGCTACGTCACCCGCACATCTGTTCAAAATTAACCAATATGTGCTGTCGTCTTCCACATCGTCTTTGTAGTCATAAACTCGACGGGGCATAGTGGAAGACGACGGGACATTATATAATAATAATGTGGAAAGAGGCTATCAGATCTAGCAACCTTGACCTGACAGGTGTACAGGTTTACTTACAGTTAATATTTTGAGTGGCTCTGAGGCACATATACTGAGAGAATGGACTAAAAATTATGAAGATGGATATCTCAGTTTATATTCTGCTTCTTGTAGACCACCTGGCAGATTTGACCCATTCTTTATAACCATCCATATATACGTCACCGGATGGAACTAGTTTAAAAGGAAATCTTATCTGTGAATCTTGCCTACAGGTCAGAAAGAAGACATGCTGTCTTTCTCATCCGCCATTATTTGTTATCGATATTGTTACTGCAAGATTTTGCAAATCACCCTGACGTAACCGTCATGCTATACCAGCGTGATATAGGACTTTTAGGGTTCAGTGTTGAAAATCTAGATCACTGTATATATGGTTGCATTTAATATGTAAGGAATCAATAGAAATTATTGTACCAACAGTAAAATTATAAACCATCATCCCAACATCACTTTAAAAAGTAAAATGGTGAAAAACTGCAGAATGTTGATGGAAAATGTGGCTAGGGGATAGGGGTGTCTCTCAACCCCCCCCCCCCGGACTAGTAAATGTGGTATGCCAAAGTCCAATTCAGTTCTACATATGCTACAGGTTTTGGAATTTTGTTGGCCTTTTTAGCTCACATGGTGAGGTATCGCAATCAACCACTTGTTCGTCTGTCTGTCAACAATAGTGGCATGTTTTAAAACCGTTGTCGATAAGATCAATACAGAAAACTCCCCTATGACTTCTGGTTCAGAAGCTCGCCCATTTTCAAAATGGCTGGCATTTTTGTCTCGCAAAATTCACTTTTGGACCATTTGGTAGCTTTATAAATAAATTCAGGTGTCTTCCATTGTAAAAACACTTGTTAATGTAAAGAGTAATAGTATGTAATAATTTTGTTACAAAAAGTTGCCAAAAAATTATATCTTTTTTTTCAGCTGTTTTAGTTAACGTTGATTAGTTCATCTGTCTCTCAGTTAGTCCACAATAGTGGCACGTTCTAAAACCTCTGTCGATAGGATTCCCGTTTTAAGTTATTTCTCTTGAACATCAATACAGAAAGCTCCCATATGACTCTTGGTTCAGATCTCGACTATTTTCGAAATGGGATATAGGATATTAGCCACAACCATCCATTCATGAAAATATAGGCAACTTGAAATAAACCTTATCTACACTAATGACATCTTATCTGGGTGTGCTGTACTAGAAGCATAGTCCCATTGGACCCCATTATATAGATTATCATAATCCTAATCCTCAAGGAATGATTAAAATATTTTAAGTGATGAAACATGCGTTATGGTACAATGTAACTTTGCATGAAAAATTGTAAAAAAAATTGATGGATGATGGTGAAAATGATGAATGAATTTTGAAAAAATGCTTGTTAATGGGTGGATTAAACACAGATTATGAGATAATCCAATTGATCTTAGAACCATTCTTTGAACTTTTCTTAAAGATGACACATTGGACTTTCATATGCATTTATTTTTTACAGCCAGAAACTACTCGCAAAAAATTATCAACTGTCAAAAATCTGTTGCACTAACTTCCCTCGTTCTTTAGATGCCAATTTTTCCTTATTATACACAAATAGAAGATCCTGAAACTTCACCCATAAATTCGGAATTGATTTGTCAAAATAAAAATCACCCTTTTATAAATGTGTGCTATATAACAGTTAGAGGTGTTGACACAACGACAGCGAACCTGTGAACCCTTGAGTATTATTCCGGGATCGGGCCTTTTATACTAAACGGTGAGCAACATCAGAAACGAGCGTTCGATTTGCTAAACGATATGCGTCACCCTTTAAGAATAATTAATACCTGATTTCATCGGCCATTGACATTGTTAAGAATAACACGTGATTTGATTGGTCATTACCACATTCAAATGGAGCATGACTCAACCATCCAACTTATTTCCTTTGTTGCCATCTTGAAGTTCACAAGCTGCAGACCTATAGTTCTCTCAACATGATGTTCCGAAAAGAACATTCGAAGCCTTTACTACATGCACTGGAAAGTATCTCACCTTTCCAACCTTTACACCTTACTTTGTCAATGAGGTCTTCATACTCGGCACTCTTCAGTCCATCCGAGATATTATCTTCTGTGTAATTGTAGACTTGGATTGAGTTTGTCCTTTCTTTACAGAAACTGGATAAAAACTGGTTGTTAGGAATCTCTTTACATGTTAACCTCTAGCCATTCGGTGTCAACCCATTTGAAATGGCCCGCAGCACTTTATTATATCACCAGGTCATTGCAAAGTGCTTAAGATATGATCGAGGGAGCAATTGCAGTTCGAAGCATGCATCAGATTCCTCTTTTTCTCATGTCTTCAGGTTTAAATTAGTTGCTTGAGGTGTTTGTTTTAGATTAATGGAACCGATTTTGCCTATCTACTCCCAGGAGACCTTTGCAAGTCACCCCTCCTTACTGTTGATGTTGCTTCCTCTCTTCAGCCTCTTCAACAGCCTGTTGTTATAATGGAATTTACAGAGTTGGAAAAGTCATTGGAGAAAAACACTAAACTGAAAGACTTTGTACCAACTCCCTACATTGCTTAAGGTCAATAGCTTTCATCCACTTTTCTAGTTCTCACAGATGCTGTTGTTGGGGCCAATCAAAATATTTTGTCAAAATATATTCAATTCTCTCATCACGGATAGTATGAAAAATTGCACATTTAGCTTCCTTTGCATACCACTCAGCTGAAGAAGCTTAAAATCCGTTATGTTCCAGGGAATGGCCATGTCATGACATTAATGATGTCCATAAAGGCTCGGCAAGAAGGATCGATGTCTTGAGTCATTCCCTTTGAGACCTCCATATAAGGACTCTTCTGCTTTCACAAACCAGTTCATCGTTTGATGAAAGAGTATAATTGAGGTGGTACATCCCATAATGGCCATCTTCGGTATCCAAATGAATATGTTCCAAAATTAATTATAAATACATTTTGGCAGCCATTTTGGTTGCCATTCTGAATATCCAAATAAATGAATTATTTGATGACTTAAAGTTCTCAACCATTGAAACCTAGACATTGACTTAAAATTCTCGACCATTGAAATCTAGACATGGTCTTCAAAATCACTTTGTAACTGTTCATTGAGCTTATATTAATGGTAAATTATTCATTTTGGCAGCCATCTTGGATTTTATCATCGAGTTATTCTTTGATAACTTAGACAATAAAATCATTGATCCCCAAACCCTTCCATGATCTACAAAACTACATTTTAGCTATTCTTTGAGCTTTCAATAAGTAATGACACTAAGGCTGTCATTTTAACTGATTACCACCAATCATCATGACATTTGGTCAGATTAGCACAAATACACTGTTATATAAGTGTGATAAATTTTATTAATAAACACAAAATATAAAGTACAATTATCCCTTCATAAAAAATAATGGGCACGCCACTTGACTTGGGATTTTGAAAGATCTGAAGCACATGTAAAATTATAACACAAAATATTGACGAATATTGATATTCTTTAAGATTGACAAATATTATAATGATTTATACCCCTTAGTATAAATATATCATAACAAGCATGCACATATGAATTCAAAGTCACTCAAAATAGTCTCCATTAGCATCTATACATCGTTGCTGTCTTAACACACATTCATCAAAGACATTTTGAAATCCTCTTTGTTCAGCCTTTCTGAGAATTATCTTTGTTTCAGTCAAGAGTTCCTGTTCTAATGCGAAGTGCTGTCCCCTAAGTCCCTTCTTTAAAACACCATAAGCCTCCTGGATATACTGCACTATATCTTTTGCTTGTTTCCCAAGCAATACAAATGTTTTTTTGAAGTCCTTTGCTGTAGTGCCAAACTGATGTTTTTGCAGTTTTCGGGACTTTTCCCTTTTTAGGGAGTCTATGATCATTATGACTCATTGGATTCCCTACTTTTGAGTAATTAACTGTGATGTCATACTATTTAGTTACCATAGCAACATACAAACAAAACATAAACACAAAACATAAACATAAAACATAAACACAAAAATTATGCTTCGAAATCTACTATACTCAAGAAAGATAGGGGTATAAAACATGTACTGATGGGCCATCATTCTTATCATTCTTATCGATTTGGATCGAAGTCAAGTGCTGTATCCTCATGTTGCTATGGCAACCAAATTACTGGTTATTATTAGTTATATCTGGTGAATTTCCGCATGAAAATAGACAAATGTATTTTCAACATATGGTGAAAATTTGAGATAAAACAAACAAAATTTGACAAAATGAGAGCCTTAGTGTCATTGAACGGCCTATATCAATAGTTACTTGTTGGTTTTGGCACCCATGTTGGCGGCCGTCCTGGTTTTCTATGAAAAGCAATTATTTGATGACTTAGACTAAAATGAAGCATAAATGAAATCATTCTATAAAATTGCTTTTTATCTCTTCTTTGAGCATATATCAATACATGTTGTAACATATTCCTTTTGGCACCTATTTTGGCGGCCATCTTGGATTTACATATAAAGTGATCCTTTGATGACATAGATTCAAACATGAATAAAATTCTTAGACTCGAAAACCTCTTCTAAAACTCTTCAAAATCATTTTGAAACGTTTTTAGCTTGTATCATTAGTTACATATTCTTACATAAACCAAAATTGGTGGCCATCTTGAATTTTCCTTTATAAATTAATGTTTTGATTACTTATATTTAGGCATAAATCGAATCAGTGACCCGGAAAACCCAGAATTAGACCCTAAAATCACTGATTTTGCCTCTCAGTATGCTTAAATATCACTTCTTTTATTAATTGGTATTTGGTTTTATTTGAGCGTACCAAGGGCCATTTTGAAAAGCTGCCACTTCTGCAATGCTATCATATATTTTCTTACTCTAGAGATGTACACCTTCCTATAAATCACCATGGCAATTATTCCCCTGATTTGGTACCGACCAACCCCCCCCCCCCAGGCTGATCGCCTAAAAATATGAATATCTCAAACAACGCTTGTTTTGTTATTACTAGTATCCAAAATAAAACAATCTGTGAAGATCAGTCTATTTTTTTTGGAAGCATTTTTTATTGTTTTTCAGGCGGTCAGGGGTGCCTGTGTAACAAAATATGGAACCTTTGAGCTAGCTGTTGGAAAGGCGCTGGAGTACCTAGATCGCCACAACATAATATGCGCAGAGGCAGATGGATTTCTCGTGTCTTGGAAACTCGAAACCACTGTAATGCGCAGCTCCTTTAAGAGAGTGTCATGGAAATGCTGCAAAATTGATATCGTGTAATAATCATTATTGAACCATGAATGAAATTATTACATTACCAAAATAAATGCTGTGCATTAAATTACTGTTTTAGTTTTTATATAATGCCGTGGTGTCGAGTTGTCAAGTTCAATAAACTGTTGCAGTGATATATTTAACATAAATTGGTTATTTAAGAATAATGCTATGTATTTGTACACAATAATGGTAAACTATTATGATAATGTTTTACAGTTATACTTAAAACGTTAAACATTATATTATTTTGAAACTTAAGACAACAAAACAGTCCTGGCATCAGATACTCAATAATATCAGTGGACCTCCCTCTGGATATCGATATATGGTCACATGTATTATTCCAGTATAGTCCGAATACTGGAGATTGCGTTGGAGTAAATCTTAATGTCACTTCTGGGTTAGGTACTCCGACAGGGCAAACGTAGTTTAAGGCTACTTTCGAGAACGCAGTCCACTCTCAAATCCTCAAAATATAATCGTCTCAAAAACTATAAGTAAATTGAGCAATAACTCTACTATAGTGCTGATATATAGTAAAAAAGGGTGCGTTTTCAAACTAAACAGAGTGCTCCTACCAAAATGAATTTGCCTATATACCCCTGGGACTCTTATCTAATAGATAGAATGCACAAATAAAACAAAAGTTTTGCTATTATAGGTAAAAAGTTCTCTTGAAATTTCGAAGTGATTTTACCTGTTAATTCTGTCCATAGTCCGCCATTTTTGCGGAACTTAAACTGAAACGCAAACTCCATAAAACGAAACGAGATCACTAGAAAAAACATGGCACACATTGTGTGCATGTGCAGCAAAGTTTAAACCAATCAGATTATTTGATTATTTTGCGCACATGAATTATTTGCTTCTGAGCACTTACAAGATTACCACAATAAACAAACCTGGCAGAGACTACCCTTAGCCTACTTCATTTTGGCGAAATTTCAGCTCGAACTCGTGACAAATGCATTATGCATACGCTGCATGGTGTGAAGCCTTGAAGACACTAATTTTGGTAAATATGATTTATGTTGTATACTTTTCTGCAGTTTGTGGGAGTTTGGGACATTAAATGTTAAAATTCAAGAAAATATGCCACGAACGAGAAAACAGACCACGTGCTTCACCGTATTACTCACACTATATATTGGAAAAATGAACCATAGGTGGACACATATAAATTGAATGATACCACAATTGAATTTGATAACAAAAGCCCCGAGATGGAGCTGAAAGTTAGCACAGACATACAATTTAGTAATGGTCCGTAAATTAACGTATATACATATATACATGCTATATACATACATATATACACTGGTATAATAGCTGCAATAGTTGTTGTTGCGACTTTTTCAACAGCAGTTATAATGTAACTGCAACAAATCATATGGGTAACTTACAACACTTCAAGTAGGTCTTAATGGTGGCGAGTCAGCTGTTGAAGATGAGGACATTGTTTTGAATGAAATTAGTTAACCTATAACTTTCCCAAATAACGTTGTGCTTATATCTGCTCAATGCCTAACGACCTTGACCCTCCCTAGATGCAAATGTCTAAACAAATGTAAATGGTTTTGACAAATCCAAAACTGATGCTGGATTGACATTCAATGCAACAACGCCCTTTATTTGCAACGTGATTCCTTACTTTTTGCCCAAATTTTGCTCCTAACTAATCTGTAGCTTATTGTAGCTGGTCTTAGTGTATATAGCTAATGATATGATTCTGTAAGTGACACTGCACTCATTGAACAATAATATTGCATAATTAATATTATATCAACAATCCTAGAACCATTGCCAGGGGCAGATCTAAAAATCAAAAGGTTGAGGGGTGACCCAGACGCTTGTGTGGAAAAAATGTTGGCCCCAAATCTAGAATGTTGGCCTTTCTTAAAAGGATTAGTATCAATATGGCGAACTGAATTTAACATAGTTTTTCTTGACAATAATTTAATGCCAAAATTATTTATATATGAGCCTGGACATAGAAAAAACCGGTCTTATCACAAAAATTAAAATTGTGCTACAGAGCCAAAAATGTGCCCACGATTAAGAGGAAAATGTTAAGACATAAGCCATGGCTCAATTGAAAGGTTTCTTTGTGCTTTTTAAGATAAACAAAAAATCAGAATATGGAAAAATCTGTGATAAGACCCCTTTTCCCGTGGCCTGGCTCATATATATATTTTGTAACTGTTTTGGTTAAGTTATTTTTATTTTTAGTGCAATCGTTTTTTGTTCCTTTCTACCAATTCTTGAGAATGAAATAAAATATCTTTCCGAACCTTGTTGGAACAAAATAACATATGCAACATTTTCTTAGACCTCTCGATATTATAGTTAAAGGAAAATTTGGTAGATTTTCCAAAGAGTATTCAAAAGTTAAAAAAAAAACATAGATAAAAATTAAACCTTTTATTTCATTAACAAGATACTTTTTTAAAATCAACCAAACTTTCCTTCGTACAATTACAATATTGAAAGACCAGCTAAACACGTTGTACGTAGTCGTTTTGTTCCAGTGACGTTCGGGCAGAAGTTTCGTTTCATTCCGAACACATGATACTAGAACAAAAGAAGTGTCTGATGTGTTTCGTAAAACAATATAGAGAAAAGTAGTTATATAGTTTTTAAATCTAACTGTTATCATTCAAAAGATGATCATTATAGATTGACGATGTGTAAAATTTACCTGGATTTTCCAATCTATGAAGAGAAGTGATTGTGTCCCAAAATCTTTGGGCCTCAAATATATTTTGGGCCCACCAAAGGGGGCTGCCCCGCCCATATCTGCTAGTGATTGTACAGCTCAAAATAGAAATAACACAGAGGATAAGGACATATGCAAGTCTAAATGCAGAGGGGTAGCAGCCACCTGGAGCATTTTTCATTGTAGATAATACAGCGTGTATTTGGTGTATTCTATTCGACAAAAATAGTTCGCTTTCGTTTTGTCATGAGTATCGCTGTCTTGTCTCACCAAATATTGCATTACAATTTCGGATTGAATGAAACCTGTATATTTTGATCACTATTGTACAACGCCAAGGCTCCATCATAACATTAAAAATGTTTGTAAACGTCAAATGCTCGTTTCCAATGCGTTTACGATGTGATACCAGTAGCATCAGCTGTCATGTTTTGTTTTCATTGAGTGGCGACATCTGGTTCAGTTGGTAATTCACTTTGATGTTTTATGTTAAGCCCGGTGTAAAAGGGTAGGAGGTCCTATCAAATTATGGATCTACTTTCCATCGATGTATATGGTGACCTAAATACAACTCTTTCCCTTATTATCGTATCCACAATCAGGGCCAGTAAGGGCCCTTTAAGAAAGGGGACCACAATCCCCAGGGGACCATAATTTCTTTTACACTGGTTTACACTGAACGATCTTTTGATCGCCTGTATATTTCCCATGGGAGAAAAAACCGTTGGTTTTCGCTTGTGTAAATTGGATTTTTAGATCATCCTTCACAGTACGTTTGCCAGTCTTAGTCGGTCTATACCGCTGTTTCGCGAGCCTTGTATACTATGTGCCTTCATTGGCCATTTCATTTACAACAACACATCTTGGGTTTTATGTCTAGCTGTACAAGGCCCATCATGCAACTGAAATATGAAAATGCATAAAATAATTCATCACAGAATTTACCTGCTAAAGTCTCCTGCAAACTCACAATAATGGTATGATCGACGTAAGAAACATTTTTGTTATCATTTGTTGAGTCTAGTCTATTGGGATTAACTTTTACAATACTTATGATATAATAAACGTGTTACAGGTTTATTTCCATGATGTTTGGAATGTTTTATTTTAATTTAGCGTCTGCCTCTATATTGAATGAGCCTGATAAATGAACAAAGTGTATCCGAATGTACGAACATATGTTGCCCAGAAATGTTATTTTATCTTTCAATATTCACCATTCGCAGAAGGGTAGCATTTTAAAACTCCGTATCAATTCAAAATATGAAAAAAGGTTGACCTGCATAATAGTTTTGTAACATATAAAGCAATAACCAAACGAAATAAGTTTTTGAGTTCTAAAATCGTGAATCGTGACAATAATATCCCAATGGAGATAAAGTACTGATGCCCTTTTGGACATTAATATCTTAAGATCAGATTATTGACACAGGTTGAGACGTTATCGAGATTTCCGCTTTTCGTTTCATAAGAAACCAAAATGAAGTAATCAAAACTAGTGGAGTCATGAGTTTAAGTGTTTTGAACTATAATGCACTAAATAAGAAAAAACAGAAAACGTTTTAATACCCATATGGGGAGCGTTGTTTGATTAAGGTTCATGTATATCAATCCAATTCTCTGAAAAATTAAATTATGGTTTAGAACCCCACCTTGGCACCTCTTTAAAAAGTGTTAGGCTTATTTTCTAAAAAGAGGATCCTGTTTTATTTTCAATGTAAACATATTGAAAGTTTCTTCTACACGATATTAACATATTCTGAAAAGGAGATGGGTATTGAAATGCGTTTAAGTCAAAAACCACATATCCCATGTTATTTTCAGATAGGGAAAACTCTTGCTATCCATTGTTTTCAGCATAATTTTGGACATCGAAAATCAATATCTTCAAAATTTGACTTTCAATACAATTCTACTTTTGAAGAAGTATGTAAATAAAAAATCAGAAAATTAAAGAAGATCCTATTTTATTTTGAGTTAACGGGTTCAACATTTTGAAAATTGTTGAAATTGGGTCCCTATTCATAATTTTTCGAATTGTTCAATTGATATTTTTTATCATCATGGGTACTTTACTTGAAAGAAAACGTATTGTTTTAATGAAAGTCATTGTATTTATGCCCAGAAAGTACCCATGGTGAAAGATATGATTGTCTAAAATCACTGCCATACTGCACATGGATCTTTGAAATGATCTTTGAAACAACTGTCAGAATCGAATGCGCTCGATCGTGGCAATCGAGGGAAACCCCTTTCCAATGACAGGAGCACATGAGCGTCGGCAAACTCGGCACGTGCCTTGAGCCAGGCAGCCAAAGAGATTTAACGCCGGTTGTCAATTCCTTTTAGAATTTCCAGAACTACCGTTGACAGAGATTCTTCGTCACCAAAAATGATAAAAAAAGGCAAATCAGATAACATATGGATTTCCCCGGTTTATTCAAGTCTCAGTGATTAATTTCGACGAAAATTATTCGACCGGTCAGCACAATCGCAAAATTAGCACATAATGTTGCAGATTCATGAGATTCAGGGCGTCTTCGTACATGTAGGTATTAGTAGATAGGTGAATATGTGGTACGGCTCATCATGCAAAAAAGTCAAGAGGAGTCTTGATTGTGCTTTCCTATCGTAACATCTCTCTTTAAATATTTCAGTTCGTTTTTAAATGTCAAGTGATTCTATTTACATTAAGGGTTAAGTTCAAATGTTAGATAACTTACTTACGAAACCGCAACTGAAAACATCACTCATGTCGTTTTTAGTTTCGATCTGACTCATGGGATATCCATGACGTCATTCTGAAACAGGTAAATTCAAATCTAGAACGCACCTCGCTTGAGAAATGCAACAATCCACCTTGCCATAATCCCTTTTCCAACATGACGGATACGGATATAGAAAGTGCTCAAAATGTATTCAATGGAGATATCAATAGTGATGGGTCGAACGTCACACCTGATGCTGAACAAACTCCACTACAAGATCTAAAAGAGAGGCAATCTGTAAAAATCAAACCTTGGGACTTAATCAAGGATTGGCGCATAATAGTTATTATAGTAGTTGCCCTGGGAATCATAGCTGCAATTGGTGTAGCTGTTGTTGTTTCAATAACACATAAAGACGGTAATCTATCTAGTTTTATATTAGTGAAAAAAATCAATGTATTTTTATTCAAGTTGGTTCACTATTATTTCTGTCTTGATAGAATAAATTGAAACCACAATTAGAAACATGATCTAATAAAAATTTCACAATGACAAACATTAGAAACATGATCTAATAAAAATTTCACATACACATTTACAGGTTTACCTTTTTACAGGTACCCATCGACCTGTTATCAACCCTCAGCCAACGTTTGCGTCAAGTACAGCTAGAAACGAAGCTTCTCGGGAAGATCAAAGAATAAAATGTGAGGAAGCAAGAGCGTCAACTCCCGACAGTTTGCCAGAAAAATGCAAATGGTTATTGAGAAACGATTATGGGAATTCAGAGAATGACAATCCAACAAAACAATTTCTATGTAAAGATAACCCACACGTGTTGCCAAAACTATGCAAGGACTGGCTATAAAGCTATAAAACTTATAAAGCACTGGCTAAACTAGTGAACTACCATTGTAGGATGAATGTATTGCTTTTTTTATGTTTTAGCTCTTATATATTCTTGCATTTATGTTTCATTATGCAGCATAAAATATAGACATGTAATGTCTAAATATAATAAATAAATAAATACATTACAAAACCGTTTGTTTAATATTTATTTTGATGATACAACAAGGAGGCTTGATGATATCTATATCTATTCCATAGTAACCGTGATATTAATGGGATATCTAAACCATAGCATACGGCTTTTAAACCATAGTATACATAAGGATTACAGTATGTACTGGGAGATTTTGGATCTAAAACCGACCGTACATAACTGATGTATTTCATACTTGAGTGGATTTTCAAATGACTAGGCCTATACTGTAAAATCACAATTTATATTTAACATTTTCGTAATATTCCTTTAGTTCAATAGAATGTTATGAATTTGAAAAAAATGTAAAATTTTTGAAAAAAAGCTTTTGAAAAAATAGAAAAAAAAAATCCTTCCTTCCTTTTAATCCTTAATTTTGAAGATAATCGTGTTATTGTAACATCATGGGAATATAGGCTTCGATCATCACTTTTGAACTGCTCTGCAAGGGGTCTTTTGATGATTCACAAATTAACATTGGGCTCAATATAGTTTTTAACAGCTAAATATATTAAAAATATGAAATTTTCAGAAATGTGCCTATCTGATTTTTTAAATTAATATAGAAAACTGCAGTATTAAAAATCCCATAGTGGACGTTTTGAGAAAAGGACACTTAAGTAAAGCCATATTGATAGCGGTTTATAATGGAACCCAATAGGGATTTCCAATATTCAAACGCCAATATCTTTGGAACTAAGTGAAAGAAAAACTTTAACACTTCTTGTTTTGGAGAAAATGATGTTATTGCAACATCCTAGGAATATGGGCTTCGACACTTTAGAACTGCTCTTCAGGGGGTCTTTTGAAGATTGATAAATTACATGGAGCTCAATATTTTTTTTATAGTTTTTAGCAGCTGAATATATTGAAAACAAGAAATCTTCAGAAATGTGCCCTTTTTATCTTTTTGAATCAATATAATAACTATAGAAATATATGATACTAGGAAATTGCACCGTGTACCTTTTGAAAGAAGGACACATTAGTAAAGCCACATTGATAGATGTTTATTATGGCAGCCAATGGGGAATTTAAAAAATTCAAATGCAAATATCTTTGAAAAGAAAAGAAAAAATGTAACCCCTCTTATTCCGAAGATAATCATGTTATTGTAGCATACTAGGAGAATGGGTATTATTACTCAAGAACTGTTCTGCAATGGGTCTTTTGAAGAATGATACATTAAGATGGAGCTCAAATGTGCAAAATTTTCGAGGCCTGCTAATTATCAACTGGGGCCACTTTTCAACACCACTTCATTAGATATTAAAAATATATGTATTAGTGATACTTATGTCAAAAAAAAGGTGCTATATATATACCATGTGCAATTGAACACCTAACTGACTACACTATTGAAGAAAATAATCTGACGGGCCTGGGGTTCAAGATAGAAATGTACGTTTCTTTATTACTATCGCACGTGAGTACATGAGTGGCACGAGTGGATAGACTGACTTATCGTTGGTACCTGTCATGAAATTCGTCCATGTATTAGCTGGGTCAGGGCGCTATGATCTGCGCTCGTACATAAAAATCCATCTATCAACTATGCTGAACATTTGCAGTTTAGTATATTAGTTTGTATTCCTGAGAACAATGTACACATTATGCCATGCAGTGCATTGATAATTATATCAGATGAAAATTACCCATATGAAAGAAAATGTTTAACCAATTAATTATTAATATATTCGCTAGGTTTATGTTTCGGATAATGGCTGAAAATAGTGCCGTATTACATTTCTCATCCAATCGCTGTAAAGGACTACTTGTTATTGAACATTATCAAAGTATGTGAAAAGGTCTCAAATGCGCAGTTATTCCCGCCAAATATACTACAAAACATAAAGGTAGCACATGTTTAGTGAGTATTTGATGAATAGTTTACTTATAGAGACGAATGTGAATAGACATATGAATTAGCATACATTTTGCTAAAATGCCTAGGGATAGAGATCCCAACAATAATGTCCCTGAAAATAGCACTTTACTGCAGACAGATTATGAACTGCATGACAGTGAAGGGTATATGGTACCATCGGATGCCAGATATGCAATTATAAAAGATCCGCCAATTAATCAGGACACTTTAGAGCAATATATTTATTCATACGCATCGTGTGCTGATGTGCAGGAAGACTGTCAACGTGTTCACGAAAACCTTAGAAATGCGCAGAAAACCAATGGATATGATAAGGACAATTATAGAAATAAGCAAAAGAACAGTGAGATAAAACGAAAGGAAGCCATTTTGAAGTGGGTAAAAGAGCATAAACTGGCTGTTATGATATTGTTTACAGTCATAGTTATGCTTGTTTCAGGGATGACTACTCTTATGTGCATGGTAATGAAAGGCAAGTCGTTAAATCATTGTATAACTTTATATTGTAAAACATATTAAATAGTAAGATACATGTTCAAAATAACAAATGTCTGTCTTCACATAATCTATGTTTGAATATTTCTAGGTGATAAAAATAGGGAATCACCAACCTATTCAACTGAGATCCAAGACTCTGTGACAGAAATGGCATACACAGAGGGTTTAACATCCACCACTCAGACACAAAAACACAGTACTACTGAAGATTTAGTCCAAACTATACCCAACAATTCCAAGGCTGATTACGAGACACAGACAACAAAACAGTTCATGTGCAAGTTGTTTCCCCATGTGCTTCCAAAACTGTGTAGGTCATATCAATAACCTAATGACAAGAAGCCATACATCTAAAAACAGCTTTAGTAATGAGTAATATACGAAAATACGAAATTTGGTACTGGTAAGAGTATAATATTAGTGTAAAAGTGTTATATTACTCCAGCAGCTCATTAACTACTAGACTGTATATGTGAAAGTTATTTCCACCAATACTTTTGGGACATAATTTATTTGTCTTGTTTTATCATACACAATCTACTTGTTATATAAAATATGGTACCGTCAGGTAACATTGTGTTAATGATACTTGGTGCTTCTCAGTAAATGGTGGTACAATGGTAAAAGTTTGAAATCAAAATGAGAGGTTCTGTTTTTACCTTTTGACGTTTTCAGATGACCATTCTATGCAGCAGTCAATCATATGCCAAAACAAAAACGCTCACGTAAAACTGATGCATTTTATTGTACAATAAGTGGTATGCACCAATTGGTAAACATATGATAACAATATGTTTTATATTTCGGTTTTCGTTTCGGCTAAACTTGTTGAAAATCATGTTGCAAAAGTTTCGGTTGCCATTTATGCAAAAATATTATGATAATAGACACATCTCCTCATCATTATGTTTCATGCCATTATATAACTACGAAGTTAAAAAACATAATCAGTATATGTATACAATAAGATATTTTGGATACGAAAACCCCGTAAAATGAAGATTTGTACGAATCATTGGTACTTTTCTCGATGCAATTTTCAGGGTGCTTAGAAACATGGTATTTTAAGGGTTAAATAATCATATTTCAGTTTGCCAACATGATTTTTTGGGATTCAGCATAAAAAGTTACGAAAGCATTTGTCAGAACACTTTTGATACAAAACGCCTACCACATTTAAAGCTATCGAGAAAAAAGATGAGAGGGGCGACCTGTTCTGCCCCAGCTACTACATTATCACACACACACTGTCACCATGGGCGCCTGATGCCAATTTTGTCCAAGAATCATGAGAAATAGAAATATGGCTATCATGTTATCTTTGAAAACTGAACTTTTGTCAGATCCCGACCGCAATACAAAACCTTTTCAAAATATATTGAGTACACACATTATAGGTATTGGTTTCTGTTCTACTTTCGTATGATGCGTTTCCATATCATAAGCCAAATGACTTATGAACATGAACAAGGAACAAGGGGAGGATCGGAATTATGAACATAATGAAATAACGTACCATAAAGCACCTACAGAGGTACAATCTGATATACATTGAATTGAATATGACGTATTTGGATTTACCTTATATATTTAATGACATCATATAATTGAGTTACAGACCTTTCAAACAAACCAGTCGACCTTTTGATTCAACTATGATAAACTATGATAGATTGATGATGTCATTAGTTGTAAGAAGACGTCCGTCCAATAATAGATTTAACGTATTCCTAATTTTGGAAAGTACAACTGATGGTATCATAAAAGTACAACCGATGGTATTTAGACCTGAAACCGAAAACGAAACGAAAACTGGCACAGTGCCTCTCCTGAATGTCATAATACACACCAAGGAACATTGTATATACGATTGTCTTGGGTGATGGACCAATCTATAACGTATCAGTGCTAGTTGACAGATGACATTATTAAGATGTTTCACAGTGAAACCTGCGAATCCAACAAACACGAACGGAAGCTGGACACAGATAAAATGGATGACACTATAACTGAGGGTAATGACAAAAGTACTGCGATACTGTTAAACAATAGTACAGACATACCATGTAGTAGTGGAACCGTAATTTATGTTAAATCGCATGGTGTAAAAAACTCTTTAATCACAGAAAATACCAGACAAGTCCAAAACACTGATAAACTGTTTGGTGAGCAGATTCAATATTATTGTAAATATTATAAACATCGCAACAGGCTTAAAAACGGGTTAGTCGCCATGGCCATTGCTGTGATTATTGCTGTTGTTGTTGTTGTTGTTGTTGTTGCTGCAACCTCAAACCATAAAAGTAATTTACAAACATTTTATGCAGGCCTCACAGACGGAGATTCTAGTGAAGATCGAGAGTCTGTTACCGAAAGAAACGAAATTAACTGTCTGAATGAAACTGCGACGACAAACGAAAATGGTTTCATAAGATGCAAGACTATAGTAAATAAAAACGATACTGCATCATCAGTAAATACAACACGAACGACTAACTTGATGTGCAATATGTTTCCCCACGTATTGCCCATATTATGCTCCAAACAGTGAAAAACTTTGAACGTTAAGGTGTACTGTTCTAGGATTGACGTTGCATCGATCTTTTAACAAAAGTGATTGACATGATGTAAATATCAGTACGTAAATAACATATGTGGAAGTATTTTTACCATGAATAACATATAATGCTATAAATTAAAATATAAGTTTTAATTTATGAATGATAATTAAATGGTTAACGTAATCGTTTTGTCAGATGTTTATACCCAAGTACATGATTTTACCATTCTTCATGTTCCAAATTAGAATTTGTACAACCACTTATGTTTTTTCTTATAGTCTCATGTTTTTATTAAAAATGTATCGCATATTATTTATATGCCATAATGTGAATAAAGGACATCTAAACCTTCTAAATGTTTTTTTGTCAACCGTTTAGTACTCGTAATAGTTAATCATAAACAATTGTTTAAATACTACACCAATATTGATAGTAGTACCAGTGCACTTGAAAATATATCTGCGGTTTTGTTGTGCTTTGAATTGACATATTGACATAAATTACATTTTGTTTGACCAACTTTTTAAAAGACATTTGTATATCCCCAAAGATTTCCTGACAACTTTTCCAATGATATCTTTGATTATACCATTTCCTAGACGATTCTCAAAAGCAGAAGAGGCAAGTGGCAAAGTATAATATTTAAACAAAACAATCGATGATCAGATTGTTAGGGATTGATGATAATAATATGATATTAACCCAGATGCGAGTAAGCTTTTTCACCACCAGGTGGCTATTTCGGGGTAAATAACATGACAGGCTATTTGAAAGTTCCCTTAAACTTGAATACTATTCTAGTATTTATCAGTTTAAGTGATTCAATTTTCATATTACACTTATTTATAAAATAGAATATTATCTGTCCAATATAAGAAAAGATATTTCACTTTTTGTGATTTTATAAAATTGGGTCTATGGGGGATCTCCCCGACCTAGAAGTCACATTTTCAAAGAAAAATTTCAGAGTTGATAAACACTTTTTAAACCACATTACTTGTACTACACGTAATTTTACATGTTGATTTCAAATATGCAGTAGGACGACACATTGCCTTAATCCATCAGTTTTATGACGTGCACATCCGTGTGACACTATATCTTTACAGCGGGGATTTCAAGTTTTAGTCAGTGCAGCGCAGACATAGAAAGTTGCGGTTCTCATACGCGCGCGTTTTTTGATATTTCCAATTGAAACTCGCAGGAACTGTACTTTGAATCTAGCTCTATACTCCTTCAAAACGTCATGCATAATCGAGACAGTTGAACAATTTATTTATTGACGTGAAAATCTCATTTTTTCATTTTATTTTACAACTTTTTCGGGAAAAATGCAACAATTTCTTGTTTCATTCCTTATATATCCAATGTTTTGTCATCATGAATTTCGAGATTCTTTTTAGATATGGTGCAAATTTCATAACATTTGATAAATATTTAATAATAGTTTCATGTTATCACAAATTTGACTTTAATTTGGTGAACATACAAGTCCCGACGTAATGGGTTTTACTGATTTACTACACTCAAAAATAAAGTTTGCTATCAAATTGGAATGTTCATAAATCATAAACCTCGCCTTTGTTTTCACAATTACAAAAGCAGGCCAAATGAACTGTGATAATCGTTTGACACTTGAGACCACAGAGCTTAAACATACTAAAACCTATGGTACCTATAGTTATGCTTGTAAGTTAATTATATGTTAACGTCCTGTTGAGACTCCTTAACTTTAATTTTCAAATTTATAAATGTTTACTGTTTCAATGGACCACATAAAAATGGTAGCCAACGGACCAAAAAGAAGTAGTGCGATGACGTCACATATCGCTACACCACTTTGATATAAAGTTTGGTAAACAACAATTTTTTTTCAAAGTGCCGTCGTACTGATGATATCACTAAGATTGAATTTTGAATTTATTTATGACGTAAATCAAGATTATTTCTACTCGCATCTAGTATATTGTGAACTCTGTTTTTGGTTTCATATGAAACCAAATGACAACTTTCTGGAACTAATAACCAAAACCATAGATTTAATGTTGAAGACAAAATAACACCAAAGATGCATGGAAAGAACGTTTGGTACCTTTATCAAAACAATTATAAAATTTCTTTACAAGTTTATTCAATTTCGAATAAATATCCGATGAGAAATTGTAATAAGGTTAGCTACGGATAAATATACAGATTTTGATCATCTGGATCATATGGACATGTATTTTGATGTGGAACGATGGATAACAAAATGTCCATGAGCTCAAAATAAGTAAATTGTGTATGTAAACAGGGTGTCATCCTTAACTAGGCTTTAACAATTGTTATCAGAAATTTCGAAAAAACTTATTGACTTGAATACTCAATCATAGGTTATTATAATATAAAAATAAAAGATTCAAATAGATAAGAACCAGTGATGGAGAACCTTTTCTCTTAGCGTGATCCAATAATTGCGCTCGTGCAAAAACGAAAGTAGCACGTGTCAAAATAACTACACATAGCATATTTTTGCAACTGCATTGGGCATGTAAGCATGTTAAGATGTCTGATGAAGGAGCTCCAGACAATAATATTCATGAAAATAATAGTTTAATGGAGACACAATATGACAGTGACGACTATGCGGTTATACAAGACATTGTTATTCATCAACAAACTTCAGAGGAAAATATTTATTCATATGTAACATGTGACGATGTGCAGAACAACTACAAGAGAACAAAACAAAATATGTTCATGAAAAAAGTGAAAAATATCAAATTTATTATTCCTATGATAACTTTCATAGTAGTATTCATGACAGTGGCTGGAGTTGCTACACTCTTATACATGGTTTTGAAAGGTAACTGATAAAGTTATTAAAACATATATAAACACTATCGCTTACTTGTTCGTTAAATGACAGAATAAACTATTTTTGAAATAAACGATGTTCAGTACAATAAGTTCTACATGTATTGTTATATTTAATGGGTCGGGCAAATGTTGATTGTGATTTCATCCGAAATGTTAAGCCCATACAATTGAAATGCTATAGTATATTAACAATAATAACGCGTTTGAATATTTTCCTTTAGTTCCAGCTGCGTCCACAAATGCCACAAATGGAGGACAGGTTACTTCTCCTACTGATATGAATAACACGGTTACAGAAAGCACAATTATCGCATTGATTGACTTTAAACACACTACTCAAAATACTGAAATACTAAAAGCTACAACTTCTGAAAATCAATTAGAGACAACTGTGATAACTGAAGTTGCAACTACTGATGGTTCTACACAAACTGCAAGACCCGTTCAAGGGACAAAAACATTTCTGTGCAAAACGCATCCACATGTGCTACCAAAGTTGTGCAGCAAATAGTCCTAACAAAGTGAATAAGAAAGGACTTCTTTTCAGGAACAAGAATGTTTTGTTTGTAACATAAAGTTAATTATTGATTTAAAACACCATTGGCAATCCCAGAATGTGCTTTCTCAACACATGATACGAGGAAACACAGAATTAAAAATGAAGACTGAAGTTTTGGATCACCCTGTAAATGTTGTCATTATGTAAAATTACATAATATCGCCAAACGAAACTCATTCTTGTTTGTTATTTGTTTATCAACGTCATAATATTCCCTTTATCTTGTTTCGGTATCATTTAATAAAAATGTTTCGTATATATACAAAACCGAAACCTTTACCCTGTAAATGTTGTCATTATGTAAAATTACATAATATCGCCAAACGAAACTCATTCTTGTTTGTTATTTGTTTATCAACGTCATAATATTCCCTTTATCTTGTTTCGGTATCATTTAATAAAAATGTTTCGTATATATACAAAACCGAAACTCGGGTTAAATTGCCCGGGGAATGTACTTCAAAATTCTGCTGGCACTTTGCATTTTTGATTTATTACCCCGATTACTTTGTTCACAATATTCATTTTTGAATTAATTATGGCATTTACATGATAAAAATAACATCTTACAGAAGAATGTGAAAATAAATATATGTGTGTGCACGTTATGCATGGTATATATCCGAAAACGAATTTGAAACTCAATGTCGACTAGATAAAAATAATTTTGCTTTTGTTTTCGATCCCTTGGTTTCGGTAGTTACACGCATTTGAACATAAACGTAGCCATGGCCGGCCCCAGTTCGTATGTGACCATCATTTTACACGTTTCTTGTATACGTTCTCAAAACAGTGCACTATCACCTCGCTATTGCTACCGAACAAAGATGGTTACTATTCATAACATATGCTAGAAAAACAAGATATTTCGGTTACTATCGTTTTTATTATGGTTTTATGGTTATCAAAAAAAGATTTTAATGAGTGTTTGCCTCTTGGAGAGCCTCCTCACTTTGGAAAGTTTGAGCCAACTGAGATATTTATCGACTATTGAATTCTCAAGGTTAATACTCACAACTTATTCGATATCATGAATTCTAAAAAAATGGAGTTCAAATAGTAAGAAAACACAATAAAGTCTACAAGGAGGATTGGCTCCCAGGATAAACACTCGATATTTCCCAACAATGAAAACATCGAAATGTCGTTATCTTCTGAAACTGAAACTGACTATAAACTCAAAATAAACCGTTCAATAGATTCGAACCAATATCTCGATCATATCTTGTGAGTTTTGGAATTTTTCGTTGGGAAATAAAACCCAAATCCACGATTCAAATGTTGAAGTGAACAAAATAGTGGCTGTTTGAATTCAAATTTGTATCACGACATGCCCATATATTGGACAGAATATCGATGTTGCAGTTTGGGATCCAATCCTCCTTGAAGGTCTGTAAGATTCTTGATTTAATTGACCACCCCTTGGATGTTACGATCGGAGGTAGAACCGTACTATAATTCAACTGGTAAACTAAGTAAAATGTAAGTTTAGTCACTATTTGTTCATGGTCTCTATGAAGAGAGAAGAATATATCTAGAAGACATAGGCAGAGGTTCTTATCTTAAACGATATGTGAGAATAAAGTGAAACTATTTCATTTAGCCAATCATTGTAGTCGTGGTAATATTAAGTACTTAATGCCAAATTAAAACGAAAGCAATACCTGATTAAGAACAATAATATGCCATGTTCGGTATGAAACAAATATATAAACGCTAATCTTAAGATGGTTATGGAACAAACTCCGAATGGTCGTATTCCTGAAAATAAAAGTTTAATCTGGACAGAAGGAGATGCGGATTATGATAGTGAGGGCTATCTTGTTCCATCGCAGAACATATATAGCGTTATTTCAGACAAGGAAAATCATCAACACACTACAGATCTACCAATATATTCATATGCAACATGTGGCGAAGTTGAGAACAACTGTACGAGAACAAAACAAAAGAAACCGAAGAAATTCATGAAAAAAGTGACAAAAATTCGATTGATTGTTATTATGACAACTCTTTTCTTTTTTATGGCAGTCTCGGGAGTTACTATTGTTTTATACATCGTGTTGAAAGGTAATTTAATAACGTGTATTGAAATACAGCTTAAAAAATCGTTAAATGTCAGTATTTCAAACATTTATAGAAACACAGAAGTATCGCGTTTCAGTAAAACGACCAATGTACAGGGTGTCAAAAAACAACGGCACCCCCCTCTACAGCAAAAAGTCCTGAATGTTCCATATTGTGTCATACATTATTTGAAAGATAATTTAATTCTGGAGTTACTCCTCAAATTTCATTTAATAAAACTTTATATTAAAAAAGCTACATTGTTTTTAAGTTTGCTACTTTGGTACTTTATTTGCTACTCTGTTACTGGTTAAAGGTCAAATCTTCAGAAAGTGGAATATGAAAGAATTAGCTCAGATTTCAACTGCACTGAACATATGGGTTCAGTTCTGAAAAACAGGGTATAGGAACTGATGGACGAAGAGCCTCTTGAAAAAAGATACAGTAAGGATGTATTTCTGAAGAATTTGAGGAAAGTGCTTAGAGGATTATGCAATGCTACACATTTATCTGAATTTTCATTGAAATCATATCCGTCCAGATAAGCTGCTGTTTGAGCAGCAACTGGTGGTCATACCAACTACTAAGAATCAGCTGCAAATCTGTAAAATTATATGATATAAAGCTGAAATTTCTCAGGTAACTCCAGAATTAAATTGTCTTTAAAATGAGATACGACACACCATGTAATATTAGGTACTTTATGCTGTAGAGGGGGGTGCCGTTGTTTTTTGACACCCTGTATATGTATATGAACATTTCACGTTTCACTATTCTTCCTTCAGTTCCTGATCCTTCCCTAACCACAACTGCAGACCATGTCGTCACTCATACTGAATTAAATAACTTTGCTACAGATAGCAAAAATATTGCATTGTTTGACATGCTACGTAGGACCAAAACTGATGAAATGCAAGAATCTACAACTACTGAACAACAATTTGAGAAAACTGTGATGGCTGGACTTACAAATGATGCTGGTGCAAAACATACTACGAGTTCCATCAGAGAAACAAAGGGACATATGTGCGGTCCTTTTCCACATGTGTTACCAAAGCTATGTCGTAACTAAAGAGCCTTATATATTAAAACAAAGCGAATGAGATTGTCAATTAGATTGTTGAGGGGACAGAAATTAAGAAGCTAGAAAAGGTGTTCTTATATTGAAATGAACTGTTGAACGATGTCGACTCTCGTATGCGACACCAACCCATATTTTCAGTTTCGTATGAAACTGTTGCCTTTTTATGAAACCTAAATTACAAATTCTTTATGATATAGATACACAGAGAACATTCTTATCTACAGGGTGGGCCAAAAAAATTTGCAACCTTTTTAGAAGGCAAAAAAAGTATCATAACATTATGGTATTGACATGAATTTTTTTTACAGAAACTTAAGGATAGGCATATTTTACCATTCAAATACTTAAGCTAATACTGACTTCAATTTTTTTGTCAGATGTTTGAATATTAATGGTTAATTGTTCATGTGTCCGAGATTTACCGATTTTCCTAGAAAATGTGATTTTCTATAATTTTATGTGATCATCGATAGAACATTTATTATGTTCACTAAATCTGCTGCAATTTTTGTTAAGTGGTGTATTGGGCGGCTATTCATCAGGACTAATGAATCAAGGGGTATTTTACTCCAGATATTCCATAGTGACTTTTGGCCTATGGACAGGAGCGCTATCCTGCTGGAATATGTACTGTACTGTACTGTAATCACTTGGGACTGAAAGAGCCCCCATTCTTGAAAGATGTCCTGAGTCGAATGGCCACCCAGTACACCAGATGCCAACCCCTGTGACTATCACACATGGGGGCACCTGGAGCAATGTATTGTAGTTAATGGGTATACCCCACATGTCCATGAAATCAACATATATGTCGCAGTTTCTAGTACAACAACAGATTTTACTTGAATTCTAAATCATATAGGCTATTATAAGCTAAAAATAAAAGATTCAAATAATATTCATGAAAATAATAGTTTAATGGAGACACAATATGACAGTGACGGATATGCGGTTATACAAGACATTGATGTTCATCAACATGTAGTTTGTCACCTGGAGCTGAAACAAATAAAGGAACAATAGCATGAACATAATTTAGGAATCTTTATACATGTGTGCTATTGCCCCGAACCGGTCCGTCTTCTCGCTGCAATCAGGAGGAAATTCTTTGTCACAAAGTTTGGCATTTTTTATAAAATCAAACGCGCGTCATTGAAACTCACAAGATGTAAATAGCATGTCATTTACATCATACCTTGATGGGGAAAAATAGATCTTATATGTTAGAAGTACTAAATAAAGGTTATCGTGAAAATGAGACAGTCGTTCTCGAGAGAAAAGAGCATAAATGCGCATTTAGAGAGTTTTGGTCCGTTCAAAAATCTGTAAAAAATTGGGGTACTTAAAAGCATCGGGAGGCATCATATATTTCAAATTAGACACGAGGAAGTCAATATTGAGCAAGTTATGGCTGTTTTAAATTCAAATAGCCGTTAACCCGTACCGGTCCAGCTTTTGACCCGTACCGGTCAATTTTCGTTAGCTGCGTATACCAAGGGTGAGTATGTAGTCCAGTCTGTAGTAAACAAATGAGTATTTTGGTCAACTCAATACATCTGATAAACACTACAAGAAGTGTTGTCTATGCAATGATTATATACAGGCACTTATTCATTGTTACTGCGAATTTCAAAAGCCTCCAAATTGTGTGGAATAGAGCATGCAATGTTTTTCAGTTTCAAGCAGGTTTTAGTACATTCTGACCAATTGTATTTTCAGACTTATTCATTTCATGATTATGTAATACTGACCTACTTATCTGCCTAGCATATCTTTAAATTACAGAATAAACTATTTTTGAAATAAACGGTGTTCAGTACAATAAGTTCAACATGTATTGATATATTTAATGGGTCAGTCAAATGTTGATTGTGATTTCATCCGAAATGTTAATCCCATACAATTGAAATGCTAAAGTATATTAACAATAATAACGTGTTTGAATATTTTCTTTTAGTTCCAGCTGTGTCCACAAATGCCACAAATGGAGGACAATTTACTTCTACTGATATGAATAACACGGTTACAGAAAGCTTAATACTTATCGCATTGTTTGACTTGAAACACAGTACTCAAAATACCGAAATACAAAAAGCTGTAACAACTGAAAAGCATTTTGAGACGACTGTGATAACTTAAGCTAAAACCAGGGCTACAACTACTGATGGTTCTACACAAACTGCAAGACTTGCCCAAAGGAACAAAAACATTTCTGAGCAAAACGCATCCATATGTGGCACCGAATTTGTGTAGCAAGTCGTCCTAAGGAGGTGAATAAAAGAGAGGCCCTCTTTTCAGGAACACGAATGTTTTTTTTAACATAAAGTTAATCATTGATTTAAAACAACATTGGCAATCTAAGAATGTGGTTTATCAGCACATGATACGAGGAATCACAGAATTAAAAATGAAGACTGGAGTTTTGGATCACCCTGTAAATGTTGTCATTATTTAAAATTGCATAATATCGCCAAACGAAACTCATTCTTGTTAGTTATTTGTTTATCAACGTCATAATATTCCCTTTATCTTGTTTCGGTATCATACAAAAATGTTTCGTATATATACAAAACCGAAACGTGGGTTAGATTGGCGGGGGAATGCACTTCAAAATTCTACTGGCACTATACATTTTTGATTCATTACCCCAATTACTTTGTTCACAATATTCATTTTTGAATTAATTATGTCATTTACAAGATTAATGTAATAACATCTTACAAAAGAGTGTGAAAACAAATATATTTGTGTGTACTTTATGCATGGTATATAACCAAAAACGAATTTGAAACTCAATGTCGACTAGATAAAAATAATTTTGCTTTTGTTTTTCGATCCCTTGATTTCGGTAGTTACACGCATTTGAACATAAACGTAAAAACGACCCCCAGTTATTGTTGTCCACACCTCAAATGGATCAAATAAGGACAACCATTTTTCCCCCCGTCATGCTCAGTGGGGCAAATTACGCCAAGTGAGGTTAAACGAGTGCGTATGTGACCATGATTTTACACATTTCGTTTACACCTTCTCCAAACTCCAGTGCCCCATAAAATCAAACTCCCGTGCAGTGATACATCACTGCGGCGGGCAGGTATCTCACCGTCAGCATGGTAACGTCGTAATAAACAACTGACATGATTGGTTGTAGTCCCATGCTCAGGTCGCGTGATTGTAAAACTTAGACAATTTCATTGGTTGAATTGCGCGTATTAACTAATAAACAACACGTGTGGTAAACTATTATCAACACAACTTTTCCTCAGAATTCCTTCCGCGGTGATTTCTTCTCATATTTTAATAATTATGAGATATTTTGACAAAATTATTGATTGGGGAACATTCATGTATTCATATTTTGTAAGTTGTGTGAAAATTGACCACATATACTATGAAAAGGGGAACTATTTTCACCAAATTTTCGGGATTTTCTTCATCTGCCCGCCGCAGTGTCTATTACCGAGACTCTGCATAAAATATTAAAACATATAAACACTATCGCTTACTTGTTGGTCATTGTTGTCCAAATCTCAATTTGATCAAATGAGGACTTATTGCTTCCTTATTTAGAAAAGTTTGAGCAAACTGGGATATTTATCGACTAATTCTCATGGTTACTTACAACTTAAACTATGGATATGAAGACTTCTAAAAACATGGAGTTCATATTGTAATGCCTTGGTCACGTTTGCTCCGATTTTCACTACGGTGCCCGGCTTATTGAGTATTTTGTTCAAAATTGAATACAATATTAAAGCAAAATACTCAATCGGCCAGGTGCCGGCCGATGGGATCGGAGCAAATGTGACCCAGGCATAAGAAAATACAATAAGGTCAACAAGGAGGATTTGCTCCCAGGATCGACAATCGATATTTTCCAACAATGAAAACATCGAAATGTCGTTATTTTTTAAAATGAAAACCGACTATAAATTCAAAATAAATATAAACAGTTCAACAGATTCGAACAAATATCTTGATCATATCTTGTGAGTTTTTGAATTTTTCTTTTGGAAATAAGACCAAAATTCACGATTAAAATGTTGAAGTGAACAAAATGGCGGCTGTTTGAATTTAAATTTTGTATCACGACATGCCCATATATGGGACAGAATATCGATGTGGCACTCTGGGATCCAATCCTCCTTGAATCCATAAGGTTCTTAATTTGGTAGCCCGGCCCTAGGATGCTACGATCGAAGGTATTATAATTCAACTGGTAAACTAAGTAAAATTTAAGTTTAGTCACCATTTGTTCATGGTCTCTACGGAGAGAGAAAAATATATTTAGAAGACAGTGTAATATGATCAACAAAACTTGTATAAATGTACCTCTTTTGAATATGCCAAAGTTCAAATTTACCTCAGTTTTCCACAATTAGAAATCCGCAGTGAATAATTTTTCGGTCGCACATGATCATGATACCCCTTGTGTCAATTTAAGGCTCTAGCCTAAACCAAAAACACCCTTTTTTATTCAGATGGTGTCATATTGTTAGCAAATGATTTATCTTTAAACTGATATATACTACATTGCATGGTGTTACATTATATTATATGATATTCATCCTTGAACTTAGGTATTGGTTTTTTGGCCACATTGTATATTAAATTATGGTTTTCACAGGATAACGATCCCCTTTTTGTTTCACATGAAACTGTTACTACGTGTATGGAACTGTTCTAGTTTTCACGAAACATAAATCAAGACATTTTTATCGTCGTTTTAGCCGACTCTCTGTCTCCTTAGCCTCAAATTGCCTCGTCAACATATTAAGTGGGTGTCCTACGGAGTACGGAGGTGAAAGGACTAAATCATGCAAAGGTGATGTCACTTTCTAGGAATTTGGCATTTAAGGCATTGGGGCTGATGTGTAAAGGTTAATGTTATGGGTCAAGCTCATTCCAAGGTTAAAAGTTAATATCTAGGCATTTTAATTTTAAGGCATTTGAGGGCTGATGTGACCCTCTGCGGTAGACGTCCATTGGCTAAGGTCGTTCTAAGGTCAATATCTAGGCATTTGGCGTTATAATGCCCTTTTGAGCTGCTGTGGCTTTTAGCAACCCATGATTAGGTGACCTTTTGCCAAGGTCAACTCAAATGAGTCAATTTTAAACGTGTATATTGCTAGCTTTTATAACTACAGGGTGTCCAAAACAACAGGACCGTGAGAAAGTTAACTCGGTCAATTTTGCATATTTTACCTTGAAATTTCAGAACTATTTAGTTCATTTAATGTGGATTTTGTTGTAATAGTTTGATAATAGTCTGCCGATTGAGACAAAAACTACAGTTCCTTACAAAACATGCTCCAAATGTGCACTTCTCCTCTCTGTGCCCATTTCAATCTGGCGAACAAAGATGTTGATGATCCTCCTACACACATTTCTTTTTGAATATACAAGTTCATTCCAATAACAGCTGCTACTCAGGCTTACATCCTCCTGATGAAGTGTTACAGCATCCATTGCATTCTGAACAATGCACTGCCTGGGTTGCATTGAGCAAACATGGAATCATCAGTCATTTTTGGTTTGAAGATGACGGGGGACGTGCTATCACCATGAAGGACCAGTATATTTATGTTCTCACTAAGTTTTGGAGGTCACTAAGCACCAGAAAGGGCATTTAAGTAGATAAGCAGTGGTTTCAACAAGTCAATGCCACCCCTACACTGCAAATGATACGCCGAAATGGTTTAGGCAATAGTTTGGTGATCAGCTCATCAGTCGCAGAAGGCAAAACATATGGACAGCTCATTCGCCAGATCCAAATCCCCCAGATTTCTATCTTTGGGGATTTCTCAAAACCAATGTGTATACTGACAGGCCCCTAACAATCTTAAGAGGGCAATAACTTTCAATGTGTATCATCCACATTGATGTGTACAGGTCAGGGTCATTAACAACTTTGTTCGCATGATTTACTTGTGTATAGAGAGGAAAAGTGGCCGCTTTGAACATGTTTTGTAAGGTACTGTAGTTTGTGACACTTAATTAAGAAAGGTTATGATCAAACTTTCACAACAAAATTCACATTGAATGAACTTAATAAATCTAAAATCCCAAGGCAAAGTATTCCAAATTGACTAATTTATTCAACTTTCTTACGGTCCTGATTTTTGGACACCCTGTATAACTATGAGTACATACATTGTACATGATTCAGTAACCGGATGTTACTCTTCACATGCATGCCAAGGTCACGTATAAACAGCTCCTAAGGCGTAGGCTGATCTTAATACATGTACACGTATAATCTCAGACTTCCTGAGTGAAACCATTACCATAACCGAAACTATATATGATTAAAGATGATTTGTTTGTTTAGCTGAAATAAACACTTATTGTGTACATTACAAACATGATATGTCTTTCAAACAACATTTATACTACGAATAAGCTTTAAACTAGATCATTCTTTAGACATTTTCCGATAATGCAGTTCAAATGCTGAAAATCCCAAGAGGAATAATCTAAAATATGGATGACAATAATAACAATAACACTAGCGAACCTGTAAATCCTGAAATTGTGACAAAGACAAACAAGACTGATCAAACTGCAGTTCAAATCGAAACCGAGGACTCGTGTAAAAGCACTTTACTGCCGGACACTAATACAAACAAACCCTCGATCAAAACCATAGAATTTGAAGAAAATATACATGTAGCCACAAAACATGGTTGTAAATTCGCCAAACATCGAAAATGGATTATAGGACTATTCATCAGTTTTTGTGTTGTCGCAATTTGTATTGCTGGTGTAATTGTTGGATTAAACAATCGAAACGGTAATGGGCTACCATCAAAAATAGTATAAAGACAATTTCAAGTTAATTGAATCTAAATATTAAAGAATGCATCAACACATAGAATGATTGTTAGGCCTAATCATGACGCGCAGTACTTGAGATAATTATAATTCAAAATGATATTCAAAAAATATATATTTATGACTAATTATGTTGTTTCATTTTAGCTCTCGACGCGCAGTCATTGTCAGACGTACCTATGCCTATAGGGGAAAACTGTGTTGAAGATACGCACACGGCCGAGACACGAAAAACGAAGTGTTTGGATGCAACGACGAATTACACTAGGAACAATAATGCCACCAAAGATCTGACCATACCTACAAATGACCATGAGCTTACCGGAAATATGACAAGCACTGCATCATTTATATGTGACTCGTTTCCTCATGTCTTGAGAAAATTATGCAATGCTTAACAATTACAGTTAAATCTCTAACGGTAACTATATCACTTATAAGACTGAGGATAATACAAAAACATCTATTTAACATTAACTTAATCAAACATGTATCATCGAGACCCTCACTAACAGTTTTTGAACATTAAACCTCATTCACCTGATAAAATATAGTTTGAGCACAAATGTTCCATGATGAGCCTACCCGCATATTGCTGAAATTTCTCTCTATGACGCAGTGGTATACAAAGTACAGAAGTGTAAAATGATGACGTTAGAGAGATTTGGGAACACACTTTATCATATTTAAAGAGTGGAGAACTTGATAATAATTAAGTCGATTTTAACTAACTGCTTTCCCCACATACCTTTGGACATAGCTATCATATCAATCGTATCTTTAATCATGTGTGACAATTTGATAGAACATTAAATATAAGAGAACTAAGGAAATTGCAACGATATTATATACACGTATCAGTTATAATTCCATAAAGGTGTTGACACAAGTATGATGCACGTGGGCGCCCTGTAATCCGGTTTCGGTAATGGTTTCAGTACGCCTTCATTTAGTTTCAAAGCATGTTTATCATTTCTCATTAACGATCTTAAAAAACAAACGTGAAAGTTGCTGAAAGGATACTGTCATCTGAATAAAATAGAATTATATTGTTTAGTACGAGTATTAATGGTATAGATTGTTATAACTACAGTATCATATTCGAAACTGATTCAACTACTATGTCTGGGAAACATCTCGACCCATTGGAGAATAAAAACACGTCATTGTTGCAAACAAATCCAACAGGAGTACAAAGAAGAATAACCAAGGACTGTCGATGGAGCAAATACCAAACATTTATATTGTGTGTAATATGTTGCCTATTTGCTAATGCTGTAATTTCTGGGGGAGATGCTGCAATAGTAGACCGAAATGGTAGGAGACTACTTTAAAATTACATTTTAAAGATTTATAACTGTTACACATCTCAAAAATGTATGTGAGTCATTTACTAAGTCATTTCTTGGATAATTAAATCTCATTTTTATTAATATACTTACTTTAACAAGATATTCTTTAGAAATCGCAAAAAGTGCTGGTCAACGTGTATCTGATCTCCTCTGAGCCTTTTCTGAAAATAGGTCACGTGACTCTAAGTATGAGATGTCGCATATTGGTACACTGTCTTGTATACATGTTAGCAATACAAGTAAAATGTTCCATAGAAACGTGTAAGATTCCGATCCATTTTAAATATTTAAACCTGTTACATAAAGTATGCTGAACATGTCTATTGTTGTCGCTAATCATATCGTTACATTAACTAGTTACTTCTCAAGGTTAAACAACTCCACGCCCCTGTCGCGTTTACTTGAGAGCAACGTAAATTTATTCAACACATTGTCTGAAGCAAATCACCCACGACGAAGTTCTTCTATTTTAGTTCATTCGTAAATTATAACAACCCTTTGAATGAAACACTTTCTTTTTGGACAAGTCCTTGAGACATTTAAGCACTGGGTAAATACGTCACTTTGTAATTTAAACCTCGTTTTAAATGCGACTTTGACACCTCTTAAGATAATAGTTTTAAAATGATCAAATATAAGTGTTTTGCAAAGTGTATGTAATATGACACAAATGAGCCATTTATATCAATATTCACTTTTTTAATTGAAATAGATTGATATTGGGAACATATTTTCCACCTCTAGCTTAAGAGCCGATACAACGGGTTGAATTTACATGTGTGAATTATTTCTAAACAGTCAAATGTGTTTGAAAATATGTCCTACCAAGTAAAATGAAGTCTAGTCACATAAGCCAACTATTTTCTTCAAGTAACATTTTGAATATGGAATGGCTTAATGAAATTAAGTGTACTTTCAGGGCGTAAACAACCAGTACGCGCATCAAATGTGGTTGAAGTGAAATATTCTGGTGAAGAACCCGTCTTAGTCAAAATAGATGGAAAGAACCATCAACAACCAAAAGCAGAAATTCACTCTCCAGGAGGTGGTAAAAGTAACCATGGACGATTACTACATGTGAAGAAGAATGACCATACATCATCTCGAAATACCATTTCGACAAAACCTTTTTTATGCAGGGTGTTTCCCTATGTTTTGCCAAATTTATGTAACTATCGAATTTAGCAATGAGACAAGACAAAATAATATCGTTGACGACCCACGGGGTCATAAGGGCCAATATTGGATTGACGTTTATAATAATGGACTTAATCCTCAGACCAGATCAAAAATGAATGTACATAATGTCAATCTTTAAGCATACAGAATATAAACACATGTATCACGATTCACTAACAATCTTTTTCAGAATAGATGGATGCGAGTTACCCTTTTATATATTACTTATCCCATCGTCGTTCACTGTACTATATTTTGTATATTGTGTACATTGTTACAGAAAGATGGAAGTATCATACGAAATGTAACATTTGTCAATATTTCGAGAGACTTATAGATGTCACTAGTGCCACATTGATAATGGCCTTTGTACATATGATTAGTAGGTGCTCGAGAATAACGGTGTAAGGTTATTTTTCAGAAACAATTTTTGCAAACTTTGCAATTTTGGTTATCAAGAAGAAAAATCTACTCTTTTCAATAAAATGTGCATATGTTTCAACGAAGCATTGGACCTAGAAAAAACGCATTTCGATGCGTTGATGGAGAGAGTTCGGATTGTGACGTTATTAAAAATGTGCAATTTTGGTTAAATATGCTGATCACAGCTTAACCAATGGTAAAATTTTCCAAGTTCTTGAAATAGAAGCTTTAGAAACAAATTGGCTTATTTCAATAAAATTTCAACGAATAAATGTTCAATACTAGTGAAGTCTATTTAAAATTATTTTTCAAAATACTTTTGCTTTAAACATTCTCTGGTAGCTGCATCGAGTGCAGATGGATACACTTATCACTTAGACACGTACGTGTGTGTAATGTCATCAATCGTATCTTTTGGCTTTTGTTTTTTCAGCGATAAGTTCCGCTTTGTACTAGTCATATATTTGTATCATTTTGAGATAACTTTTTAACCCTCTGTTAAGATCTACGGGCGTTGTGACAAAAAATAGTCCAGAATGTATAAAATGAAACAAAACAAAACGAAACTACTTGATAATGATGTCATGACAGAACATAAATGTTAAGAGTAAACAATATGAAGTATATCTTTAGGCAAAACAAGAACTTCAAAGTTCGCTCAAAGAAAGATAAACGACGCAATTTGTCCTAGGTGAGAAGCTTAAAATATGTGACTTGTCAATGGTCACATCGCTGTCTAATAAACCTTGATAAGGGAGGTAATTCAATCATTTACAATCACATATCAAAACATTACTTCTGAAACGTAATAAAGTTCAAACGTTATTTAAAGTTGGTCTCACTCTGGTATAACGACAGTATAAATAAATAGTTAAGTGTCAAACTAAATCTTTATGTAGAAACTATACATTTCAAGTGGTCACTAAAAACTTTTATGATGAGAATAGGATTAATTTTGCTGAAAATTATAATTGGAGCCCTAATTATTTTTTAGAAAGCGTTGAAATTTGTGACCATCCTTCCTCTAGGACCGCCTTTGTAAAGTACTGTAATGTTTGAAGTATATTTCAAAACATATGACCCAAAATTTCCTCTGAGCTAATTTTTACCGTGCAAACCCTTAAGTTTTAGGTCAACCCTCATTCTACAATTCAAGGATTCTCTCCGTACCATTACCGTAGGATTTGAAATATTCCAATGAAACAAAAATGGAAACACTTGATAACAGTGTCATAAGATCAGATTGGCAAATGTCAAGTTGATTTCGATACAACTTTCTAATAAAGAGGGACATCTGAAGGTTGCACAGTGTACACCAGCATAGCTTCAACGTAATCGTCCCTGTGTTTTTTAAAGTGATAAAATCCAGTATAAAATTGAATACTGCTTCGATTATGTATTATTCTTGTTTTTATACAATTGTTTATATCTACAGAGTGATCTTGTCGGTTCTCTAACAAAATTGACGCAAAGAAGCTTTTAGATACAAATAAGGACAACGTATCAATTCGGACAAAATTCCAAATACAGCTAGGCCTGCTAAATAACATCGCAACTGTCACTTTTTACTGCACCTAAGATATGTTCATGATGTAATATGTTGTAAAAAGCCTTGTTTTCAAGCAAAAACAAAACACAATTACACCATGAACCTTGCGTTGCCAATATCCCAAACAAAAATGAATTCAAGTTTACATCAAAGGAGGAGGGAAATTAGTGCAACAGATTTCGGATAGTCATGCGTTGGATTTCGGCTATTCTCTGAGGATTTAAACAGGTGCATATGTTAGTTCAATGCATTACCTCCAGGAAAAGTACTCATAGAGATGATAAAATAATTTCGACTCTGAGACAGGGGAGGTGCAAACAACCCACCCACATGTTTTTTTCTGAAATGTCGTTCTGATTTTCAACCCCTTCCACCCCTGCTTTTTCAATTTTTGTTGCATCAATATGTTGTGTTTTGACACACAGTTAACCAATTTTAAGGAATAAGTAATCCCTACAGTGGTTTTAAAGATATCCATTATGGGTGACCATCTACCCTGTCTCAAAGTCGAAATTATTTTATCACCTCTAGAAGTGCTTTTCCTGGAGGTAATGCATTGGCCTAACATATGTACCTGTTTAAATCCTCAGAAAATAGCCAAAATCCAACATATTACTGTCCGAAATTTGTTGCACTAATTTCCCTCCTCCTTTACACTCAGTTTACGTTTAATTTACACCTGACCTTGGTGTATACTTCGATGTTAACTTTACCTCGAAAGTATAAAAGAAAGTATACACTGATTTACTAGGTGAAAACTTGACTTCGAATTTGTTAAAAGTGAAAACTGGGTGTAAAGTAGACTCAAAACACTTGGTCAAGGTGTAAACTAAGTGTATACTTGATATATAACACTATGGGGGGTAAGCGTTTTATAGTTGATCAGGAACGCCATATGTGCAAAGTATTGTTCTGAATTTTCGACTAATAATAATTTCGACTCTGAGACAGGGGAGGTGCAAACAACCCACCCACATGTTTTTTCTGAAATGTCGTTCTGATTTTCAACCCCTTCCACCCCTGCTTTTTCAATTTTTGTTGCATCAATATGTTGTGTTTTGACACACAGTTAACCAATTTTAAGGAATAAGTAATCCCTACAGTGGTTTTAAAGATATCCATTATGGGTGACCATCTACCCTGTCTCAAAGTCGAAATTATTTTATCACCTCTAGAAGTGCTTTTCCTGGAGGTAATGCATTGGCCTAACATATGTACCTGTTTAAATCCTCAGAAAATAGCCAAAATCCAACATATTACTGTCCGAAATTTGTTGCACTAATTTCCCTCCTCCTTTACACTCAGTTTACGTTTAATTTACACCTGACCTTGGTGTATACTTCGATGTTAACTTTACCTCGAAAGTATAAAAGAAAGTATACACTGATTTACTAGGTGAAAACTTGACTTCGAATTTGTTAAAAGTGAAAACTGGGTGTAAAGTAGACTCAAAACACTTGGTCAAGGTGTAAACTAAGTGTATACTTGATATATAACACTATGGGGGGTAAGCGTTTTATAGTTGATCAGGAACGCCATATGTGCAAAGTATTGTTCTGAATTTTCGAATTTGGTGTTGGATTACGGTACTCATACCTTAATATGAGGCCTAAAATTGTCTACTAGTTGGCCAAAGACCAATATTCTAGCAGAATTTGAGAACAGAATCGATTTTTTCGTTCTGCGTAGGGCAAACAATGATTTAAAATCACTTTCAACCCTTCTGTGCGTATAAAAATGGTCATGAGAGGCCCGTGGAGGATCATAAATGAAAGAAAGCCCTCTGAAATTCCGTCAAAATTGCAGATTATTTCTTCTTTTTTTGCTAAAATTACATGATTTTGAAGGCCCACATCTCACTGAAATTGCTTCAATGTAGCGATTTTTCATTTTTACAGGCTAGATACACGTGTCAGGTCAACAGAAACAATAAGCATGTGTGATTTTTGAATTGCTACATTGTAGCAATATTTATTTCAAAATACAACTGTGGGGGAAACTGCTATTTACTTAGATTTGGGCGAAAATGGCCAAATTTCAGTCAAAATCCTCGGGACATAGGGCCTTTGTCGTAGATTTAGTCAATGACGCAACTCTTAGTAGAAGATGTGCCATATAAGGGAATGAAAGCTGTTTGTCAGACGTATCATTTATTTTCTTCAATAAACTCAGAGAAAGTCAGGTTAGATTTGTGACGTCACAGTGGCAAAGTTAGACTAGCATATTTAGACGTATTTGGGGTAGAGCAAATTAACCCTTTCTAGCCTAAATGGATAAATTTTTCACATATTCAGCCAGTTCTGACGTTTTTATGCATTTTTGGACTAAAAATGATATTTTCTGCCAAAAAAAGTTGCAGAGACAAAAATCAGTGTGATGTCATAAATCATTAAGGTGTGAGGTTCCATATCCATCCGCCAAAAGGTATGACCCCTATATAGTCCATTTAAAAACTTGTGGTTTTGTTCTAAATAACGCCATAGTTGGCTTCTAGGGTACCTAGTATGCCACTATTTGGTATCAAAATAAAGAGGAGGAGTTAAACTTTCATTTGAATTACGAAAACAGCGATGTAGGTCAAAATAGTTCCGACGTGAGCATGTTTACTACGCGTTTGCCCGTCGTCTCAGAATTGAGGAAATGGTAGCAAACGCGAGTTACAATAAATGGACGCTGATATCTCAAAAAGTAACCTGACTCCCTATAATTTGATGTAGATCAATCGAACCCCTATATGAACAGGTACATTTTGATATATAACACTATGGGGGGTAAGCGTTTTATAGTTGATCAGGAACGCCATATGTGCAAAGTATTGTTCTGAATTTTCGAATTTGGTGTTGGATTACGGTACTCATACCTTGACTGTCCTAATTCCATAACGAGGCTCATGCAGCCTCTCTTTCAATCAAAGCTGGCTTAGCCATTTTGGTTTTTGTAAGTCTTCACAAAATCCTATAACATCGGCCCTGATACAGTATCGGCCCTGATACAGTTTTACTTTACTTGCAATTGATTTTGGTGTCGACTTTACCATTAGGTATTAGGTATGCATTTGTTCCAGTTTCATCGTCATTGTTAATTTTAGTTATCCATTTTCTTCAGCTTCAATTTTTTTTCAATATATCCATTGAATCTTTCTACCTGTTTTGCTTGCCTGCTTGTTTTGATCTTTTCACCTAGAATTCATTCTAATCTGCATCATGATGGCATTATATCCTGGGCTGTAATTCAATATGGGTCAGTTTATTTATATAGTTTTTTCAGACATACAATCATTAACTCCTTGGAAACTTTTTGGAAAAATGAAGAAAATGAAAGTTATTTGAAAAAGAATCTAGAAGCAAGAGAAGAATGCAAGACCCAATAAATTATAAAGACCCATATTTTATGTTTTTTCTTGAAAAATTTGAATATGCAAAAGACTGTCATTGTGACATTATAATTCAAAATGGCGGATTTTGGACTTTTTACAAAACAGAATTATTTTAGCATTTTTTGTTTAAAACTTCAATTCAAAAATCTGAGCAGAATAACTTGTATAGATCTTTTAATGCTGATCATTCTGTGATATTTGTACTATAGCATAACTCCTACAAATATTTTTTAAAGCGCTAAGACAAAAAAATCAAGGAAAATCCCGATGGCGATTTAACATGGGATTTTTTGTTTTTGCAATGTTTTGCAACTCGTTACGCTTTGGACCCCCTTGAACTTCATTAATACTTAACGAAAAGTTACTTTTTTAATTGTTTGTATGGAATTCAAGATTACAGAAATTGATAAATCAAATATATACCACTTGAGGGAATCCCTGATCCCTGATCACAGTGCTTCAAAATTCAGAATATCTTTGCATTCTCTCCACCTGTGATAAGCAGTTAGCATTTCGCCAATTAAGGATTAGGTGAACTAAGATGTAAACTAAGTGTAGACTAAGTTTAAAATCTGACCAATCAGAGCGTGGTCTTGATGTAAATTGGATGTATACTAAAGTGTAAACTAAGTGTAAACCTATTTACTGGGTGTAAACTCAGTGTAAACTAAAGCGAAAACTAGGTGCGATCTGGATGTAAATTAGATGCTAACTAAAGTGTAAATTAGGTGTATACTACGGTGTAAACTGAGTGTAATCTAAGGTGTAAATTAGCTCAGCATAGGAAATTGGTCACCTATTTATTGGGTTTAAACTAAGTGTAAACTGAGTGTAAATTTTAGGTGTAAAGCCTTTGTAAATTTTGATATTGGATATTCTTTGGTGTACTAAATGGTAAGGTGGCAGTTTTTATCGGAAAGGCCCATTATTAACAAAACTGTTAATATGTAAAGCAGGTACAACGTAACATTTTGTGGATGTGTAACATGGCCAACCCTATCCAAACACATAAAACAGCAAGAAATATTCTATCAAAGAAATCGACATTAGATCATTGGAATAAAATGGCACATAAAAGTTTCGTACACAGATGTTTAGATAATAGAGACCTTAAGATATACGGACGACCTGTACGTGTACCTGTAATTACACGTACACGTACAGGTTTTTTAAATGTTCCTTTTGTGCGCCTAAAACAAGTCCTTAGTCACTCGTCGACGTGTACGTGTACGAAACAAGGAATTAGTGGGTATCTGGTGATGAAAGTATGATATTTTAAATCGGCCTACACACATATCCATAGTGATTCTGTATGGGGAAGTGTAATTTGCTTTAGGCATACAGATATACCAATGGGTGTTTGGGCGAGGTAAAGATTTTTTATTTCTAATTGTTGCTATTGTAAATGGGCGATGGAAGGCCCGTGGGTGGCAGATAAAAGTCACAGAAAAATGTATTTAAAATATCTAAAATAATCTATTTTGAAAGACTCTGTGTCCATGTACAGTTCATAAAACTACAAGGCAACTACTTCTGCTACTGGGCCAACACCCAAACTCAACTGAGTGAATGCGATTGCCATATATAGGACACAAAACATTATAAAAAGAAACACAGCAAGGAAAAGTAACAAAACTGGTTGAAACAATAGATTGTGAAACTGAATAGTAAAACATATACAAAGGACAAGAAAACAACGGGATTATAATACTGATGTAAAGAGATGAAGGGACCTGTTAATGTGTACAACTGTTAGATGAATGAGGATTGATCATTATAAAATAATATGATTCAAATGACTATGTTACACTATGTAGATATTTATCTCTTGATAATTTGAGGAGATTTGTTTGTGTGTTAATCCGCTTGATTGCTTGTTTGTTTTATGTAGTGGTTCTTACTATAAAGCACGGTGGTCTGTCTGCCTGCCAACATGTCGTTCAGCCTGTTTAGCCTGTCGTTCTGTCTGTCAGCCTATCGGTCTGCCAGCCTGTCCGTCCGTCCGTCCGCCCGCCCACCCCCCCCGCCTGTCTGTCTACAGTAGGTCAGCCTACTTTTTTTCGTTCATGAAGTATTATCTTTCTATTTCTAAGTTTTGGGCTCAAACAAATTTGAAAAATTTGAATTTTTTTGTTTTATTTGAACTTTTTTTTGTTTTATTTGAATTTTTTTTAAAAGAATTCAAACAATAATTTAAAAGAAATCAAAAATGCGACAAAAAAATTTGAACAAAAAAAGAATTTTGATTAAAAAGTGATATTCGATGGTTTGGGACATTTTTTGCTAAAATGATATCTAAATCCACATATCAAATATATATCTCCACGTGATATTCGATCTGTATCCTTGAAACCACGGGATAATATAGGAATATCTCATGGTTTTGTAAAAATATCATTTATACCATGAGTGGATATATGATATCTTCACGAGTGAGCGCAATTGATGAGTGACGATATTGATATCAATGAATGGATATAAATGATATTTTTTAAAACCATTGGATTGTCCGTTTATCCCAGGGAAATCATTACCCATTAATGTCCATGAGTTGATATATGATAGCTTCACAAGTGAGCGCAGTGAATGAGAAAAGATATTGATATCCATGAGTGGATATAAATTATATTTTTTCAAAACCATAGGATTGTCCGTACATACATATATATCTCCCGCTGTATATCTCTCGCTCCAATATTCCGGGGAAAACGTTTTTGTCCAGCATAGAAACAGTCAATTTTTATGTTATATCTTGCAAAAGCAAAACTGTCAAAATGGATGCAGCAGACGGTAGCATTTCTTTTGACCAAAATGTTGATGGTTTTTTCGAAAATAATGAGCATGAGAACACTTTAAAAAACAAATCTGCACTATTGGTGTCCTAAAAACCGCACTCGTGAAATCTTACTTGTCATGAGATAAATCAGTTATGCGATGCTCGGTTTTGAATATGGGGTATATCCCTCGAGAAATATGGTATCTTACCTCGGACCGTCCGGGCCCTCCGTAAGATATCTATATTCCCCTTAGCAAGATAGGATATATCCCAAATACAGAACCTCCCATAACCCGCACTTATCCCATGGTTGCAAGGATATAGATCGAATATCACCTGAAGATATATTTGATATGTGGATCAAGATATCATATTTTAGCAAAAACAACCATCGAATATCACTTTTGAAACCATCGAATCTCATTTTTTCATATTAGAAATCTTGAAAGCATTGAATATCACTTTTTATATTAAAAGTGATATTCCATGGTTTAAAAGTGATATTTGATTGTTTCAATTTTTTAAAATTTTCGCATACTTTACATCAAACAACTGATCAACAGAACAAAACACTCTGGCATGTAAAGGAGAAAGCGAAATAGTCTAGTCTGCCGGTACAGTATGGCTTTCACTTAAGTGATACAATAATGGCAATATGAATTGCCATTATTTCATACTTGAAATTAACTGCAACTTTACCCATTCGTTATTTATTGAACCATAGCACATACACAGCTATTCGACAGATATGTTACTTTTAAATTAGTAACATAAATAAACAGCACATTGTTTTTTTAGTCATTTATCAATGGTTCAAAACTCACGTTCCAACCAACCTGTTAAGTGCCAAATTCACGTCTTGCCGCACGTGTAAAATGAATGAGACCGTGAAATAAATAGTACATAGTTATGTAATACTGATCTCAATCACAATCTTTCGCGTACAGGTTCACAACAAGACGACAAAAACGCCCGGCGCTATTGAATTTACACGTCAACGGAATTGTAAAACAAGTCAGACGTGTCGAATCGAGCATAAAGTTACATGATTTGTTGCGCGCGCATCATGTTTCACGTACAGGTACAGGTACAGGTTACTATTTGGTGCAATCTTAAGGTCTCTATTGCAAAACCAGGCCTCCTAGACTTCCAACAACGCGAACATCAGTTCTGAGCTCGCGAACTACGTTCCTTGCGCTCGAACCACGATTCTCATGTCGCAAACGAGAATTCTTTAGTCGCGCACCACCATTTCCTCGGTCCCGAACATATTTCTCCACTCGCGAACAGAAATCAACTGTCAGAACAAACATAAGGACAACTGGCATTGGCCATGGACAATGCCATGATCCCCATCAAACCCTACACAGATACTATACAACGGTACTAGAAAAAGAAGAAGGTAAATTAAATAAACAGTTGAAGGATGCTGTGAAAGAAGACCTAGTCCGCTTTCATATTGCTGTTGACTTGTACAATGCTTCACAATCCAGAAGAACTGTTCCAACGGATGACTCACAGTGCTACCCATAATGGGGACTTAGATGATGTTAAGTAACATTTCACTTAAGCCCTACATGAAAACGATTTACAATTCATTCTTTATATTCTACGCAATAGGTATCATCCAAAACGAAACCTATACATTTTGGCAGGTTGGAGAACACTGCATTATCAAAAGGATCAAACAGGTCAAGTTGGAGCATGAAGGTTAGATATTAAAAAGAAAGAGGTTTTTAACTACCAGCTACTGTAAATCTATGTGTTTGGCATTCGAAAAGTTCACTAGGTTGGAAAGATGTCTTCACAATTGCTGAGTTTTGCCAAAGAATGTAAAATTGATGTTTTTTATTTCATATTCTGATATACAGGGATTATTTCACGAAGAAAGGCTAAACATTATTTTCAGAAAAAGATGATTTTAGTGATTCAATAACAAAAACGGCGACGTAACTTGATCTTAGATTTACAGTACGTAAGGTTAGTTGCAAGTTATATTAAATACGTCTTGATTGACAATGTTCAGGTTATATATAAACAACGTATTGAGTAAGTCACTGTTCTGCAAGAAGATTGATACTGGGATCTTGAAAAGACTTAACTGAATACGATTATAGTTTGATCATGAGTGGACGCGTCCATAATTCTGGAAATGGGTACGGACCCATACCCAGTGGAAGGGAAGTACCTGACGAAGCCCATGATGCTGCAGGATATCTGAAACCAGAATATCTTAGATATTCGACTGTCAATGAAGTTCATACCATGAATAATACTAATGAAATCGCCAACATGAATGGTGATCGTGAATCCGACGCAAATACTGAAAATGCGATAACCATCAAGAAAAAGGCCAAAATAGTAAAATATGTCTCACTGAAATGCGCAATAGGCGTTGTAGTGCTATCGGTAGCAGTTAACATTGTTTTCATCGTTTGGATTACACTGCTTATAAAAGGTAATTTCGAAGTGTTTCATATCGCATGGATATTACCATGTATTCATTCTTAAAAGAAAATGGCAGATTAAAACGAGTTTCTTCAATATTCCTTACAAATGCATATACAGTTCACACATTTTGATATATGATTCGTATTCATGGCTGATTAATTTTCCGAAATGAAGGTGCGATCCATCCATAACTGTATATATTTTAGTGTCTAGTTATTTGCAATCAAAGGCTTTTGATTTTATCCAGGTTCATCAACTGACAATTGCACACAATGTGATCTGGAATCAAAATCACCCGATGTGCGTGTACAGGCCCTTGGTAAATGCTTAAACGCAGCCAACATTACTACAACCAAGACACTTGAAATTGTCATGCCAGAGAATGGTGAAGTTAAACAATGCTTAAGAGAGACAATTAACATTGGTCAAAATATTACTAAAGGGAAGTCTTTAACAAGTAAGATTGATATTACGTATTTGCTTATTGCACTATCTATAATAATGCAGAATCTCAACAATATATTGTCTCTAATGTTTTTCCCAGGACATTCAGGAGTGATGCTCCATTAAAATTGCTCACATAAAATCTTACATAGCTTAGATATTCAATTCTTGGTATAAATTATGTGCTTCAAATTAATGATCCGTTGAACACAAGGGTTTAGAAAAACTAATAAACCGTGGTGTATGTTTTGTAGTTCCCGATAACGCATGTCCTTCTGGCGACTACTTATTGGTACGACGTAATGACCAAATTGATGAAGGAGACGGTCATGTTCGCCCAAACTGCCAACAGTTAGTTCTTGGTATACTAACAGAGCATATGTTGCACACCCCAGAGCAATGCTTCAATCTTGCGTGTAAGGTAAAGGCCAATGTTGTATACTACGTTCCAAAAGTGGAGTGTGCAGCGTATACATGTGAATCAGATTCGAATGGATTAGACTGGGCATACGAGTGGACGTATACCGGGACTGCTTCGGGGAGGACATATGCACGGCCACATAGTTATGCAAAGTCGTGTCACAATTCACATTTCATGAACAGAGCAGTGGCGAATGTTCGGGCCACGTGTTTTCAAATTTCAATTACGATTGTTAAGAGCTTATCAGAATGTATGGAAAAGGCATGTTTGGGCAAGGCAAACACTTTCAACTTAATCGTCAATCATGGAGCAAATGAAGAAATGATTTGTGAAACACAGCACTGTGGATGGAATGTCACCGCGAACGATTATATATTCAATCTACGGCAAAATGAAAATGGACTTTCTGAGGTATATGGTCTTTCTCATACGATCAAATCTTGTAGAAATTTACTAAAGACTCAACCAGTCGAATTCCCGGTGCTTCTTCCCGGTCGATGTGGAAATCCTGGTTATTTCAATGCACAGTTGTTAGAATCGCCAAACCATGAAATACCAAATGACTTTTGCGAATCGGGATCAAATACATTTATACACATAAACGGGGATAATAATTATCTTGCGTATAAATGTAATTCAAACCACGAAGGCACACATTGGAAATTCTATGACAACAAATGTTATGGCGATGGGGTATTTGTGAAATGGTGGATTGTTCCTCATCCTGGTACCCCAAATTGCCAATCGAATATGTTTACGCTCAGGCGTATGGGGGCATCCTGTCAAAAGTCCACTTGTGACCCGAGTGGTTCCAAGAAAGTCTCGACTGCTCGAGATTTACGCCAATGCATGCTACATGCGTGTGAGAAAGGCTACAATGTCATTAACTATTTTAGTAATGCAACCGTTGTTCTCTGCGAGCTACGGGAATGTAATAGATTTGAAAGTGGCGACTATGACTTTCAGTACGAAGCTACGGGTGGAACCCATGGTTACGATGTCTATGCATTACAGCCTTACTCTAGCATCTGTAATGGTCATGCAACTAACTTCCTGTACGCAAAAGACATAATATCGTATTATGCCAATCTTGATATAAAATGAAAAATAGATTATTTGCCAAAATAGAACAGCAATGATAAAATGCTTACTCGGGTGAAAAATGACAAAGGAAATAATTTACTGAATGAGAACTAAATCAAGCGTTGAAACATTAAGTATTTTGACAAGTTCAAAGTTCAAGTTTCAAGCGTCGGTATTTCCAGGAAAGGAGGATTTTGTCCAAAGTCATTTATTTTAGAGATCATTATGAATCAAAAAGGATAATCTTGAGTCAAGATTTTATGGTCATTACAATTACCCCTTTGGTTGATCTTATGTTGATGATAGGCGTGTCATAGACGTAAACTATGTTATTTTGTGTACTTGTAAATAAAAATTAATGTACTATAATAATGTTCATGTTTATCTGCAATTTTCCAAGTTTCCAAATGCGCAACCTATCATCTAAATCAATCAACGATGACAAAATAATCATAAGAAATTATGACATTTACTTTATTCCATCTGTAAATGAAAGGGTTTCCTTATCTCGTTTGGCGTGAATGCGATCATGATAAAGACATATAGAATATCGTAAAAAATGTTCAGTTTGCCATTAACGTTCCATCTTTCGTGTTCAATGTATTACTGGCGGCCATTTTGAGTATCTACTGTGTATGTGATATAACAAGATACTTTATCCTCATTGACATATGTTAAAAATTAATCATTTTATCAACGTGTTTTCGCAACAAAGGATAGTTAATTGATAACATATCAAAAATGTTAGGTTTTGTTTCTTATATTATGTTTTTCTTGAGTCAATTTAAACCACTGCAATATTCACAAACACTTATTGTAGATATATGTTAGGTCGCGCACGACCGTAAGGTGTTCTCTAGTCGGAAAAATTGCCTATCATCTGTTTCCCAGTTATCACGACAGAATTCCAGGCAAAAGTTAGGAATATAGCTGTAAACTACTGTGTGTCTTTTGACCCCAATCACTAAGAGGATAAACCGAATCTTAAAGACGGTGGTGTGAAGTATCCTCGAAGACTCTTCTCTTCGAGGAGCGTGAGGATGTAGTTCGCCTTTTCGCATGAAACTGGCGACTTCTCGTTACACATCACCCAGAAGTCATAATCCATTTCGCGCTCTGAAATTTTAAAATGGTTTTCGACAAAATGAACGAGATAAACAACAAAAAAATACTATATGACTTCAGTTAAAAAAGAAGAATTTCAAAATTAATGGGCCATACAAAAACCCTTTTGCCTAGCTGTGTGATTGAAAGAGGAATGCACATTGGAGATAAACAAAATGAATAATCACAAAAACCAACAGGATATCATTGGAAGAATGATTTAGGGAGTTTAAAACAGGAGCTTTGAAAACAGGGTGTGCTTTTGATTATAATTGGCAGTTGGGTATCGGAAATCTTGAAAAACATTTGAAAATCATTAAAAAATAGGTAGTGAAGAAAAAATAAATTAAATAACGTGAGTTTATGAAGGGGGTGATTTTATCGGGAAAAATATATCGGGTGGATAAAAAAATGTCCCGAACTTTGAGAGTTGCTATCTCAGAAACTATAAACAGTATATAAGTGAAACTTTCAGTATTATAACTTCATCCTATTGCCTCTATGACCTAAAAGTTTCAATGCCTTACCTTCTGTATTCACAACAAAACGTTAAAAATAAAAAGCATGGTCCAAAAAATGAAATACCGGGCTATAAAGTTATGACGTCTTACCTTGAAAGTTAAAGATGTTAATTTAAGAGCAAAAAAGGCTCCAAAACTTAATGAAATGTGTAGTTTGGATGTTCATTTATGTCTGGGGATGATGTTTTATACCACAAACACCTATAGATACCTGAAATTTGTAATAAAAGTGCCCAAAAATTGTTGTTTCGAAATTCACCATTTTTCCTGTATCGCGCTAGTCACGTGACCATTACGCGTAGCAGGCAATACAGATATTACAGTACATATTTCCGAACATGTTCAATATGGCAAACATCAGCGATTCTGATTCCCGGGTTCTGGGAAATGGCTATTATAAATCGGTGTGAGGGTGTAATTTGACTGGGGACAATACAGGGGAAAATGTGTCCAAGTAAACCAGTAAGAGGGCAGATATGGGGACTTTAGACAAGTACTACGACCCGTTGTCATTGACGGAGGATCCCAGCGATCCTATTACTCAGTTTGAATTTTGACACGGAAAACAGGTTATGAAAACAGGTTTTCTGCAAAGTTATCAAATTTAGAAAATATGGATCTTGTTTTTGAGTAAGGCTACAAGCATTTAGATACAAGACTTGGCGCTATCTCTTGTCAAATACACGCAGACTTGCGTTAAATTGGCCATTGCAAATTGCAGAATCAGATCGTCAAATTAATCGCTTCGTTTTTAAACGTATGCTTCATATCTTCATTCAAAACTTTAGTATTCATTAGAGATAAGTTATAACTTGTACAGGAAGAAATGGCAGATCCTACCTTAATTTAGAACTGCTGATTTCTCAGGACAAATTCCGAGAAGAAATTGTTCAACATCGCATCAGTTCAGACTACATGTCGTGTGCATATGTCACTCTAACCTCGCATGATAAAATACGGCATCTTGATTGGTTACTACTCGTGTTGTCATGACGCGAAAAGCAGTAGTAAACACTGAATATGTTAATGAACTGCCATGTATGGAACAATTGTCTTTCTGATTGGTTAGCTTTACACGCCTCCTAAATGAATATAGTAGTCGTAGTAAATGATTCATTGATAACTATGAAAGTGGGTGTGATCAGCTTTATTTTGACAATCATGTTTCAAATCAAAATGGCCTCGCAAGACGAGGTTGCAATATCGGCAATTTGATACTGATATGGTCTACGATAGATCAAAATTACCTGCCCCGCGTCACATGTCACGTGAGCCTATATTTGTTGAAAAATGAAAGAGATAGTGACACTTTTTGATCATAAGTTAATACCAATATTACAAACACGTATCTATTTTTTTCATTGTATATTTATTTCTTCATCATACATACATTTGTTTTTTACTACATTGATTCATTTTTGCAAAACCTTTGCTATTAGATCTTTAAAATAAATGATCGATGGGCCCTCCATCCTCACTACACACTACTCGAAGCCTTTTCTTCCACAAACTTATGACCTTCCTTATCTGTTCCATGGAGATATCTTTCCAACATTGGGAAATGAAACATGCCTCAATTATTGACTTAGTCTTGCTGAACACCATAATGGCAATTTCCGAACTTGACAGTAATCTTTGGAAGACTAAAGTGAATGTGATATGAATAACTTTTAGCAAAGACTACAATGTAGCAACATTGCACTTTTTGACCTAATCTGCAGTACAGTATTGCAAGACGACAGTACACCAATGGACTTTCAGGAATGTATATTTTGACTCGGCAATGTCTACAATGTAGCTAGACAACATATAATTGTATTTTTCCTATTCTAAGAAGACACATTTACAGCCTGGGGGTATCGTGATGCAACAACACCGTGTTGTTGCATCAAGATGGCCAGACTTCCGGTGATAGATTTTCGTACGATATGTTGTTTCCCCAATTTAAACCCATTTCTAGGACGAGTTTCTCAATAACCATACACGTGAAGTTAGCGCACGATCTATATTTAAAGAAAACTGTCATTAGTATACATATATCATCATCAAGAAGCAAGAAGTTCATGTTTTTAGTTCCTCACTATTGATGCAACAACACCAAACCGAAGATGCAACAACACTCCTCTAGATTTGAGCAATGATGCAACAACACCAATTAATAGTATAATTTCAGAAGACCATAAATCTCGGGAGGAACAGATTTTTTAATGCTACACTATTGCAACACTGGGCCAGTACCCATTTGCGTTCTTCTCAGGCATTCAAAATACACTTCCTGCGGACGAAGATTCTTTATATGTATTTTCAAAAATTTATACTTTTAAATATCATAATGTACTGGAAGTTGTTTTTATAACATAGTTCATTCGCCTTTAACATTGCAAGCTATAGTAACCCAATCTATTTTCATAAACCCCAATTCCATAGCTTGATGACCCTGATACCAGTTATTACTGATTACTGATAGTATCATTCAAAATGGTAGGCAAACATCTTTCGTTCTCGGTAAACACGACGAGCTATTGGAAATCTTGCACGGCGCACATGTAGAAGTATTTTTCTCTTTGGATTCGTTCTCCCCGAGAGTAAAAAGGTAGGTAATAGGATTTAGGTCCCGAAAAGGTAAATTGATAAGGGTACAGTAATCCCAGATTCCCCCTGGGCCCTCGGGAAATATCATAATGTCTCTCGGAATAAAACCAATATTGAATCCCTCTCAGTAAATAATCTCTATATAATAGCACTGTATAACTGCAATATCATTAAACCAACACTCATCGGAAGTTATGGCGTTTTGAAGCTCAAAATCGCTAAATTTGGTGGCCCGTGTTAAGTCAATGGGAAAAAATATTTTTTTGAAGTGTAAAATACGACATACGAGGGTTGTCCCAGAAGTAATGCACTATATGCTCTAACTTTATCAATAATTGATTTTTTTCCATGAAATTTTCAGTAAATGTTCCTTAGAGACATTTTGATTGCTCTAAAAATTTTCATGTTGACTGATAAAACTATATTGATGTTGTAATAAAATCAAGTTGGTGAGTTTGGGTAGGGCGGGGCAGGTTATACAATCACGTCAAAAGGAATAAAAAATTGATAATATGAAATAATTAATCAACAAATACCATTTTGTGTAGCTATAAGAGATATGCTCAAAAATACATTTTAAGATACTAAATTACTATGAGCACATCCTAGAATTAATGGATGTATATTGCACAGTGCCACATTTCACATTTTCTTAAAATATTGCCCTTTGCATGTTATGTACTTTTGATGCCTGTCAGGTCAAACATTCTTAGCAATTTCTTCCACTGTGACTTGTGGAGTTTTTGCCTCCCATGTTTGGAGTTGTCATCCAGGGTCAAATCGTCTCTTTTAAATCTCTTCTGCCACCCCATAATTGTAGTTCTATCTGGTATATACTCCTTATATACTTTCTTCATGGTAGCATTGTTTTGCGTGGCTGTGAGTCCAAGTGAAGTATGAAATTAGGCCACCAAACGCAAGGCCTTCTGTTATCAGGTGAGAATTGCAGCCATTTTTGCAATTTCTTGACTGTGACTGTATTTGAATTCTTGATTATTGAAATGTGGTATTATGACATCACAGTGCTAAATGTCATTATTTGTACTTGGTTAACATCATGCTGAATAAATTTAACAATTTGGCAAACATTTTGACCATTTAAAGGAAAGAA